AGCCGGTCGCAATCGACCACAATTACTGTTCAGTCAGAATGATTTAATAGTATTTTATATGATTAGAAGCACATTGCAACTGACACGGGCGATTGCAATCCACTTTGAGGAGCGTTGCAACCGCTTGCAGCTTAGACGTAATAAAATCTCAACCATAGTCGCTAAAAATACTCTAAAATCCGCGAGACCTCCGCTGCGTTCCCGCTTCAATTAAATTGCAGGCTGGTTGCAAGGCACCAAAATCGGAAATGGCTGCAATCGAACTATTAAATTTGCGACATAGGTGCTTCGGAGGCGACCGTCCAAGTATGGTAATAAATCTACTTGACCGATTATGACCGAATGGACCGAATGGACCGAATGGACCGAAATTAGGTGGACCCCTCCGTATGGCGTAGCTGCTGTAACTCTCACCGTCACCCTCGCAGTGGTCAGCGATGTACGTCTTTTGAGCACGAGTACTGGTTGACGACAGCTCACAATGAGCTCGTAACAGTCCATATTCTGAGTTCGACTTTGCTAAACCCTCAGAAGGCTCAATCACCAGCCCATTATAATGATTATCTAGTGAATTTGAAACTTTAGATGCCTGCGTCTCCGGCGACCACTCTCCATCACGATGTCCTCTTCCTGATCTTCAACAAGTGTGTTCCTCCGCTAGGCTTTGATGCCCTAGGCTTTCCAAAAAAGGACCATCGACCCTGCGGACCTCCATCGTGGATCCCAGTCACACACGTATGCCGTCAATGGCGATCCGCAGCTCTGTCCCATCCATTCCTCTGGGCAACCCTATTATGTCATCGCCTCAATTGCCACCAGCGTGGATGCTCTCGCTGGGGAGAAGAGAGTCTAGTTAGATCAGGTACCGTACCATTACAGGTCCATGCCAATCTCGAGCAGCTACACCCCGGAAGCAAAGGTTACGATGAGCTGATCAAGAATATGCCTCGTACGCGCGAGATGTGGATCGCAAAAGGAACCGTAGAGAACATGGCGTCTCTCATGACTGCCGCTGGCTCTGCACCTATCCTCGAAACCATCCACTTCGTCAACACTTTCGGCATCAACTTGCAAATAATCCCTCTCAAGCTAATTGAGTGCCCCCTTCTCAAATGGATTCATATTCGCTGCTTCCTCAGCCCCTTTGACTGGGTGGGCATCCGACCCTTTGCTCCGAACCTTGTTACTCTAGAGTTAGAAATCGCCATCCGTTGCTTTTCCATAGAAGCTCCCGAGATGCTACGCGCCCTGAATGGCATGCACAAGCTAGAAACGTTGAATCTGAGTTTAATCGTCCCCAAGCTTCCCGCGGATTTCAATGCGGATGTCATTGCCACTCTCCCAACCCTTCGCTACGTAGAAGTCCTTGCTGACTTCCACACTTGCCTTATTCTTCTACCACGCCTTGTTTTCGATCGCACATGCGCACGGGTCAAGGTCACCGCCTCAGAAATAGGATCTGCCCTCGATGACGACGCGATGCAAAGCACCTTGCGCAGGCTCGTCGCGCTTGGCGCCTCCAACGATCTGACCTTTGACGGAACCACAGCGGACGTCGTACACGCGAAATTTAGCCAGCTTTCTGCCAGTTTTTCAATAGCCACATATGACAAGGTTTCCACCGAATGCTCTCTCGAGTTGAGTCGTCGCACCAAGGCCGTTCCGTGCTTCGAGCTGGTCTACTCAACAGTATCTGCTCGTGCTGGCCAGGTCGTGACACACTTCGCCGAGGCATTCCTCATGTCTTCCGTTACGTCCATTTACATCGGCCCATGCGCCTTTTTCCCGAACACGCTGCAGGAGTTATTCTTCCACGTCAACTCCGTGAAGACTTTGGAGGTTGTCGACGTGTCTCGGGAAGATAGCCGAGCAGCCTTCGCGACTTTAGAGCCTAGGGATCAACAGCTTCCGGCTCCACAGCTCCAGAATATCGTCATCAAAGGCTTTAGGGGTGGTGACGGGTGTCCAAGTCTCGAAGCTCTGCGGGAATGTGCTATTCATCGTCGCGAACTGGAATGTCGGATAGCGAACGTTGTTTGCGGACGGAATTGCGACCTTGTGGCGAACGAGGCTGAGTCTGTAAGGGAATTAGGCATCCAGGTCGATTGGTTGCCTTACTTGGACTAGGAATCTGCACGCGTAGATACCTTGGCTGGAGATGAATGTAGCGTACTTGAGTTCAACCCCTCGAGAATGCACAACTTCTCTACGTCTCGAAACTTTCTCGCAAAAGTAGGGTCAACGTACCACAGTTACGTACCAATGCAAATGTGTGAGACGTGCCGTCAAACTCAACTGAATATCATAGTCTGCTCCGGCGTCGGATCCGGAGTACCAAGAAGTTATTAGACCAACCCACGCACTCATACGGCGGTAAGACGAACAGACATAAAGGCATATGACATTCACATTGTTAGAGGCTACAAAAGGCTTGCAGGTAAGGTATGAATTCAGTGTTTGAGTATAGGTAGAAGAAACGGAGGAGTCTTTGCGAGAACAGCACATCCAAGCCCTTCCTCCCATCTCTGCGGTGCCGGCAAGCCCTGCGACTCTGTTGCGCAGGTACCCGCCGGCGAATGTGTTTCCTTTAGCTCCACCATGGTCGACGTCGTTCTTGCACGGGAGGACGAGGGGAAGCGGCCTAATCAGAGGCTGCGCAGCTACTGACCTTGAAGATCAAAGTGAGGGCGGCAGAGGTGGTGTACCGGGTACGGGACTGATGGGTTTATCTGTGGCAAGGCGTCAGCACCAAGGTAAGTCAAGAAACAACATAGCAGGACTGACCAAAACCGATATATGAGATTACTTGGGGTGCTTTGACACAGGACCTGCAGAGCCTCCGGGAGCGCCGTACGTGCTCATCAAGTCGCCGAGTGCGGCCGAGCAGTCTTTGTACTGGGGCTGGGGGTAGTGTGTGCGTTTCTCAACGGAGGTGGGGGTGGTTGACTTGGTTGGCTTGGAGGATGACGTGGACTTCTTCCAGAATTTCCAGAAGGAAGACGACGATGACGACGATGATGCGGTCGTGGTGCTTTGCTGGGGAGCAGGAAAATGGCAGCCGTAGCCGTAAGACGCAGAGAGCTGACCAAGGGCGGCCTCGTAGTCGCGCTCGGGGGTGCCTTTGGATTTGGGCTGGGATGCACCGACGAGTGTAGGGGTGGAAGACGCAAAGGATGGAGCGTAAGGCATGGCTAGCGGAGTACTGGTAGTATTGGTTTGGGAAGCGGTGGTTGGTATGGCGAGCGACGAAGGGTGATAAAGAGGCTGCTAGAAGTGTAGTTGGGCTTGTGTTGGTGTTGGAACATGCTGTAGACAGTCCCTCTTTATATGTAGATCCAAGAGACAAAGCGGAGAGCGTCTCTGTGCTGCGATGACGCTTTCGTAATCGGCAGGCACCGAAGTAGGGTTGACAGAGTCATCGCGGATCCGGGGAAATTGCAGGACCCACAGTTTGACGCTGTCGCCAAGCGGTGGCTGCGGAGGCTGTGCTGCGCTCCGCTACGGTGTCCCTGGTCCCTCCCTTGCGACCAGCTGCGGTACCGCAGCTGGGTGAGTCATTGCGACTCAGAACCTGGATATGACTCATCATCTGAAGTTGGGAGAGAAGGAAATGGACAGCACTATACCGTCCTTGTTTTGTTTTTTGGCTTTGACGAACGGGCAGTGTTCGTAGTATTATGTGGCGTGGTCTGGACCCCGGGTGTCCATTGTTCGACCCCGAGGCCGATGTCCGAGAAGGTCGGAATTTCAAAGCGTCGAGTCACTCCGAGTCGGGCAGCGCTTAACTATCATCTCGACAGTGATGCCACGTTTCGAGCACGTTGAGGTCTTCGGTCTTCCGGGGCACAATTAAGCTTCGAGAGACAATGCACGGAGCGACTGCATACTGCGCATGATGCGATCATCCCTCTTACAAACCGACATGACAAATACTATGTATCCGACTTTCCTACCATAGCGAGAAAACTCATGTCAAGTAACGATGTCTGCATGAGAGAAACCCAATCAAACATGAATCATTGACGACGCATATGACAAGCGCTGAAAACTGTAGATTCAATAGAAGTAATGTTTTATCAAACAAAGTAACTAGAGAATCAGTGTAAACCTATTTCTCCTGACAACGGCTGTTTTCCCTGCTGAAGATGTATGTGAGCCATTGCTTGTATATGTGTAGAAGGTGAAGCGTGGACTGAACCATTTGGCTCCCGATTCTTCAAGGTGACTTGCGTGTGGCTGCGTCATCCTGTTTCTCCGTGCCTTTCACCCCGCTGTCCGCCCTCTGATCGCCGGAACTTGACGGGGCGGCGGCCGCCGCCGCCGTGCTGGTTGCGTTTCCCCCAGCAGAGCCAGAGGCTTCTCCAGCCGAATCGCTCGACTGAGCACGATGCGCCGCCTTGGCTTGGTTTGACGACGACCGGGAAAGCGACTTTAGAATGCGACTGGAAAGGGACTTGCGTTCCGCCTTAGATTTGGAGTCAGTCGTAGACGCTTGAGGCGATGTGGTGTTGGACACAGATCCCGGGCTGCGCTGGTAGGAGGTAGGAATGGTAGTCTGAGGCGTTGGAGAGCCATAGCCGTAGGTTGAGGACAACTGGCCGAATGCGGCGGCGTAATCCTTCTGTCCTGTGGAAGCGGTGTCTTGTGCACGCTTCTGATGCGATGGAATGAGCGAGACAGTAGATGAAGACGGGGTGGGACTCGTGGGATTAGGCTTGTTCGTATTCGACATGCCTACGAAAACTGTGACAAGCTGTCAGACTCGTATCTTCACTACGATTGAAAGGGTTTGCCTTGGAGTTTAAGTTCAAGGGGAACGAGGATGTTAGTACGGGATCTGCTATGATACTGACTTATATATGTTATAGCTGTTTCAAGGCGAGGTTCAGCTTCGCATCATTTGTGTGTCGCCGACAAGACTGCGACACCCCCCAATGCGGAGCGTGCGCAGATACCATTACCACGCGGATTATACACCACCTCGTTGGCGCAGTTTATAAACAAGAGGCCGCGAAGACGAATGGACCATAGGATTACAAAGAAATCATGGAAGAAAGTACGCTTCGTCGCTCACCATCGAACGGGACGCATTAACCGCCGCTGCCGCGCATGCGAAGTCGATTGCGAGCCACCAGCTTAGAACTGCGAGCGTACATCCGCTGCTTCCAGCATGGCGTCTAGTCCTGCTGCGTAACCGCGTGTAACTTCGTGACAACAAGATCTAACAACTCAAATTACTGCGCTCATCTATCGTCAGACACGGAAAAACAACGGGTAGAGACGATCAGCTCTGATATCACGCACCTTAACCATGATAAGCCTACGGATAGTAGCAGACACGGTGGAAAGAAAGCGGTATTCATGGAAAGATACGCAGTACGCAGCTCACATATGACTCGCCTTCCCATACAGTCTAGGTGGGACGCCCCAAAAATGTTGACGATGGGCTGGAAGTCGAGTCGCGGAGAAAGTCCGCAGGGCCAATCTCCGAAGACATCGGTTTTGAACTCCGCGAGCGCTTAGACAGCCTACAAACGGCCGGTCGTTCGTTCGTCCTCGTTGAATCGTCGAATTCAGTATGTTTTCCATACCGAACCTTTCAAAGCCAGTTGTGAAGAAAGCCAACGATGGATGGATCGCTTTCTTGTGTTGCATGCTGTTGAGTATACCAATCAGACAAGGATATCTCACCAGGAGAGGATCCCATCATGCTGCCGCCAGCTGATTTTGATCCTCGCTTGACGCGATACAGAGAGTCCGTGTGTTAAGAGCGCTGATCCTGGCCTCGGCTCCCTCATTTTGATTTCGAGCCTGTGAGCGCCACTGAAATGTACCTTGCGTATCTAGACCTCTGCAGTTTGTAGAACGCCGAGAAAGCGCTGAAGAAACGCGTCTGGGCCCAGGAAGCCTGGACGCAGACAGGTAAAAAAGGCAAACCGACGATGGATCCACAAGGTTCAGTTTCAAGTAATGTTCTGAGAGATAACACGCTGTTATGGTTAGGTATGAGTAGTACTATTATGTATATCCTTTGGTATGGCCCGCCAGCGCGGACGAAAAGCAACAGTCCGTATGCCATCCTTTTAGATCTATCTATCCGTCACAGCCACACCCGCTCACCCGCTGAACGCACGCACAAGAACAGCCGCCGCCTCCCCCGCCGCCTCCCCTCCCACCTCCGCCGCACCCGCCGCATTATCCGGATTCGGATAGAAGAACGCGCAAATCGCAATAATAACATACGTAAGCACACACAACGCGCCCTCCAAATAATTACTCTTCCCGTCGCGCAGAAAGCTGCCGACGACGAGGATCGCGAGGACGAGCACGACGGCGTCGAATATCGCAAAGTTGAGGTCCATCGGCACGCCGATGCCCCACCCGATGATGACGACGAGGGGGGTGTTGAAGAGCACGGTCTGCACGGATGCGCCGAGGACGTGCGAGAGGGCGAAGTTCATCTGGTCGTCGTAGGCTTCGTCGACGGCTGTTAGGTGTTCTGCGGCTTTTTCGACGAGCGGGACGAGGATGAGGCCGACGAAGCTGGGTGGGCGGGTGGGTTAGAGGAGCGTCGGAGGGGAGAGAGATGGGGACGTACGCGTCTTTGACGTGGCGCTCTTCGACGATGAAGTCGATCTCCTCGACGAGGAACACGGCGATCATCGAGACGCAGGTGATCGAGATGACGAGGGCGGCGATGGACTCGAACAGGGTCAGGTGCGGGCGCACGCGGTCCTTATGCGCGTCCTTGTCGCGGAGCTCGTCGTACTCGAGGATCTCGTCGTAGAGGCCGTGGTGCGTCTTCAGCTGGAAGTACATGTAACTAGACGATGAAACATGTTAGTCGAGTGTAGTCGAGTTGGCGACGAGAGGGGAGAAGCGACGCACATGAAAAAGGCGATGAGGAGCACGATCGACGTCCCGCGGCTGATGCTCAGTGTCTCCGAGGCAAAGTCGCCCTGTATGCTGTCCGCAGAGAGAGCGCTCACGAAGATCGTGGGGACGACCAAGGCCACTGGTGAGCATCAGTCGCTAAATTCAGTGTGAAAACCCGGCCACTCACTTCCGGCAACGAGCATCAGCCCGCTACCAACTTCACTAACAGCGGGATGGAACTCCTGCTCCTCGCGCTTCGCCCCGCCCGCCACAAAGCATAGCCCAAGACACAACAGCAAATTCGCAAGCACCGAACCGAGAATAGCAGCCCTAATAACCGGAATCTTGCCCGCGCCCTGCTTAATAAGCACAATAAACAGCACAATCTCGACGATCCCGCCCAACACCGTCTCGAGCACGACACCAATAACCTTGGGCAGCTTCCGCGCGAGCTCCTGGCCCGCGAAGCCGATCGTGTTCGCAGCGGGGACCATGGCGATGTAGTTGAGCACGAACGTCGCGAGGTGGTAGTCGTGGTTGTCGCCCGCGGTGCTCACGAAGTGCACGGCGATCGCGGCGGGTACGGCGGGCCACAGGAGGTTGACCGCGCACGAGACTTTGTTGCCCGAGCGGAAGATGATGCGCAGGAAGTGCATGGGGTGGAAGCCGGCGCGCCCGGACTCGCCTTCGGGCTGGATGCCCTTGGTGACGAGGTGCCCGTTGGAGTTGTAGATCGGGAGGCTTTCGGAGCGGGGTTGTTTCTTTTCGGTTTCTTTGCTTTTGCGCCGCTCGTCGAAGTCGGAGCGGTAGGTGGACGTGCGGGTGGTGGGGTTGGGGAGAGTTTTTGTGCGGGAAAGGGTTTTCTCGTTGTCGCTGTCGACCGGTGGTTGCTCGGTGGGGCGCTCTTCGATGGGCGGGGGAGCTGGTGGGGTGTGGTGTCCCGAGCCTTCTTCGAACGATGGCTGGGGCGCGCCCTCCGGGAGACGGTCGCCATCTTGCTTGTCATACTCTTCCTTGAACTCCTCGAGGTCCTTGTCGAGCTTGTCCTCGACCTTGCGCTCCTCCTTCCAGAACTTGGACATCTCAGTGGGTGAGCGTCTTGTCTTGTGAGCGATGCGGGGTGTGAAGAAGAAGAGTGCAAGTCTAGAGGTTTATGTAAGGGAAGAAGGGAGGAAAGGAGGGCGGGTCGGGGCAGGGCAACGAGGCCGTGGCTTGACACGACATTGGGGCATGCGGACAAGCGCCCGGATTCGCCAAGAGGATTGCTTGGCGGTGACAAGTGACATCTGCGGAGTAGACGGCGTTCGTACCTCGGAGCTCTCTACATACCGGTTGGGTTCTGCTTCAAGGGATGGTCATATTATGTAGGTTGTGTTTGAAGAACGTCGCGTATCTTGAGCAAGGCGCGTCGAGGTCGAGGACGCGGAAGCACATGTCCTTCTAGTTTGGAATAAAGAAAGTAATATTATAGAACTTTCATTTTTTTTTAATTTCAAATAACAATGATGCATTTAAATAAACATTGGATTTCTTGGTTCACAGGTTTCTCTGAAGAAACACGGCAATTACTTTCTGAAATTAGAAAGGGAAAACCGACCCACCATCACCGCTCTCACCCCAGCTCACGTCCAATCGAAGCCGCGAACATTTTACGTTGACGTTCAACGGACCCAGAATTGCCTCCGGAGTCAGGCACATTTCGCTCAACTTGGGCAACCCCTGTCCACCAGACCGACCTTGGTCCAACCTTGTTCCTTCAAAGTATCAGAACTTGAGCTGCGAACGAGGTCAAGGAGGACACCATCACCGGACAGAATGACGATCAGAGCAACTCAATATGAGCCAAGCATCAGCGCTGGAGCCTGGAGACCCGCTCGGCGCTCGGACGCTTTCCTCGCTGGGCCGCGTCGGCGGCAATCCAACATCAGAGGCACAGCCAACAAGCTTTGCGTAGACGCTCGTATGCCCTTTCCCTCGTACCACCATCATCACCACCTCTGTTCTCGCTCACTCCATGTCGGTCGGGACAGGTTGTGTCTGCGAGGCAGCACCGTGAACCTACGCCACCATTTAGCCGTATCGGCTCAGACTCCGCGAACGAATCTGATGAAATCAATGTTATGTGGTATACTAAACGAACGACAAATCCTACCAAAGTCCATGCCCAACTACTTAGTCCAAAGCGATAGTAATGTATCCTGCAACCCGTGGTATCTCTAAATCCAGGATTATCCAAACCGTAATTATAATATAGATAAATGTCCGTGATCGTCCCAGTGATGTCTTTACACATTCCAAAAGTCCTTCTCACACACCTCTCTAGATTCCCCCGTCTATACCACAAACCGTCGCTCACAGGAAGCGGTTGCTCTCGGCGGGCATACCCCGTGCCATGCGCAGCATCACCACATTCGAGCTCAGACTCGAGAACTGCAGACACATTAATCCATTGATTCCACCCTCCGCAAGACAAAGAAAGAAGAGACTCACCCCGTTCCCAACAAACACCTCCGCACGCTCCGCAATCGCCATATCCACACCAACATCCACATACCGCTGCTCCGCATCCAACACAAGATCCCGACTCGCCAGCACATCCGCCCACCCGTCCGCCTCCAGCATCCCGCGCAGCCCCTCCAGCGCCCACGCCCCGTCGTTCGAGAGCACATACACCCTGCTCAGCTCCCGCCCGCCCGCGCCCGCGCCCGTGCGGTACTCCGCGCGCACCTCCCGCAGCCGGCGCACGACCTCCGAGTCATCCGGCAAACAATGCGCCATATAATACGCTCGCCGCTCCGCCTTCTCGCTCTCGCTGCCCCAGTCCTTGTGCAGCGCGCCCGCGAGCCCGGGCGGGCCGACGGGCGGGGCGAAGCGGTCGGGGAGGGAGGGGTGCTGGTTCGTGCCCATGTAGTCTGCGCCCCAGAGCGCGAGATTGGGGCAGTGCCGGGTGTAGTCCCCGCGCCGGAGGTGGATGGCGATGAGCCCGGGGAGGAAGGGGAGGGGTGGTGCGGGTGCGGAGGGCGTTGGAATTTGGAGGGACAGCTGGGAGGAGAGATGCGGTTGGATGGAGGTGGAGAGCGCGGGCGGGGAGGACGGGTGGAGGAGCATGGCGTTGCGCAGGAGCGCGGCGTGCACGAGGGGCGACCACGAGAAGGCCGTGAGGATGGGCGAGGCGAGGAGCGCGTCGAGAATGGGGAGGAAGCGCGGGCCGCCGAAGAGGCTGGACGCGGGGTCAACAGGCGTCTTTAAGCAAAGTACGGGTGGTACTCACAAGCGGTCGAACAGGTCATGCTCGCTCGAGTCCACCTCGATGCACTGCTCCTGCACGCCGGACAGCATATCGCGCCACCACGCGAGCAACACGTCTCCGTCTGCGTCGCTTGGCGCACCTTTGGACGTCAACACGCGTATCTTCTTCGTCTGCGGCGCTCTCAAACCGTCCCTCTCCCACACCACCTCCCTCTCCCCATCTTCGCTTTCCTCTGCGTACCCCTCGCCAACCTTCACCCCGCCCCCGCACACCTCCTCCCAATACCGCGCGCTCACCGCCCTCGGCGCTCCGAGCCGCTCGCTGTCGTCGCCTACGTCGCCTGACAGGGGCCCGCCCGCAGTAGGCCCAGCGATGAACGCGTTGAGCGGGATGCGCGTGGGGCGCAGCGCGAAATCGTACAGCGTCCAGGGGAGCGGGCTGCGCGACCAGGTGTAGTCTTCGAACACGTAGGAGAGGTTCGAGGCGTGTGCGAGGTGGGAGAGGACGAGGCTGCGTGTGTGTGCGTGTCGAGGTTCATGAGAGCGCACGTGTGCGGGGTGTGGGTGGGTGTGAGTGGGTAAGCGACGGATTTTAGCGACGGGCAGAACAAAGTGTGAGTACGAAAACAAATTCGGAACGGGATGGCGGACTCACGCTTCCTGCAAAACGTTGTTCAGCCCGTGTCCCCACAGATACCCCGGAAAGCGAATATAGCGCGTCGCCTGACCCTCCGTCCCAGGACTCCCGCCGGAAGCATGAGCATGATGATCGTGTGCGTGCGGCGGAAATACGTGGCGTGGCAGTCGGTGCTGCGGCAGCCTGTCCTCGTACGCGCGGACGTCGTTGAAGCTCGGCGGGATGCCCTGTGCGAGGATGGCGCTGACGACCAAGGCGAACGCGAGCGCGGCGAGGGTGAGCAGGCGGCGGAGGCCGAGGCGTTGGCGCGAGAAGAGGGTGTGCGGTCTGAATGAGCAGGTGCGTCGGCGGCGGAAGCGGTATTCGTGGTCGTTGGTGAAGGTGGGGGAGAGGGGGCGTGGGGGATAGGAAGAAGGCAGGAGCGCGTACTCGTCGTCTGGGAGGCGGGGTTTGCTCTTTGGCCCTGGTGGTGTTAGCCATGGGAGGTTTCGGAGCCATGTGGTGGAGGACATGAGGAGTGAGTGTGGGTTCCGTCCTGGACAGAGGAGGAGAGCTAGAGTCTTTCGAGGAGGAGAAAAGAGAACAAGAGCTGATGTCGAAGTCGCGGAGTCGAGCGAGACAAGGTCGCGAGGAGGCTGTGAACTGCGCAAGTGAGTGTGGTGGGTCAAGGGCACTGCGGGATGAAACAGCCCCAAACGGCGGTGGGCGCGGGCGACAGTGAAGAGCGAAAGGTGGAAGCGAGAGATGGCAGCGACGGAGTGTTTCCAGAACTCGGTAAAGTAGTTACGCGTGGATAGCAGCCCTGGTTTATATAATTACCGCTGTGCTTCTTCGCATGGAATTCCGTCGCCTGGAATCCCCGAGCTTGGGAGTTTGTTTCACCAGAAATACGCAGGATCGTTGCTGTTATTGTGAGGATCTGCATCCTGATTTGTTGCTGGGAACTGCCAACGTTGGACATCCATAGCGAGGACAACCTTAAAAAGGCTCAGGGGAAAGGTCCATCGTGGGAAAGATGTCAACAGACTAATGTTTCCGCTCTCTTGGCTTCACTCTTGTCTTTCTGGGCTTCACCTCGCTACTCTTCCATGCATAGCCTCACTCTTTCAAATCATCAGCTGTGCCTCAACACACCATGTAGCGTCACCGTGCACACATCATCACAACCCGCCCTTGTGTGTGATTCATCGACATGGTGAGAGTCCTGTCCTTGGGTGAATACCGTACAAAGATAACTTCATCTCTCACAGGGGGCAAAACCAAACGTCCGTGACCATCTGTTTCGCGTAGAACAGGTAGCACTGGTCATTTGGATACGCGGATCGAGGTCAAAATACACACGCGAGCCGAGTCCCGGACCCACCTTTTCCTTGTGGCGACAGAGACGCGCTAGGACACTGCACCGATCGTAGCTGCACGGCGCGTCAGCTAATGCTCAATAGTTACTCCTATGTGAGTGACCTTCTACCATGTCCTCGTCAAGACGACAACCCTTGTTTGCCAGCATCTCAACGCCGCTTTGACAATCCGCTCATTAACGAGTCGTGCGATCTCTGTCAAGGGTAGGAAGCAGCGTAACGGACATTGTCTGCTCCGTGTAACCTCGGGCGCTACTTTGCTTTTGCTTCTCGCCACGAGCGCGTGACAACAACCGTGGGTCATATACTCAATGAACCTTTTGCTCCCTCGAATCCGTCTCGCGCGCCTCCACACGTCAATGCGACTTATCGCTCATAAGTGGTGTACAGTTTTCACTGCCGCCTTTTGTCGCCTTTCTTCCTCGTTATCCTCGACACATGCACAAAGTGACGAAGAAGCCCGCCCTATCCAAGCTGACCTCTACGTCTTCCCGTTCGCGCTTTGGTGGCTGTTCGCGGCGTTCGTCTTCGCCATGGGGGTGTGCAACTGGGACGTGCATATCCACTCGAGGCTTATCCGCGAGCGTCTCGAGATGACGCTGAGCATGCCAAGTCATCTTGTCCGTCCTCACGCCATGATACAAGAGTCCAATGAGTACGCGTGGCGGCACTCAGCGTCTTTCGAGTCATCGTTGCTCGACGATCGGCTCGTTCTGCCTTCTGAACATCAACGTGGCAGAGCTTTTTGCGCTCGGGGTATGCGTCGTGCTGCTTTCTAAATACTCAATTAACAACAGTATACTCCCTAACTCTCTCCATTGCGCTACGGCGTGCTAAAGCGCCTCCGTATAGCAAGCGCCGGCACGGTCAAGCACAGCTATAAGCACTTCAGCAAGCGCTCGAAGATGCTGGCCGCCAGCCAAATCCCGCTTCTTGCTGCTCTGGGGACGAAGAACAACGTCATCACATGTGAGCTTGTTGGTACGGTAATAAGACGCGCATCTTTTCTGGAATCGCCGCGCTCAATGGTCCTGTGCTTGCGGCGCTGCATCCGATCCGGTCCAGGGTGCTGCAAGGTGTTTGATGTGGTTTGTGGCGCTGGGGCTTTGTAGTTCCCCTTCCCTGGGCCGTGATTGTGTGTTTTTACGTCGGTGCAGCATTTTTGTCTTTGGCGGGCACTTACTGTACATACTAAATCGATACAGCGATGCCCTCGTCTCACTCCTCTGTGTATATCAAAGCTGTCGAGAAACAGCTCGACAGGGCCATCGAGCGCGCGCCTCCCTCGCTGGCGATTTCTGTGCGCGTGTTTATCACACGCACAACTGCAGTTAGCCCGTCAGTGCCCAGCTTCCTCGAGATACCTTGTCTCTGGAGGACTCGGATGGCAGTTCGACGACTACGAAAACGGTCAGTTCAGTGACGACGAGAAAAGTGTCGAGTACGCCTTGCCTCGCCTCGCCACCCGTTCTACTGCAGCGGGCGCCCCGACTTGCGTGCATTCCTCTTTGTGGAAGCTACGACAGCTGAGGTTGGTGGGGACAGTACGTAACTCTGCCTTCTTCTATCTTATTTTTATTACTTTGCATTTGACATGCCCGACGCGACTGCCCGTGCCAAGCGGGAGGCTTTTCGGCTCCCCGTTTCTGGACTGTTGAATGTGGTGAATGACGGAGGGGGCGTTACGCTCCTTGTGGATTCGTTTGTAGCATTCTGTACGCGTGTCTGGCTATCTCGTGGTGAGAGTAAGTGTGGCGTCGAGCGATTCGTCTGCATATTGGCGCGTTGGCCGTTTTATGCGCTCAGCGGCACGTGTACCGCGCTGATATTCGTGATGAGGTGACAGAGCTGTCGAAGGCGATGACCGACGCGTAGCAATTTGACTTTGATTTGTTCACCCGTGTTCTTCCTCTTGTTCGACATTTCTTGTATTCCCCAACAGCGAAGTTGAAGGCAAGGGTATGGGGCGAAGTAGAGGGCGCATTGCTGGTCGCTGTGACACGTCGAGACGATTGGCGCTATGTCCTCTCGACTAAGCCGCTAGAAGATCCATGTGGCGCCAATCATTCCACAAGCCTGTGCAACAGTGCTTCAAGGTATCATGCATCAACGCGCAATCCAGGGGCGTGGATAAGTAGAGATAACTAGGGTCCCCGTCTTATGCGAGTCATTAACCGTGTCGCCTGCATCAGCGGAGCGAGCGATCGTAGTACCTGTGCTTATCCGAATGACATCAGTGTTTAATGTTAACGTTAACAAGCACTTTCATCCCCTGTGAGTGCCCGCCCACCTAGAAAGTGGAAACGTGGAAGTCCGCACGAAGGCGGCAACACTGATTTCGGGCGAGACTGAACAGGATGACGATGTATATCGTAAACGACGTAGAACGTGTACAGGTTGGAGCAGGAGAGTATAAGACGAGGAGATGATGATCTCCAGTAAGGGAAAACGACGGGTATAAATATAGAGGCGCCCTGAATAGCATAGGGGCCGAATCGAGTAACGAGAGGGACTTCCGTTGGAGCGGAAGCAGAATCCAAGAAGACGTTGAAACTGCGGTGCGTTGGAATAGTGATCGACGACTGTGGAGGTTGTGGCGCGGTTTGTGGCGTAGTAAGGACGAGGCGGGCTTACAAAATGTTAACATTTCACAAAACTTGAATTATTGTTGGATTCAGTTTATTCCCAGCTTGAACGCTGGAGCGCCAATACTGAAAGCGCTCCCAACATAATTTCCAGCACCTCCATCTCTTAGCAACCGTTGCCTGTCAGCCGGTCGTCGTCATCAAAATCTACTATTGGTAGCTCTTGGCTGAAGCTGTGGTTTGCTGTACATAGAGGTCAGCTACCTGATAAAAGGTCGAAGTCTTCGAATCTGATCAATCATATCGTAGGCTGCACAACCACCATGCACCCACCAGTCACGGCCTCAGGCCGTGCATGTGTACCGGTCCGGTTTTTGGACAATCCATGATGCTTCCAAATGAGTTTATCCAGTGTTTTGGCGTCAGAAGATGCGAATGTGATTGCCCGAGACACAGCCTGCCCTCATAGCATACTAATAAAGGTGTTCAATGTCACAGTTCAGCGGCATTCCTTTGTTCCCCATCGTTTCCACCGATGTCAGTATATTACCTCACGAATATAATCTTCACTGGTCCGTTCTGGAATATCCTTCCGGAGATGGTCTTCTATGGTATGTTATTTTGATGTCTTTATTTCTTCGCTGAAACTCGTGTCTGACCTGCAGGATCATTCGCGGTGCTACTGGCTCTGGACATCTACATTATCGTGACTCGACGACGACATGTTGGCAGGCCCGCAGCAAGAGCCAATACTATGGTACTTGTTGTCGGTTTCCTGATGTTTGCGATGGCAACGCTGGTAAACTCCATATATTCTCACGAATATAAGAGACCTACAACAGACATAACCTCTTTTCCAGCATGTGTGCTCATCTGTATACAACTACAATGCATACTTCCAAGGCCTTTTTAGTAATTCTCCCACTGTCCCTGGATCATTCGGAGACATAAATACCTATTTTAAAATCCTGGTCTCCCAACAAGTTCAAGTGGTTGCATTTGTTATACAGATCTGGCTAGGGGATGGGTTTATGGTGCGTTTCCTAGGTTATGAGTTATTGCCAAAATATTTACTATTCATTGCTTACTGTGCAGCTTTACAGGCTCTGGAAGGTCTGGAATGGTGATAAACGGGTAGTCATACCTGTCTCTGCTGGATTCCTCGCTAACATAGGTGGGCACTTTTCTTGTTACTGAAGCTAAGCTTAGTGAAATGCTGCGTAGGCATGGGAATTTTCTTTTTAGACGCATACGGCCTCGAAATTCGTGCTGGCAAAGAATGGAATGTTGCGGTAACCGACGGTCAGGTTGGTTTCGTGCAGAGCATGCAATTACTTTCGAATCTATCCGTCTATGCCATGAGCTTTGTAGTCCATCTTGGCTGCACAGGTAATCCCAAAGCAAAACACTTTCGCTTGGACGAGATAATCTGGGTCTGACGGAATGTTCCCAAACAGTACTGATTGCCGCGAGGATCTTCCACCTTCATCGTCGCGTACGTCAACACGTAGTACACAGTAGCCGGCGCACCAATCCCATGGCTGTCGCAATTACTCTGCTCGAGTCTGGCGCAATATACTCGATGTCAATGCTCATTCTTCTTGTGTCCTCTATCACCGGGCGGTTTGAAATCTGGGCATACTCATTGGTTGTTATGAATGCGGTGGGCATTGCAGTTTGGCACGCTTGATACTAATCTAACACTGCGCGTCGATCTAAACAGATTGTGCCGATAATAGTAAGCATCAAAGTGTACTTGGAGTTTCCCCTGTTCATGGGTTTTGTAGGGAATCGCTTTCTCACTCATCGTCATCCGAATGGGCTTGGGAATCACCACAGAGATGCATTTTCAGAGTCAGCGGAGCGGACAGGGTGTCGCTAGGAGTGCGGTGCCTGACTCGGTCACTACGAACTCGATTATGTTGTTTGCACAGGGGCCGTCAACGAACACCGAGGACCCTGAATCAAAGACGACTCTTTGAGCAAAATGGTAGGAGGATGAGGATGTATGACCAAGTCGATGTAATTGAATGGGCTTATTTGTTATTTATCTTTCATTCAAAGTAAAAGGGGGACATGCACGGCTCTTGATGCATGATAGTACTATATGTGCTATGTGCCTATAAATATATTGCGATAAGGATGAGAGAGATGGCAAGCGAGTTGTCTGGACTGGCTAGCTAACGTTGCGGATGCATAGCGCACCATCGATGCTCATTACGAGGTAACAAAGCTACGGGACATTTCTGCAGTCAAGCCTACAAATTGTGCGGCTGTGCTCGGATGTCGATTGTCCGATGGCCGATGCATGTGCATAGCTCTTTGACTTTGGTCTTTCTCTCCGCGAGCGTCACTTGTTTTCCTCAGCGACGAAGCAGACGTTGAAGGCGTCGGGAGAAATAGCGTTGGAAGTGCTTCCGGTTGCCATTACGGCGGGCGGGGGTGGGAGCGATGGAGCGGAATGTCGTCAGTGCTCCTCCTTGAAGCTCGCGGTCCGTCTGGTGTGCCTCAACGGGACGCGGCCTCGTTGCCCGTGTGGAAGGGAGCACGGCACTGGCCGCCAAACTCAAGCCAGAGCGGAAGACGGAGAAGGGGCTTTCCTTTAGAGCGTTGGTGAAGGAGTGAGAGTAGCTGACCGTAGCATCATCGTCACCGCCCGCGTCTGGGCTGTGTACCACCTGTGGGATTTCTTTCCCTTCAGTGTTTGATTTTCCGTTGCCTTAGTCTTTCTCCTCTACCTTATACCTTGTCCTCTTTCCGTCTCGTCCCGCTCAGCGGCTGGTCTATCGACCTCGTGGGGTCGCCGTGCGCAGACTCACAAGGCTTCCAGGCCCATCCGCAGGACTGATCGCTAAAACGCCGATAGCCCCGCCTATCTATCTCGGAGAATACCCACTCGGTTTACTATGCGTCCGCATCCGCTCGTAGCACGGCAGACAGAGTCAGGCTCAGATGGAGGAGGTGCAACGTCGGGCTCAGGGGACTCGGTGCGTCCTGCTCTCCAGTGATATGCGCTGACAAGATTCTGACGGCGGTGAAGGCTACGCAGGGTGCGACTCCGACTGATACGGGTTCTGCCGCCTCGCCATCACCAGCCGATAGCGCTACGTCTGCCCCCGAGCCGACAAGCGCGGTGGGAGGATTGACGTCGGACGTTGGGAGCGCAACGTCGGACGTGGGGAGCGCAACGTCGGACGTGGGGAGTGCAACGTCGGATGTGGGGAGCGCAACGTCGGATGTAGCCACGGCTACTTCACAAGTTGGGTGAGTTCTATCTGTTTCATTATGGGTAGTAGTATCTTGGAAGGTGGAGGAGTTGGCACTATGGTGCGCATGTGCTGACGAACGGTGCTTTATATCGTAGATCGGTGACATCCCAACCCACTTCGGACGCAACACAGTCCTCGCAGTCACAGTCGCAGTCTTCATCCCAGCCTTCCGCAACTCCTACATCTTCCTCTCAGACCGACTCGTCATCCTCGCAGTCCCAATCGTCATCCGACTCATCGTCCTCTCAAACGCAGTCATCTTCATCTCAATCTCAGTCTTCATCGTCCCAGACCCAGACCTCCTCATCTCAGTCCCAGTCGTCGTCGACGCAACCCTCCTCGTCATCCCAATCTCAGTCTTCTTCATCCCAGTCGCCTTCATCATCCCAGTCGCAGTCCTCATCATCCGCATCTTCGACCAGCGACATCATCTCAACGACTACATTCATCACCACAGCGAGCGACTCCGTCATCACGAGCACCTTCACCACCTCGATCTCTCCGCCCTCGAGCTCCTCGGGACCTAGCAGCACCCCAAGTCCAACTCGGTCTTCGAATGGTGTCTCCACGACGTCGTTCATTACGAGTTGGTATGTGACCTCGGTCAGCGGAAGGATGGTAACCGTACGTCTCTTCTTCGGCTCAGTACTATTCATACGCCCATCCATTCATCAAAAATCTTGCTTGCCACTTTGCCTACTGTTCTCACATTGATACATCTCCCATCTTAGACCGACTCCGTGACGCCAACAATGGTCTCCGGCGACCCACGCAACACCGCCGTCAACCAGCGCACCGCCATCATCGCAGGCACAACAGCCGGCGCCTTCGCGCTCCTCGTCCTTCTCTTCGGCATCTTCTTCTACCGCCGGCGCAAAGCCTTCAAGCAGAGCGCGTTCGCACGCGCCCTGAGCGTCGGACGGCGCCGCGACCGCATGCGCCAGAACCTGCTCGCGGACGACGACTTTGACGCGGGCGAGCCGCTCGCGGCGTACAGAGACCATCCCGAGGGCGACCCTGGGCACGCGCACACGCACGCGCCGAGCGCGTCGTTTAGCTCCTACGCGACGTACGGTGCGCCCCAGGCACAGCCGGGCATGGGCGCGGACACGGCGCAGCTCCCGCCGCGCCTCGAGCGCGCACGCGCGAGCGACAGCGGCTCGGCGTTCCGCGAGGCGGTGTGGCCGCCGCCGACGGACAATGCGCGGTACGAGGGCCCGCTGGCTGCGTCGCGCGCGATCGATCTCAGTGAGATCATCGACACCGTTATGGGCCCCGGCGGCGGCGGCGGCGGCGCGGGGCAGCAACAGCACGCGCACGAGGTGCCGCAGCCGTGGGTCGGCGAGTCGGCGCATTCGATGCGCGAGACGGTTCCGGGCGGGAGCACGCACACGCGGAATCAGTCAAGTGTTTCGTTTGGGTCAGGAGGGAATGAGTCGCAGATCGCGTTGCTGGAGGCGGCGGGGCTGAGCACGCCGAGGCCGACGACGCCGACGGCCAGGGGCGGACAGGGCGGCGCGGGGCCAGCGACGCAGGATGGGAGTCCGAAGGCGTGGATACAGAGGTCGCCGCTGAGGGCGCTGACGCCGACGTCGCAGAACCAGACGGGGCCGCAGTCGCGGCGCCAGAGTCAGGATCAGGGTGGACAGGGTGAAGGGAACAGGGCGTCGGCGGCGGACAGCGCGAGTGTGTATTCGCGGTGACGATGATCCCTTGTTTCTATATCACTCTCCTCTTGCGTGCTTGGTGCAGATCGCCTTTGACGCCCCAAAATCGTCTAGCACTTGCTGATTCCCCTCTTCCGTCTGTCCGCGGGCATGCTCACGTCCATATTTCGGATGATGTGTCTGCCATGGTCCCGTTTACCCTTTCGTTTACCACCACACCCCTTCCTCTTCTGTGCTGATCTTCACATTCATGGACACCGTGCATCTGGGACCCCACTCACCTTTGACTTCTCGCCATAACGGACGATATCTTGTGAATACCGGTCACTCAATTATTTACCTGTCCTCTCCTCTTTTCCCCCGCTGATGAAGCTGGCTCTGGTTTGGTGATGATACGGCTGTGTTTATGATTTTACCACGAGAACGCTGACTCTGGCGCTGCCACCGACACTGGGCTTTTTCACCTACTTTAGACGTCGTATATACTCTTTGTTATCTTTAGACCGTATATCGCCGGTCAGTTCCGCTCTTTGAACACCCTCTCATACCTGTTTGTGTGCATGTTTTGTGCTGTTTTGGACCGATTGTACCTATCTCTGTACAGGTTCTTCCTTGCCCCGTACTGCTTGTGATATATCATGGGTTTTCATCGCTTTCATGTGAGTACGCTCGTTCGATCATGATGCACCGAAGTCCTGGTGGAATATATCACGATCTCCTACACTGTGCCGCTTACATGTCTTGTGATGTTGAGACTCAACATCTCGAGATACATCACTGCACCGTCCAAGTGCAGGGCAAACGAAGATGATCAAATCGGGGCTGTAGCTGGCGGTTCGTATTGCAGTCTCGCGCCGTGTGAGATGTCGTCGAGGGAGACAGAGCTCTCGGAATGGGTGCGTCACTGGAAATCACCGAACAAAAGCACTGAAACGTCTTGGTCCATCAGACTTGCGCAGAACCTAGTGCAGCTGCTGAAGGGAATTTCGGCCGCGCTGATATTCTCGTCGAAGGCTGTGCCCGACGGAGATTATGGATGTATACGTGAGTTGTGATGCTATAAGCGTTGGTGGACCTCGGCTCATTATGTACCAACCGTGAGTATGCAGTTCACCAACATGCAGAACCTTGCATGTCGGAGCTATGAACGAGTTTGCTGCGGCAGATCACCAAATAGTAGCGCTACAAAGTCTTTGATCCACTAACTTCGCGACACAGGGTTCACCGCTGTTGAGGCTGTTCAGGTCCGGCGCTCTCCAACTTGAAGCTCGTGTAATGTATTCGGGGGTCCTAGTACGTTAGTGTAAGTGTCTCATTAATCTGCGGGAAAATGACCAATGTGCGTCGGTGTCATTTGTACGATTGCGGAATGTAAATATGATGTCGAAGAAAACGAAGAAATGACTCGTCGAGGGGGGTCGATCAAATGTGCCCTGGATTTTGACTTTGACAGCTGCAGATCGTTGACATCGACTCGGAGTGACTCATGCGTGCTCACCGGGCTTCACGGAGTTTGAACTGTTCTCTTGCAGTGCTGTTCGTACAGACCAGTGTCGACTATGATGCCTTCGTAACACTGCTCACATGCACATTCACTACTATCCGTGTTCATATCACAAGCTGGCATGTATGAGAAATGGCACCAAGCTCATTTTGCCATTCAAGATCCTGGTCTTCAAGGTACGAGGCGCTCGGGGTCAGTATGACTCAGCTCTAGACAGTGCGGTGCCGCAGCCTCTCGCAGGCAGCGCTCGCAGCGGGATGCATCACGATCAGCAGGGACATCGCCGCAGTGCGCAACGGTTTCCTCTGCGTTTCACATCGGAGAATCTACTCGCCAAGACCAAACCCTGAGTCCAGGGCAGAGGGCCACAGACTCTGGCCCCAGCCAGTTAGTAAGCTCGGTTCATGGTAGGTGATGGCGCTGCGCGTCCGAAAACGTTGTGAGTCTTTCGGTCGCAGTCAAATATACCGAGCGCTAATGCGTCATCGCACGCACGCACCGCTTCGCAGTCGCACCCTGCTTTTTCAACTGCATATAAAGTGCAAGGGTCTGCGACATGTTTCGACATCAATATCACCTCTACTTCTGCCCAACGCCTCTCAACAACAGCAGCTCTAACAGTCTTCTCCGCCCAACATACCAACCACAACCACCTCCCAGACCACTACTACCAGTAATCCGCTAGCCATGTCATACGCCCCATCCATCGCCTCTTCCACGGCTACCCTCGTCGGTGCATCTCAGCCCAAATCCAAAGGTGTCCCTCACCGTGACTACGAAGCCGCCCTCGGCCAGCTCTCCGCGTCATACGGCTACGGCTGTCACTTTCCTGCTCCCCAGAAAAGCACTACGACTGCATCATCATCCTCGTCCTCGTCATCTTCCTTCTGGAAATTCGGGAAGAAGTCCGCGTCATCCTCCAAGTCAACCAAGTCTACCACCTCTGCGCCCGCTGAGAAACGCGCGCACTACCCCCAGCCCCAGTACAAAGACTGCTCAGCCGCGCTCGGCGACTTGATGAGCACGTACGGCGCTCCTGGAGGCTCTGCAGGTCCTGTGTCAAAGCACCCCAAGTAATCTCATATATCGGTTTTGGTCAGTCCTGCCATGTTGTTTCTTGACTTGCCTTGGTGCTGACGCCTTGCCACAGATAAACACATCAACACCGTACCCGGTACACCACCTATGCCACCCTCGCAGTGATCTTCAAGATCAGTAGTTGCGCAGCCTCTGATTAGGCCGCTTCCCCTCGTCCTCCCGTGTAAGAACGACGTCGACCATGGTGGAGCTAAAGGAAGCACATTCGCCGGCGGGTACCTGCGCAACAGAGTCGCAGGGCTGGCCGGCACCGCAGAGATCGAAGGAAGGGCTTGAATATGCCGCTCTCGCGAAGACTCCTCCGTTTCTTCTACCTATACTCAAACACTGAATTCATACCTTACCTGCATACCTTTTGTAGCCTCTAACAATGTGAATGTCATGTGCCTTTATGTCTGTTCGTCTTACCGCCATACGAGTGCATGGGTTGGTCTAATAACTTCTTGGTACTCCTGATCCAACGCCGGAGCAGACTACGATATTCAGTTGAGTTTGACTGCACGTCTCACACATTTGCATTGGTACGTAACAGTGGTACGTTGACCCTACTTTTGCGAGAAAGTTTCGAGACGCAAAGAAGTTGCGCATTCTCGAGGGGTTGAACTCAAGTACGCTAAATTCATCTCCAGCCAAGATATCTACGCGTGCAGATTTCTAGTCCAAGTAGGGCAACCAATCGACCTGAACGCCTAATTCTCTTACAGATTCAGCCTCGTTCACCACCGCATCGCAATCCCGCCCACAAATAACGTTAGCTATCCGACACTCCAGTTCACGACGATGAACCATACACTCCCGGAGAGCTTCGAGACTCGGACACCCGTCACTCCCAAAACCTTTGATGATGATCTTCTGGAGCTGCGGAGCCGGAAGCTGCTGATCACTAGGCTCTAAAGTCGCGAAGACTGCTCGGCTATCTTCCCGAGACACGTCGACAACCTCCAACGTCTTCACGGAGTTGACGTGGAAGAATAAATCCCGCAGCGTGTTCGGGACAAAGGCGCATGTGCCGATGTAAATGGACGTAACGGAAGACATGGGGAATGCCTCGGCGAAGTGTGTCACGACCTGGCCAGCACGAGTAGATACTGTTGAGTAGACCAGCTCGAAGCACGGAAGGGCCTGGGTGCGACGACTCAGCTCGAGAGAGCAATCGGTGGAAACCTTGTCGTATGTGGCTATAGAAAAACTCGCAGAAAGCTGGCTGAATATCGCGTGTACGACGTCCGCTGTGGTTCCGTCAAAGGTCAGATCATTGGAGGCACCAAGCGCGACGAGCCTGCGCAAGGCGTTTTGCATCGCGTCGTCATCGAGAGCAAATCCTATTTCTGAGGCAGTGACTTTGACCCGTGCGCATGTGCGATCGAAAACAAGCCGTGGTAGAAGAATAAGGCAAGTGTGGAAGTCAGCAAGGACTTCTACGTAGCGAAGGGTTGGGAGAGTGGCAATGACATCCGCATCGAGATCCGCGGGGAATTTGGGGACGATTAAGCTCAGATTCAACGTTTCTAGCTTGTGCATGCCATTCAGGGCGCGTAGCATCTCGGGAGCTTCTATGGAAAAGCAACGGATGGCGATGGCTAACTCTAGAGCAACAAGGTTCGGAGCAAAGGGTCGGATGCCCACCCAGTCAAAAGGGCTGAGAAAGCAGCGAATATGAATCCGTTTGAGAAGGGGGCACTCGATTAGCTTGAGAGGAATTATTTGCAAGTTGACGCCGGGTGTGTTGATGAAGTGGATGGTTTCGAGGATAGGTGCAGAGCCAGCGGCAGTCATGAGTGACGTCATGTTCTCTACGGTTACTTTTGCGATCCACATATCGCGCGTACGAGGCATATTCTTGATCAACTCATCGTAACCTTTGCTTCCGGGCTGTAGCTGCTCGAGATTGGCATGGACCTGTAATGGTACGGTACGTGATCGAGCTAGACTCTCTTCTCCCCAGCGAGAGCATCCACGCTGGTGGCAATTGAGGCGATGGCATAATAGGGTTGCCCTGAGGAATGGATGGGACAGAGCTGCGGATCGCCATTGACGGCATACCTGTGTGACTGGGATCCACGATGGAGCTCTGCAGGGCTGATGGTCCTCTTTTGGAAGGCCTAGGGCATCGAAGCCTAGCGGAGGAACACACTTGTTGAAGATCAGGAAGAGGACATCGTGATCGAGAGTGGTCGCCGGAGACGCATGCATCTAAAGTTTCAAATTCACTAGATAATGGGCTGGTGATTGAGCCTTCTGAGGGTTTAGCAAAGTCGAACTCAGAATATGGACTGTTACGAACTCATTGTGAGTTGTCGTCAACCAGTACTTGTGCTCAAAATGTCAGAATTACGTCTAGTATTCGAACCTTTACGGCTTTATTGGTTCATCCAGAAGCCTCCAGTATGGCGATGTTCCTCTATGAGGTCTACAAGTAAACACCGCCTTCATACGTCTACACAGGCGCTAGGTATCTCCAGTAGGTAGTACTGTAGATTTTCGACCTTAAGTTCACGGTGGCGTGGAAAAGTCGCGGTTCGGAGCTCTTACCATAACCGGATGTCCCCCCCTTTTGGTTCAGAGGGCTGGACCGCGGGGGGACACTAAGTTCATTTACCGGCCCTGAACCGGGCCTGTCACCTCCACTAACCCCTACAAGCGCTTCTCCGAGTCCATCCTCGATGATGATCAATGAGGCACTCGAGGTCGAGGCAACTCAAGCGAATGACGAGGTCTCTCCTGAAGACAACAATCATTTTGCAGAGGATAAGGAGCACGACGACAACGAAACCTGGACGGAGCCCGCCAATCTCATGTCGTGGGCCCTCCATCCGGGCAATGTTGATGTCTCTGCTACCTCGGTCTCGACTCTCGGCATGGCGGATGATCTCGATGTGAACTTAGACATCTTACAGGTCCTTGGAAATGAGGATCTGGGTTGAGAGAAGTGCCTGGGTCTCTTCAAAGTGTTATGATTAGTTCCTAGGTCATTAGAACACATTGTAGCACTTTTTCTTAGTTAATTCATCAACTTTACATCATATTTTGTGTTTCTACCATATGTCCACCCTTTTAAGTTCACAACCCCTCCACAAGGGTGGACTGTCCACCCCCGGAAGTTCAGTTCAGAGGGGGGGGGTGGACAGGGGACTGAACTTAAGGTCGAAAATCTACAGTATTAGCGCCTTACGCATTCATGCATTCGTGTGGCTCCGCGTCTATCGCACTGAGCCACGTACATAGCTTACGTAGCCGTCCTGCATTACCGTGGGATTAGGACTATACAGCATTACGAATATGGTAGTGACTTCACACGCTCCTGTCATATATACTGTACCTTTCCGATCTTAAGTTCTGTCCCATGCACTGTGAGGACAGAGATACCTGAAACTCATGAACGTAAATCACACCCGTACGTTAGTAGTTTTCATGTAACATTCATGTCTTCGGAGTATAGTAATAATGTAGATGTTTCATGAGAGTAATGGACTTTGCCGAGATCCAACAATGGACGTTTTCGGATGATTCAATGTACTTTCTCATGGTCAAAAGAATATTACTTTTGAGGCGACAGGGTGGGCCTGAACATGAAGCCAATAGTTATAATGGCAAAGTATAGTGATTATCACACGAAAAAGCAAGCAAAAATGACTGCAAATGTGATGACATTCATGTATTGATATACAAGCAATTGGCTGATCTACTCAATACACAGAGAACTACAATCGACCCTGAACCTCCCACCCCCTGAACATTCTTCGGCGGAACAAGCGCAAGGCTGCTGCCGCCGTCATTATCCGAGCTGTCAGTAATGTTGCAGTCGAGGTGTGCAGACACGACCGTTCTTAAGCGCTGCGGCAGGAGCTGCCAGTTGAGGATCCTCTCTCGTGGATAACGTATTGACGGAACGGGCCAAAGTAGACACTTGCTAGATGATAGTGAAAGTAAGTTAACAAAACAATGAGAAGTAAAGAAGCATACCGAATACGATAGATGGCTGCTCTCTCCACCAGTCTCATACCACTGCCGCTACTGGGACCTCTAAGCGAGGACTTGAGTCGTTACGTGAGATTTCTCAAGCACAAGAGAAGTTCAAGTGTGTGGAGATTCATCTAGATGTAAGCGTTGTTGCGGTACACTCACGCGAGCCCGCTGACGGCGATAGCGTTAACCATCCTGTGGCGGGATCAGTGTCTATGTCAATCAGCCAATCAATTCAAGCTACGCGAACTGTGTTGCACTCACCAAGAGAGCCTTGATCACCCACCCATGAAGGTTAACCTGCGTGCACATGATGTTGGTGTCAACTTGTGAGATATTGGAAGGAAGGAAACGCCGTTGGGGGAAGAGGCGAAGATGTGGGTGGTGGTTGAAGGTTCGTAGGCTTCACATCAGCATAGAGTCATTTCTGCTGGTGAATCGAATATTTTGAGTGACAAAAGGTCAGATTGGTGCAGGAGAATGTACTTAACAGGCCAAGCAGTCTGGGTCCGGAGCTGCCATGGAAAACCGATAGCAGGGAGCGTGAGGTTGGCGTGAGGTGCGAATGCGGTGGACAAGAAGAAGGAGGAAATGGCAGAGGTCGATAGAGATATCAAGAAGGAAGAAAAGAACGCGAGAAGCAAGTTCAACATTTGTATTTATTTGTTGGGGGTGGAGCCCTCTCCAAGCACCGACGCCACCTGACGTCATCGTGAACATAGTTTCGCATTTCACGTCCAGGTACATGACTTGATATACCAGGTCCGGGTACATGACTTCAAAATCAGGCCAAAGGAACATTACTCTAGCATATAAAGCAAGGAGTACATTATAATCAGGTATACATGTTCTTGCAGTGATGTCCCATGGGCCCATGAACAGAACTTAGAACATGGGACAGTCCCACTGATTTGGACCCTTGCGAACTTAGAAACGGGACATATGGTAGAATATTAAAATGAAGAAACATGTTGAATAACAATATTAACAAGTGAAAAATAAACCAGTAGCTTGCATGTCTCACGCACATTGATAATCTACCTTCTTTGCAAGTGTCACTACATGATGGGGAGAATTCTGACCATAAATAATTCAGAGTGAATAGTGGCATAATGCTATAACAAGCTTCAAGTTGCAACTGAAGGCAATTGTTTGATGTCATATAGAATGCTGTTATAAGGACCACTCTCTGTGTGCTGCATCACAAAAGCACCCCGGCTGATGCTCGGCTGCATGGCATCCTCATCCTCAGGTTCACTTGCTGGGTCACCCACCCTCACCCACCCTAAGACACGAACTTTGTCCCGCCTCTACAGGACTCAGCGAACCTAAATTCGGGACATACGGAATAGGAAGGTGTTAATTTGTAATACTTTTCCACGCCACTGAGAACTTAAGATCGGAAAGGTACAGTATACAGTCGCTACCACGAATATCATACACAGTGTCTTTCTACCCCGAACAACTATCATCGTCAACCTACCAGCCTAACCAGCTACTAACTCAACCTTCAACTAACGCCCGGTGAGTCTGCGCTTTTATAGGCTTCTCAGCTATACTCGTGTTCGATCTTCGACACAAAAGACGTACATCGCTGACCACTGCGAGGGTGATGAGGAGAGCTGCTGTGTTTCACTGTTTGGTCACGCTCAGCATGGCAATACACGTGTCGAGATTCACACGCTTGAGCCAATGTGGCTGAAATAGCCAGAAAGTCCGAGATCTGGGAAAGGCGGCAAGTCGCGGCGGCAGGCTGGGCGGCGCGGCGTCAGTGGCGGTGCATAAACTAAAAATCCCACGATGTGACCGCCGCGCGTCGCCTCGCCGCCACGCTTATGCGTGCTAGAGCAAAGACTGAGCGTGTTTGAGTCCGCCAACGTTGTATCCCTACACTATAAGTTTCGACATATCCAAACTCGAATAAGAATGATTTGGACTCTATTGAAAGTGCCGATTCGGACTCCAGTGAACATGAATTAGATTGATACTCCAGCGACTCGGGCTGACGACGATACCACGATATTTAACTTCTCTCTCTCGGAGTGTAGTGTAGCTATGTTGACCGCATCAGCTCTCTTGTACTTTTGTACTTTGTATCAATGCTGCGTCATGCACTGAGCTGCATGGAACTGTTTAAATTCAGCGACAGGGTCCAGTTGAGAGTGATAGAGCAGCAATGGCTGCACGCGTTGACAATGAGGCAGCGAGACATAGCACGAGCATCCGTAGATGTCATTGGAGGAGTTAGGGCTGACCGGTAGACGTCGAAGCCATCAAGCCGAAGAGAATTGAGCTCTTCTTCTGTGCTGTCAGCGTCCGCCGTCCTGAGGGCAGGGTACTGGGCTATCTCCATAACTGCCTGCATGGTAGATAACTCGTGAGCACAAACACCAGCTTAGGGTATGCCGTTTACCTCGTCCTTGGGGTCCTCTCTATCGCTACTGACGTTGTCCGCAAGATAGTCGTCGGAATCACTGTCGAGCACGTTGGGTAGCTCGTCGGAAACAGTCCCCGGATGCACTTAGCTGAAACAAAGGAAAGGGTATGGCATCCTCGATCGGCTAAACAGGAATGTGTATGATCTTCCTTGCAGATATGCGCAGCCTCATGATAGGCTTGCAAGCGCGTCTACGTGTTGAACGTTGAGGAACTGTTGAGCGTATGGCGTTGAGTTGCTCCGCTGTCTCGGAGGGGCCGAGAATCAAAGTCGAGTGAGTACCCACTTTTTTTTTCGCCCTTTTTGCGGTGGCGCCTACTGCTGGGATTTTTTGGATGCAGCGATACATTTCTTACGATCTTGAGGAGCTCGTTGCATAGAAGAAGTCGGGAAGGAGTGTGTGTGTGCGAGTCCAAAGAAATGTGGCAGGTGTGTGCACCGCCACTGCCGCCGCGCCGCCGCGCCGCCACGGCGGCATGTGCCGCCTTTCCCATTTCCCGGGTGTTCTCGAAATAGCAGTGGTTCCAGAATCCGAATAGTGGCGTCCAAGTGCAAACGGCGGCCCTGAGATAGGTGGGCCACTGCCGCTGGTAAGTGACACAGCAACGCACAACGTACAGTACGGTCGTTGACAAGGTAAGATTAGGGCTGTATGTGGTGTCCACAGGAGGTTTGTTCACATACTTCATCAATCAATGGTCCGGACGGTAACAAAGCAACTATAACGCGTACGCCGCCTTTTGCCCATGAGAATCCTGTACATCTTACGAGAATCCCTGCGAGGATTCTCCTGATCTAGGTTTCTGAACTCCCGAAATATCAGTCAGTAGCTCAAAACCCAAGGTAGACACATCCTAACGATGACTTTCAGTGGCTGTAGCTCCCGTTGCAGTTGCATATAAGTTGTTATGGGAACATTTTCATTGCATTCATTCCATTGAAGGACCAATGATCAGGAATAGGTGGCGCTTTTGGTAGGTTAGATAAGGTTAGACGAGTTTAGACGTCTAAAAGTGCTCAAAATGTTCTGATAGGGGCGACTAAAATCCTCGTTGCACCTTGAAGCCTTCACAACAGCTTAACCGAATGTTGTAGGTGCTAGCGGTCAAGGGTCCATTGAAGTTAGCCATTTCAGAGACTGAACTTCCATTGAACTTGATCTTTGTGAAATACCTGTGCAGCCGCCAGGGGTGTACGGATCTGCCAACGTTTGCGCAGGCTAAAAGCAAGGCGTCTACTACACGAGTATCGAGTACTAGCTTTTTAAAAAGCCATCAGGGTGCGAAGCCCACAACGTTAAGTTATCTAATTGTTCACCTTCCGTACTAACAAACTCACACCCATCAATATCGCAATAAAGGCAAGCGGAATGAGAATGACAGTTAATCGATCATGTACTCGCCTAAAACCTTTCCGACCCTCGGGTCCACGCCCTTCAAAATCTCCATCGTTTCCTCCCATACGAGCGCCTGAGTCTTTCCCCCCTCCTCGCTGATCACCCAGTCACTCTCCTCTTTTTTCGTGCCTCTACTTACGTACGCACCACGCATGCCTTCTTCGTCATCTCGAACACCCAATGCCGCGAATACGAGCTGGCGCGCGCCATACTCAGCAGGCCAAGCAATGAGTTTCTCCATGAACCAGACCCTCCACGATGAGATGATTTCTCGCCTCAGCTGAGAATAGCAGAACCCCGGGTTTGGCATCACTGGTGTGACGGGAACAAGGGAGAGGGGGCGGAGGTGTTCGGCGAGGGCTCGTATGTGAAGGATATTGAGTACTTTAAGTAACCCGAGTTAGCTGTCATGAGAAACATGGTAGCAAAATACGAGGAACGTACGTTTAGATTGAGGGTAGCGGCTTCTGAAGTTCTCCGGTGTGCAGTATTCCCTGCTACTGAGCATCCTGAGAGGAGTAGGCGACGCCTGTACATCACGGGATATAGATGACCAGTAGTGCGAGTCACTAGCAACGGTGACCAGCCGTGCTGGTCTGCCGTGCTTCTTTCCCGCCTCAACCATACGCGGGAAGAGGAGAAGGGGTAAGAGTGTAGTCGAGAGGTAGTTCACCTGTAGACTACAACGAAGGACGTCAGCATCAGGCAGGGGTGCAGAACGGCAACCATGAAACATACGTGCTCTCCCACCCGTCCTTGGTCACTTCATATTTTCTCGTAGCCAATGCCGCGTTCATCACTAGCATATCGAGCGAGCCTGTCTCGCGCTCGAACCGGTCTGCGAATTCGCTCACGGAAGCAAACGAGGATAAGTCGATGATCCAAAGTTCAGTGTTCGCATAGCCAGACCGCCGTGTTATCTCTGCGCGTATGAAAACCTCTCTCAGACTCGTTTGAACATGAGAAAATAGAATGAGACCTGCCTTTGACTGCGTCCTTCCCCTTACTCTCGCTCCTGCAAGCTATGATAAGCCGCTCGGGGTTCATAGATGCGAAATGAACGGATGCCTCGAGCCCAATACCAACGTTGGCTCCTACCACAACGACCGTCTGACCAGAGAGATCGGCACGGACCACGGATGGGACCCGAGACCACTGGTCTACAATGAAGTCAAAGAAAGAAAGCTTCATAATGACTGTAGTGAGAAGACGGAGGTTGGAAGTGGTGAGGGTAAGGACTGGGCCACCGTCTCGATCTGCTGGGACTTTATATGCATCGTTAGTAAGAAATAATTAGGTCACGAAGAAGCTAAATTGACCCACCATCCATCAGGCCGCTCAGTCAGCTCGGTATTCCGAGTATGCTTGCCAGTAGGAAATAAGCAAAATGGTCTATAACATGAAAGTCATGGTGCTGACAGGGCGCCGACCGCCGACGCGTCGACACGGCCAAGTGGTCGTCGTCGTTTATGGCGAACGATCTTCTCAGCGTCTCGGTGTTTGACAGCTCGGAATTTGCCGACAGCGAGCAAGAGTTCCGAACTCACAGCCACTAGTGCTATAGCAAAGACATAGGTCACGTGACGTTTCATCTCCTATGCTCTCAACTGGTCTTAAGTTGTTCTGGGATGTCTTTTTATGTTTGGGCTACGTCTTTTGGGTGACAGTTCCGTAATAATGGTGATCCATATACAGAGGCAGTGCGAAAACAAACCTATGTATCTACCGAAGATGCGATCTAGGAGGGTCCTACTCCCCAAACCTCAAGTCCCACCACATCATATGCAACCGAAACTCCTCGCCGCGAACCACGCATGCACAGAGCCTCATTTCCAAAAGTTGGACATGGAGCTGTGGAGCCTTCCAGGAGCGATGAGTCGATGTACAAGCCATAGTGTCCATCCCTGGAGGGTATAGACAGGCGCGAGCAGAAATATGAGAAAGACGCTGTACGTCAGCAATAGGACACCTCAAGGGGAACATGGGCGCGTACCCTCCACCGAACGAGATAGAATCTGGCTCGCACAGTGCAACATAGTCGTTCCGCCCCGTCCACTTGTGCACCGTCAGCCCTCTGTCCTTGTCCAATCCCCATAGGAACCTATGCAACACATTAAGCACCCGCTAATGGAGCATAATACGGACATTACTCACGACTCTCCTGAGCCATAGTAACCCTTTGACATTCGCAGCCCATCGTCAATCCAGGCACCGAAAAGTCCGTCGTTGGCATCCTTCACTATCACCAGAGCACCTTTCGTCGCACCCGGCGTATTTGGAGGTTTGGGCTCGCAGCGGGAGTAGAGGGTATTGAGGGAGATCCCGTGCTGGTCTACACTGTACAACAACGTCCATGATCGCGGAAGACGCGTCAGCGCAGGCATGTGTGACCGTATCTGGACGCGAAATTCGAGTTCAATCAAGGCGTCATTGAGGCTGGTCAGAAAATAACGCGTACCTGATCGGCCAACTCAACCGTCAACACACTTGCCGTTCCTTCCTTCCTCCCCACAAGCTTCACCGACCTCTCGCCCCTCCGCTCTTTCTCCTGCTCATCATTCTCATATGAGGCTGCGAATCCCCTTTTATCCCAGTTTCGATCTCCCGTGAATCCCGGTGCCCCCGACGGCGGCACAAACACCGCCGTACCGAACGGCGTACCATGCGTAATCGACGATTCCGGAAGCCCCGAAACAGCTGACCCTAGAATCGCCGATGCGGAAGCCGACGACGGGGTGTTGTGCTCGCTTGTTCGTGTACGCGAACCGGACGACGAAAGGAATGAGGGCACCCAGCCAGAAGAGATGCGAGACAGTGTGCTTTGTGCCGAGGGCGGCTGCGAGAAGGACTTGAAAGGGGGGGAGCCAACCATTGGAGGGGGCGACTTTGAAAGAGACGAGCGGGACTGCGAGAGCGAGGATGAGGACGCGGATGGGGGCGTGGAGCGCCCGGTCAGCTGCGGTGCTACGGGCGACTGCGGGTGCACGCGGCTCATGGTAGGGCTCGGAGGGCGCGGTCTTGGGTGCGGCATGTCGTCGTCTTGGTATTTCTGACCAGTCGCTGGCAGCTCAGGATGAGCTTGTAAGTATGAAGGCGTAGGCGAAGGTGGGGGTGAAGGGGGAGGAGGGTGTGCCCAGTACATGGGCCTGTCTTCGTGCTGCAGCAGCTCATCGAGGACACCACGCCTGTTCCGCTCGGCGTTGTCTTTGGCGCGGGAAGTGAAATCATCGAAGAAGTCCAGCGTAGTATTAGAGTCATTCCTCGCATGTCCGTTCAGCTCAGCAAGGTCTGCCGCCTGTTTGTCGGGCTTCACGGCTTGCGGTGCGCCAAACCCAGGGGTAATAGGCAAGAACGCGGAGAGTGGATCATCTGTTGCGGGTACAGAGACGAACGCGCCAAAGTCAGAGCCGATTGACGAGCTGAATGAGCGATGATGCGTCGGACGCGATGGAGATGTTGGGCCAGCAGGGGAGAACAGGGGGCCGCCTGAGGGGGTCGGTTGTGTAGATGCCTTATGTGAGGGGCCGGGAGAGAAGAGAGACGCAAAGCGATCAATATTGTTCGAATCAAGGGCATTTGGTGGGGTTGAAACTTTGGTTTGTGATGAAGAAGGGCGGGGTAGTGGTACATGATAGGATGATTGTTCGTCTTGGTCGTTAGATGCGGGTAACGGGATGAGCGACGGTATCGAACTCAGTGCTGAGGGCATAGCGCTGGTGGATTGTAAGAAGGAAGGTTCTTCGAGGATGGTTGTGACGCACCTAAGACCCCTTTGATACGAGATCTACAGGTTGGGCGCGATGGGATAGTATACAGAAGTGTGCGTGGAGACAACGTGGTAGATACAGGAATCGCGATGGCCTAACGAGGGCGGTGCGCAAGAGCGGTATGAGTCTCGCATCGTACAGAAGTGATCACATCGTTACTTACGAGATCAAATACCGCAATTACAACAACAGTGAGTACTTGAGTCTCCACCCGGACGTGAACACAGTGGAAGTGAAACGGCTGCAGGTGTTGTGCTATAGACGCCTGCAACAGCAGGACGTTGGCTGGTCAGCAAATGACATCCTCATGATCAACCACGTGTGGTCCTCACCTTAGGTTTTGTTGAGGATAATGCTCAGCTTAGCCGGCTGCGGACTCTGCATGTGGAGGAGATGGAGGATGCTAGCAATGAGCAGGACCTTGAGGTTGTTTCCAGTTGATGACGGCAACCAAACGAGGCAATTTCCTGCCGCGCAATCGACTCAGGGGCTCAACTCAGGGGCTTTGCGCTCCTTACACATTAATATTGGCTTCTATCTTCATAATTAGCGTACGATAAACGTATGCTGCACATAGGTATGCATACTAAGGGAGGCAGAAACATGATCTGAGTCTATCAAAGCCACCCCATCCGTAACTCAAGCTGCATTATGGCGGCGCTTCTCAACTCTCAGCAGCTTTGATACCCGTTTCATAAGAGTTTAGCGCTGTAACTCTTACATGATGATCAAACCACAGCAATTCCCAAGGCTATGCCAAAACACTCCACATAATGTACGGTCCCTTGCCACTGGCACACGGTTAGCCAACAACCAGCTACGTTTTTTTACACAAATCACCTAATCTACAGGGAGAAGGACAGTGACAAACACGGAAAACACGAGACGGAAGATTTACAATCACGTACTATCGAACGCAAACGTTAACGTATCAGTTAGGAGACTGAACGTGTCCGTAAAGGCAACGCTACTCGCAATACCAACGGCTAAGCCTAGAACCCAGGAAGACTGCGTGGTAGTCATGTCGTATCCGTCGAGGATCATCACATCGTACGCCTTTTGAATCGCGCGGCCCAAGACGCTGGAGTCACAATAGCAGGTATTGAACCCGTTTAAGAACTGAACGATGTGTATACCGCAGAGAATGAAGGAGTTGATTGTGATAAGACCATTTCCGCTCCACCGAAGGATATCTGCGGCGCACTTCCAGTATCCACGAGAAGCAGCACGATCCGGAAACTTTTTGCGAGGCAAATCGGCATGATGTTCTACGATGCTAGACGCGAGCATGAACATCCAGATAATGGTAGAGAAGATGCTGTAGACGAGAGATGCGAGAGAACGGCATCCGAGTCCCTAGGACATCCCCGTCAATTAAGCTTTCTATCGAACGCTGGAGTAACGTGTTTCAAATAGTTCACGGTGGAGGGTGTAACCCAAACGATTACAATGGCTGAGCCAGTGTGCCCCATTGGAGCACGAGACCCGAGATGGATGCTCGCACAACACGACCGACTATTCCAGTAGCCCAGGGGCTCCGCTCGTACCTTTGGCCCGGGCAGCCGTAGTATTCCTCCACCTTATCTAGTGGACCGCGACGAATATTTGGGTGTATACCGCTGCCGTCCGAAGCTTTCCACTCGCTCGCGGAGACGGACTCGTGTATCATTGCCACTGGCAGTTGTACTGCAGATCCGAAAGCCTAGAGCACCTCCTCCACCGAGCGGGACCAACCATATATACGCGCATAATTGAAGATAGGGGGGCGTGGCACGCTCGCCAGGAGAAATACCAGGAGTGACCATGTCCTACTAGCAGCCTTCAAAACATAAGGGGAGGAGTCGTTCGATGCAGAAGGTCCAAGTGGTTCGAGCTCAAATGGCATAGAGGTGGCTGTGTCGCTCCGCGGATGAATCATACCCGGATGCCGGTATTCTGTCAGCTACCTTCATATGCCCGAGCCTGACCGACCCTCAGACCTGCACTTTCGACATGTCACCCCAGGCTATAACAGGCGCCTCATTATTCTCGCAACGACGGTTCTCAACCTTAAAGCATAAGCCACAGCACCCAGGTACGTGTATCTATGTAATTTCCTTCATCGCCCTGAACTCGACTTGAACTTTTCAGGGAAATTACTGAGCGAGACGCCGTCTCCGCTATAGTAGCAGCCGTGTAGCTCAATATGAATCAAGCGTCTATACCCTCAAAGATCCCTTTCACTCCCACTTCGACTTATGAGTCATTCAAACCCCAACCATGGCTCCCAATAGAGGAGTACCCCGACCCTCTCCTGTATCCCGAGTTGCCCTCCAAACCTCGCTCGCCCAATTTCAGCGAGAACTACACTCTCAGCACACATATCGTTCCCGCCGCGTACCCAAGGTTCACTCCGGAGACCCCTTTACCCGAGATTCATCCGTTCACCGGCAACTCAACAGAACGGATGACGCAGATTTCGGAGCTCGCGGAGAACATTCTGAGGAAGCGGTATGCTCATGACGAGCGTGAACTAGTGGGAGAACGCGATCAGAAGATCTATTGGCATTGTATCAATCGGTACGCCCGGAAGGAGCCATCTGGCACAGGTATCACGCTCTTTCTGGCTCATGCAAGTGGGTTCCCAAAGGAGGTGAGCGGTCTGCTAACTACAACGCGAAATGTAATCTGACATCCTGTACGAGACGTGGGAGGCGACTCTGCGGACGCTCTCCGCATCCGCTGCAGGACCTCTAATCGAGGAGATCTGGGCTTGGGAAGCCATACAACACGGTGACTCCGCTTTACTTAATGCCAGAACGCTCGGTGGGATGTGTGAGTCATGGGTGATTCTCACCGTGTAATCAACCCTCTCACTTTCTTCCAGATGATTGGGCGGATAATGCTCGCGATATCGTAAATTTCTTGCTCAATTACATGCCTGATGAGCTATGCGCGTCCCTCCCCACTGGTCTTCCTCGAGTACCCGCCGCCGTCAGCAAAGCACGCGAAAAGCGCGGCTTCTTAAAACGTACTCTCGTAGCTGTTGGTCACTCGTTTGGGGGTGCAACTTCGTGAGTCAAATTTCCTTTGGACTATCTTCGATAGATTGATATCCGTTTAGAGCACTAGCAGCTCTCAATTTTCCCAATCTCTTTTCTTCACTTATTCTAGTTGATCCTATGATTACCCCGCCAGCGAAGCCTGACGTTCTTAGTCAGACGCCATCTCTCCTTAGTTCTATTTCGAGACGCGACAAGTGGTCTTCAAGGTGCGTATCCGATAGTCTCGTTTTACACGAATACCGGGCGGCTTACACCCCACAACTCTGACTTAGAGAGGAGGCAAAGTCAATGTTCCAGAAGTCTCCCTTCTTTTCGCGCTGGCACCCCGACATTCTTGATCTATATGTCGCGTTTGGCCTCGCGGATGACCCCGCAGGTGGCGTTCGTCTAAAGACGTCCGGCTTGCAAGAAGCGCTTGTCTACGCAAACTCCAGACGTCGCGTCCCAGGCGAGGTCTGGCAGGATATTGAGAAGCTTGACCCTCGCATTACGCTGCGCTGGGCTGGACCTGGTGAGACAGGCCTTGGGTAAGCGCGGATTTTTATACCATATGTCCTTCGTTGACAACATCATTCGTGCACAGAATTAGTGTACCTGGCTCGTTTGCTGTACTTGCATGGCGCCGACCAGTCAATGCGTCGAATATATTGATAGAAGGTGCGGGACATTTGGTACGTCAGATCCTTTGCAAGGTTTCTAGCTAGGACATATCCTGATTACTACTCCGTCTCAACCTCAGGTTGTTCAAGAGCAGCCGGTGAAGCTGGGTAAGAATCTTCTATCGGGGAAGCAAATAGATAGCTGACATGTTGAGCAGCCGATGAAATAGCGACGTTCTTGCTTCATGAGTATGGAAGCGGAGGCTCGATGTTCAAGTCGCTCCTATAGCCTCGTACTCTGGCCTCTTCCGAGCTAGCATCCAACGAAGTGAAGTAGTATATTTCAATGAGTGACTGATCTACCCGACTGGTGGCTAAGTAGAGTAAGTAATGTCCAATATCCGATATCACGTAGAGGTAGAGTTCGTGTTAGCCTCAGACGCTCCCAAGTCAGTAAACAATATGGGATCACCGCCTTCGTAGTCCATTTCTGCTGCTACCTCAGCTGTTGTTAGCAGTGATATTGACGCCACTGGAAGTGCCGCCGATGAGGTAGTACGTGTTCTGCTTCTCGTCCGTGCGCGCGTACGTGAACTGCGCATATACAACGTAGCTGGCGTTGAAGTACGTGATATAGGGAAGCTGAATAGGACACAAATCAGTTTCTCCTCTAACCTATCAGAAGATCACACATACAGCAGTGTTGAACGTGTCCGACGTAGCACTCGCGTCAACCTCATTGTGCGCGAGCAGGACGGGCCACTCGTAGCCGTTGTTGCCCTGGGGCACCTCGAGGTAGTAGTCGACATACGTGGGGAAGTAACCTTTCTCCTTGGGGCAGGTCAGATCCAGCGAACCGGTGACATTCTACAGTACAGAGGTTTTAGTACCGACAAACTCCAGAGAAGGCGCGAGAAACACTTACGGAGCCACCAGCGAGAGCGGTCGAGGGAGTGATGGTGAGGGCACCGAACTTGTTAGCCTCGGCGCAAAGAGTGGCTGCTGCAACGCTGGCAGCGGCGAGGGCAGAGATGGCGGTGAAGATCATCTTCATAGTGCAAGATTATAGAGTAGTATGTTCTTGTAAAGTGAACGCGAAGCTAGAGTGCGAGAATGGAGGGGGAACTAGTTGGGAGGATGAGAGCTCTGGGATGCTGGACCGGTAGCATTTTATACGACAAATGGCTATGATCGCCAATCAGAGAACACAGAGATCTTTGGCGGGATGCTACAGCTCTGCTAGTCATCACGAGGGACGTGTGGGATGATGATGAGGATTTCCAGCCCAACCGAATGACATACCGGACGTACATGGCCGAACTTTGAAAAGCGGCTTCGGAAGCCCGTTGAGTATTAGACAAGATGTGTCATCTGCGATCGGCGTATTGAAGCCGTGTCAAGGGCACTGTTCAGGGTTGCACCCAATGTCCGAGTCGGAAAGGCAAGTTTCGCCGGAGCAGCAAATTGGCAAGTAGGCATTGGACCGAATTGCTCACGTCCTACTTACGCAATACTTGGCCATGGCCTGCAAGCCTTTCCACGTTGTTCGGAAGTAGGCTGAGGAGGTGCAAACCACTGCAGCCAAGAGGAACTCAGCATAAAAAGCCAGGAGCAGCAGACTCGATTTTCCTGGCTCGGAACTTTGGGCGATAGCTTCCGTTCACGACACAATCCCGACATAGGCGCGAGGGTCGGAGTTACAGCCATAGCGAAGCACGAGGCTTTGATGGACCATAGTGTTTCCTCACAAAGAATGCGTCAGCGTTTACCTTCGATGATGCCGCTAAGGCCCCTACTTTACCAGGTTCTCGTAGTCCTTCTCGACGCAGTTACGTTTACTTTCTTGTTCTTACGTGTTTTCCCCTGCAATAGCGAATGACAAATTAAAACAATTAAAAATGGATGCCGTATGTACTCAGACAGGGGTCTGAAACCGCTACTTGGGACTCGGGCATTCAATATTCTCGGGTACCGGGAACGCTTTCAAATTGTATTTAGTTCATGACTTTAAAACACTCGAATGTAACAACATAACGCGTGATGTCGGCCTCAGACAGCCGCTTTTTTCACCGCTTGAAGTCTTCGAACGAATAAATGAACTTCGACATAGGAACTAGGGGTGATTGCATGCTTCCAAGAAGCATCGTTATTCGGTCTATATTCTCTCACCTTCTTCAACATCTCCTCCTCTACACTACGAGAGGCCAGCGAAGAGCATCAAGGAAGACATAATACAGGTAGGCCATTCCTCGCGCCCTCGGGCTCCGGGACTCGGGAAGAATATGTCTGACGCTAGACATCGCCCAAGCGTTGTTAAGAAACACCGGATAGTAGAGTCTGCATAAAATGTTTGACAAGCTTAGATCCTACTCAGGCGCCACCAGGATTCGAACCCGGGCTGCGGGCGGTGATCGCAAAGCAACCGCAGTCCCGTGTGCATACCTCTACACCATAGCGCCATGAAATAACGGAACGTTCCCTCGCAGATACTTGATGAAATTGGGGACGATGTGGGTCATCTATCCGTAGAACGGAGGTGGTATTCTTCTATCCACATGCAACGTGTTGTTTGGCGCAACACTGACTCAAGCATTTCAGAGCTCCCGACTTTCGCATCAACACTGCCGACTCGCCGCGCACCCAAGATTTATAACCGGCCGGAAACCTCCCAACGAGTTTTGGATACATCGTGGAAACACTTCGTGGCAGCCGTCAGTTCGCCCACGCATATCAGTAGCACCATATTTTTAGTGCACGTCGGTGCATCTTAACGCCTAGCGCACGTCAAACTGTTGGGACCGAACGACATTGTACCGTATGTGTTCTACCTGTAGTATATTAGACTAGGTAGGACCATAAGTGACAATATATCTGTCATGAGGCGGCGGCTTGCCCTCTCGTTCGTGGTATGAGCGAATGAAGGGTACGATGCGTGTTTCTGATCTTCTCCCGTTCTGTGCCACTTCATTAGTCACCGGTCACCACTATTGCTCGCCACATCCGCGTCTTGCGGTGTCGTAAGGTTTGTCCGTTCCTCACAGGCTCCGTACCCATCGTGAAGTTCACACAGACAGAAACCATCAAGACGTGGGCATTGGTCCCGGTATATAGCGCGGGCATTTAATCACATCCGGTCATGCCAGCGTTAGTGAATATGCATATTCTTGTCCACTTAACTGGTCACATGTATTACCCTTGTTACCCCCGTTCTAATGCGGTCTGGCAATTCCATAACTATTCACCTGTGCATTGAAATGGTCGCAGTCTAGTCTAATCAAGTGAAGTTGTCGTGAGATGAACTCCTCGCTAAGGCAAACACTGTGCGTATCTACGTCAAAAAGAGTTTCCCAGCATCAGCATCAGCAGAATGGCTGTACGCGTCAAATTTCTTTGAGTCGCTTGTGAATGCAGTGACATGAATACTGAGCCATATATCAACATCCTTCTGTCGCTCCAGTGCCCACCCCAATGTTGTCACTCGAGGATAACCTTTTTACTCCATTTTGGCGTATCCTGGCAGAGATCTTACTCGATGGTAATCCGCCTGCCTTCGATACATAACAATGCTCATACCATAGGCATGCTTGGTCTGTAGGAGTATTTGCTGTGCTTCTGGCTCTGGACATATACATTGTCGTAACTCGACGGCATCACAATGGTGGACGTTCTACACAGGCTAATATTATTCTTTTAATAGTCGGTGTATTGATGTTTGCGATGGCATTGCTGGTATGTGTATCCGCACTAGTAGAAAACTTATACTAACATAACGCTTTCTCCAGCACATCTGCTCATCTATATATAATGGCTATTTCAGCAACGCTCTCCATGCAGTGGAACTTCTTTTTGATGCGTTTCCTCCCCAGCTTTCAGAGAGCTCATTAGTCTGTTTGGAACAAAATCAGTCTTCGTGGCCTCAACCGGGTTCAAACACATCCAGGGCCTACATCAAGATGGCGGTCTCCAGCGAAGTCCAAATGGCTGCATTTGTGGTGCAACTGTGGTTAGGTGATGGGTTTATGGTATGTTCAATCTGCGCTCAGATAATCGTACCACTTAACCATCGCAATTTTATTTCATCAAGCTCTTTAGGCTGTGGAAGGTCTGGAATAATGACAAAAGAGTAGTTATACCTGTCTCCGTCGGGTTTCTCGCAAATATCGGTGCATTTTTATGAAGATCTGTGGAGGTGAAACTAGCCTAAGATGGTTTAGCTCTAGGCATCGTCTTGCTAGACACCAGCAGGTTCAACATCCTCCGTTTCACAGGAAGTGAAGATGTTGGCCAAATGAATTTTATGTATAGTACAGCATTATCTGCAAACATATCCGTGTTCGCGATAAGCTTCGCGGTCCACCTCAGCTGCACAGGTATTATTCCGCGTAATTACTCTAGTTTCAATCAGAGCAAGCTGATATAAGAAACACAACAGTACTGATTGCAGCGAGGATCTTCTATGTTCATTACCGTATACGCCAACACTTACAAGGGGGCCGTCGCACCAATTCAATGACTGTTGCGATCACTCTACTTGAATCTGGCGCGATATATTCACTGTCAATGCTTTGTCTTCTTGTATCGTTCAAGGTCGAGTTGAACCCTTCAGACGTATTTTAAGGTTCAGTTTACCCGAGGCACTACCCGATTGGAATGCGGTGACTGTGCTGCTTCAAGCTAACACGACGCCCTCCTGACACAGAAAATGCACCATATAGATCGTGCCGATAATTGTGAGTGCGCGAGCGAATTTGCGGGCTGGTCTGGCTAACGTTGTTTGTAGGGAATCGCTTTCTCCTTCATTGTCATTAGAATGGGTTTGGGAATAACCACAGAGATGCACTTCCAGGAGACCAAACAAAATATCGTAAGGAGTATAGGGCATGATTCAAACGCCACAAGTTCGATCATGCTATTTGCGCAGGGCGCATCGACCGACGTTGCAAGAACCGAATCAAAAAGTAATTTTGAAGAAGATACTACGTGACGTAGACTATAACTTGTATTCCATGAGGGATAAACACACAGAGCAAGTGTATGCTTATTTCGGGTAATAGGTTCAGGAAAATGGCGTGTACTTAGTACATGTACGTCAAGACAATGCCTTTAATCCTGCTACAAATAAGAAATAGCCCATTTTGAGTGCTGTGACTCAGAAGCCATTGTTTAATGCTTAGGAGAAGACAAAGACGGAGCGGGGAATCTGGCGATTTCCCCAAAAATGAATCACATTATCGATTGCGGTAGGCGCTCGAAGCTCGACGACTGAACCGGGAGTCAGCGCATTTGACCAGATACCGGACGAAAAGCGAAATATGATGCTTCTTGGGGATAGCATGTCGTTTTGGTCCAATGAAATAGCTCTTTTAGCATTACCCAACTTTATTTAGGTTCTCTCGACACAAATGAGCTCGGTTGCATGGACATAAGCATATGGGGGAGTTAAACGGCACATCCATCGATAGTTAGTAACTACCATCCATACGCCTGAACAACATGAGGAGCATCCCAAATTCCATTAGAAAGTGTGTAAGACGTAGGACGAAGAAGGAAGCGAGTCACGCCATATCTGTCATAAGTACAGTTAGGCAGATCTAGGCTCTGATAGAAAACTTCCTGAGAAACCTGGAGCAAAGACTATCGAAGAATCACTTGTGATGCCAGTGCCCCTCATCGCTTCAACGTTTCTCGCTTCCTTCCGTCGAGCTTTCACGTACATTTCGACCGATATGCCCAAGCCCATTCGCGTGATGATGATCGAAAAGGTGACTCCCTATTGATGATGGGTAAAGCTAGTGATTGTCATAGAAAGTACATGACTTACGACTAGAGGTACGACCTAGCCGTTTATCAATATTTAACGTCAAACGCCTGCCTATCGAAGCAGGCATGATTTACTCACCAAGCCCATGACCACGTCCATATAATTAAACCTGGAGCGCAACGACTTGATAAATGACTCGGCAAAGGCGATTAAGAGAGCTAGCATTGATAGCGAGTATATCGCGGCGGACTCGAGCAAAAGGATTGCCACAGCTGTGGGGCTGACGCCACCCTCACGCTGAACTGACCTACCAACTTGACGCTGGAGAAAAAGTACCCTGGCTGCAATCAAGACTGCGGTTGAGCCACTATCAGTTTAAATCAGCCAAATGATGGACACTGCACACCTGTACAGGTTACATGAACCGCGAGGCTCACGGCAACCACGGAAATGTATACGGTGTTGGCCATCATGGTTGCCTGATCATCAATGTGTTGACCAATAGTCGTAGTGGTTCTATCTTTCATGTCGACAAAAGCTTCTCCGTTCCGGTACAAGGCAAAAATGCCCAACGCTTGAAGCAGGGTTGGTTTCGTCAGCAAAATTCGACAAGTGCTCCGCAGGGCGCACCGATATCGGCGAGGAATCCCAGGGAGATTGGTGTAACGACACGTTGATCGTTATTCCACACTCTCCACAGCCTGAATAGCTTGATCAAACATGAATATGATGTGTAAATTTCACACGTGGAGCAGGCGACTGAACGTACCATAAAACCATCCCCAAGCCACACCTGAGCGACAAATGCAACTTGAGCAACGGTCACTGCAATCGTTCTTTTGTGTGCCAGCTCAGGCAGAGTCGCAAAGCCTTGGTTTACGTATGTTCCAGCGACTTGCAAGACGTGGAGTGCATCAATCTTGACGCCAAAGTAGATCGCGTAAAGGGTAGAACCCAGGTGCTATATTATATGGTCCATGCTTTGGCTGTCCTTGCGAGCTCATCTATGCTGCTTGCACTCACCACAGTTGCCACAAGGAACATGCCGGTCTCGACCACCAAGGCAAGTCTCATAGTGCTCATCTTACCCCGAGCCCTTACGATGCATACGTTCACCACCAGTAACACCCCAAATACACCTAATGGCGAGTAAGGAGCTAGAAACCCGAGAAGCACAAACATTATCGACTCACTATAGAGGATCGTTTCCGGCAAGGCCAGCCATAACGCGTTGACCAGACTATACAAGTTCTCTGTCAGGCTAGTATCCATTTGGTAGAGAAAAGTGCTGTAGGAAATTACCCACAATACATCAGGGAACAGTACTTTATATCACGAATCAGATTACCGCCTCGTCGAGATGAGCCGGCGATTTAAGTGATGATTTGATGATGCTACGCCCAAGCCAATGCGACACCTTGCTATGCCTGTCAGGACAGCAGTCAACACAGTTGTACGCACATGTACACGATCATGGGAGATCTGTTACGTCGGTTACTTACGCTGGTCAAACACTCGCCGCAATAACCCACAGCCAGCCCGTCGGAGTTTATATATGGTGGCGCAAGGCAGGAAGCGGAAGTACTCCTACTTGATCAGTAAGTCAAACGCGGCACCCTGACATCCCTTTTCTCTGGCAAAAAAAAGGGAACTTGCCCGTGATGCGACATCCGCCAGAACGCAACACGCATATAGTCCCTGAGATTGAAGAATGAGATTGATATCATGATTGATGGGTGATGAGTATGAGTATACATATGACTTGGGATGAGAAACTGCCGGAACCATGCTATAGTGTAGGGGTCTACCATAACGGCCATTGGGATGTATCATATCGTAACCAACAACAAAACCGCTTTGCTTGTCAATGAAGAGGGAGAAGGCTGGAGATGGGGCTATGGACAAAATTGCAAGAGATGTGAAAAGAAAACCGCGCATAAAGCTATATGGCTAGGGCTATAGTGCAGCTAAAATCCGTTCAATCACTTTACATGCTACCTCCCGAGAAATGAAACTACCTACCACCTGAACCGAACCGTTATCTCCGCGCGACCCGCTTCCTCTCCCGTCCATCTTCCTCAACATCCATCATCGAATCCACGATTGCGTTCACCTGCGCCTGCCCACCGAGTCCGCCATGCGCCTTCGAGCTCCTTGTCCGCCGCCTCGGACCACCGCTGGGCGCGCTTCCCGCTCCTCCACCGAGGCTCAAAGGGCTCTCAGGCGCATCACCTGTGGGTGAGGGCGAGGCCGAATCAAGCATCATCATGACGGCGTGGCGGCGCTTCGCACCCGCGACTAGTGCGATATCCGACTCGGACTGAGAGTGGGCGAGTTGGGCGGGAGATGTGCCGTTCAAAGCACGCAGGGCATGTGGATGCGAATGAGGGTGGGTATGGGAGTGGAAGTTGAGAGTGGGCGTGGAAGGGTCGGAGGTGAACGTGAATGGGAAGGCTGCGTTGGGGTCTGAACTTGTAGTTGAAGGAGGAGGCTCTGAGTCCCGTGACCCACGGTTACGACGGAGACGTTGGATAGTAGGGTTACTAGGAGTGCTTGGGTTGGGAATGGGATTGATATTCGCCGCGTTTGAACGCAGGGCTGCAGGTGGAGGCGTGGGCGAAGAAGGTTGAGCTGGGGGGTCTTGCGGATTCGAGAACGGCGAGTGTGGGGTCATAGGCGCCGCTGGTGCTGGTGCTGGCTCTGGCACGGAAGGCTGTCGCTATCAATCCTTATGCGTTAACTTCTGTGGCATAATGCAACATGAATCAAGCTCACCATCGACGATGATCCCTGCCTCTGATCGCTCTTCGGCCCCTCCTCGCGCTTTGAAGATGATCCCGCGCCGTTATCTTTCCGCATCCGCATCGCCGAAGACGATGACGAGGCCCCAGCAGTGGCCGCGAGCGACTTGATGCGCTCCCGCTCCTTCTCACGTTCCTCATCCTCAAGCTCCTCTTCCTGCCGCGCCTTAATCGCCTCGAGGCGTGCCTCAACCCAATCCATGATACGTCCCACGCCCATGCCACCGCCGTGCTCCATCATGGGGTCCATCGCCTGATTTGAGCCCGACATGGAGGAGTAGGAAGAGGGGTGGGGAGGGTCAGAGGGGATGGCGCCTGAGGAGACACCCTGCTGGAGCATGAGAAGGAAGTCGTTGCATGCAGCTGCGTATCCTGCGTTATATGCGCTCTTTGAAGCATGTCGGGAGGACTTGTAGAGAGTTGTTATGCTTAGTGCAGCGGCTACGATCCGTGAAACGTTAGTGTGTTACTTGGTAATGAACGTGAAACCAGATGTGAGGGATGCACAGCGATCAATACGTCGAAGTGTATCCGCATCAACACGAGAAACAAAGAAGAAATACAAGAGGGATGAAAAGAGAGAGACGCATATAGGAACGTGAAAGTGGAACGAGGTAAAGACCGAAGAGAAATAGACTGACCTTTGAAGTTGTTCAACATATCCTTCTCCGCCTTCTCAAAGTTGGATGCTGGAAGAGACTTGGCCAATCCATTGAGATCAAGTGAGGAGTCCATCTCCCGTAAGTGATACGAAGAGCCGCTTGGTCCGGTCCAAAGGACGTTTCTCGTTGAGGTGGTGGCGAACGCTGATGCGTGTCGACTAATGTGGATGGGGTTTGAAGTGAGAGGAGAGTATAGCGTCCTAGGACAGATGTGTTAGGGGAAGAAGCGAGGAGGTAAAGGAGGGTAAGAGGTCGGGGAGAAAACAGTACCGTGCAGGGAGAAGGCGAGTCGAGACGTCGTGACGCCGTTGTGGCTTTGTCGCAGCCGCCTTCGGGCAGGGCATCATAAGCGTAATCGTCTCCGATCGCGGCTCATCCCGCAAAAATACCTCATTTGGTAAGGCAAGGCCGGTTTATGTCAGTTTCGCACTCAAAGAGAGCCAGTCTGTAAGATTTACACATGATCCTGTAAAGTTTATGCAAGAGGCCCTTGAGCCTTATGCGCATTTAACACGGAAGTCTGCCATGACGGCAACGTCAAACGCAGACTTGGTTCACAACCCCATAACCTTTTTTCGTTTCGCTCGAATGTTCACTATCCTCTGAAATACCCTCAGTTACTTGTCCCCAGCTCCACTGAGCTTCACCGGCACCCTAGCTGTCTAGCCTAGCTATACAACGTCAGGTTCCTTGACCAAACATTTCGTTAACAAGTTGGGTGTCCCTTGAGCTTGCGTACATATCTATGACGCTGCTTCACATTTTCGGATGGATAACGCGTGTGTGGCTGTCAAAGGCGCGGTACGTCGCTCACCATGCTATTCGCCCGTGCTGCGGGGCACTCCCACGGCGGAAGCATCTATCTCACACCATCACGCCACGCACGCCAGGCATCAATCCAAACATTCGTCCCGATTCGTTCACTACGCCTCAGTTATTTGCAACCTCCGGCTATTATCATCTTCTTTAGCCTCGAATAACGCTTAGGAACTACTTCGGACTGATATGCTGGTGTGCTCCCCGAACAACCTGCTCTTCGGAATCAAAGCTCTCTGCATACTACACCTACGGTCGAGAACCACACTATCGTCCAAATTCCAAATTAGCTCTCGTTGCCATTGATCCTCGCCTGCATGGCTGTGCTTCTCTATGCCTCCGTCGACATTGACGCTCTCAAAATAACCCACGGAGCTGAACTATATATCTAGCTTGCACCTGTGGTCTTGCAGTGCTCGACGCTGGCGTCGCCCCCCACCCCGAACTTACGCAACACCTTATCCCACTAGTCCGGTACTAGTGTCCTGGAGATTTAGAGAAACCCTACTATCTTAGCTTAGTGTCAAGATGATCACGATGGCTGCCGTCGGATTTGTGTTGGTGGTTGCCTTTCTGGTGTGAGTCTAACATTTTTTGCTACCTCCCCCCGTTGCCACATCTATCGAGGTTCGCCCACTCACCAACCTTCAGCGTCGGGCTGTTCCTCTATCGGCTCTTTCGCCCCAGCCCCGAGTCGATGGCCCCGCCCAAGGACCACGTCCAACTCTCGGGGCAGACGTCCACCACTTACGCATACACGCCTTCGTATCCTATGCGTGGACTCGGGCGGACATTCACTCGAGACTCGCGCGCGCACAGTCTCCTCCGTCTCGGTGGAACCGGGCGGAACGACTATCCCATACGACGAGACCCGGAGTTCGGATTCGAGGGCCTGAATCTACCACCATACGAGCCTCGCGATGCGCCTCCGGGATATACAACGTGATGACGAGTAAGGAAGATGCGCCGGTATGCTAGCATTATATCCACGTTACGAGTCTGTTGCGGTTGATCCGCAGAATAGGAATTGTCGAGTACTCTCCTGTGACACTTACGAGCGAAGGCGATGCTGCAACTAGGTCAGGGTAACCTCTGGTCCAACAGTTTCTAGACGTAAGTACACGCTGTATGCTGCCCATGGAGCGCACAGCATGCTACGCATCCTTTCGAGGACATCCGCCTGCAGACGACATAGGTTACTATGTGAGATCAATACCTGCCAGTACTTTTCGATCATGGAATGTTCTAAAGAACATCGAGTACGGAAGTGGAGTTGGACATTCATGTATCTCTCATAAGACCCCTGAATGGACATCAAATGGACATGCTTGATATTCTTCGTAGAATCTACAGCAAGATATTCAGACGCATATTATACGCCAGGCCTTCAAGTCTACGAACAATCCTCGGGACTAAACATAACCTCCTCGTTATTGATCCTTCCATAGTCAATCAATCATCCATCAAAGCGATTTCGCGCTCACAAGCCTGGTAATCTGTCGCGATTATGAGTGCAACCTTGTTTTCCTACGTAGGAAGCTCGTTGGTGATTGTCTTCCTGATGTGAGTCCTCAACGCGTACCCGACTCTGCTATCTCCAACCACCAGTGTAGCGTCTGGGTATCACTCATTTTCTTCTTCCGTCGGCAAAGGCCACAACCAAACCCTCCAAGCCCAGTGCAAACCCGACTGGAGAGCCAGGTTCTGCCGACCTTTCCACCCCGCGCGCTCGAACGTCCATTTACGCGGGGCTTCTGCGCCAACCCCTTCGTGCGCTTGAACGACGTTGGCCCCGCACGCAGTCGGGACACTGAACTTGGTCCCGAGATGAGCGAGATTAGTGGAGGAGAGACAGATCTACCACCATACGAGCCTCGAGAAGCTCCACCAGGTTATACAGCATGATCACAACAGGGAGAGTCTTCGCAGAAACTAGCAAATGCACTTGCACATACGTGTGCATCCATGATCCCACCAGGTCTCAATTTGAAGCCCAAGCCTCGACTCTTCGCCCGCATTCAACGGAGTCGGTGTCGGGAGGCAACGAGGATACAGGCTCAGTTGTCCGCGCAGCAGAGTACCATTATCATCAACGAAGCATCTAAATACCACGTACAAGTAAATGATGTTACATATTCACAATAGATGTTAGCTAGTCGAAGACGGCTGCGTAGATGGATGCGAGTCCTCCTCCATGACAGGGAGCTCACGGTTGGAACCGCTCTGTGCATCTCTTTCCTGGTCCTCGACCGGATCCCCGGGCCGGGAATGAGGATGCTCTCCGACGGGCGGGGGAGGTGCAGCAGGAGAAGGGACCGTTTCGATGTACACCGGAGGTCGTCCCTTGTTATCGTACGGAGGCAGCACGTCCTTCCCATCCCAGTCCACGTCATCAATGTCTGGCCCTCCCAGCCGTCGTCCGCCCTCATCGATGTCTGCTGCACGAACCCGGGCTCGCCGGGGCATGTACGCCTGGGGGATAGGTGTCAAGGAGTCGCCCTGCGGACTTCGGTACGAGGAGTAGACGTAGTCAGGACTGTAAGGTGCGGCGCGGGGCGCAGAGTAGGGGCCAGACGTCACAGCAAAGAATTCTGTGAGGGGCCGATTACGGCGGCGGAGCACCCATACTCTGATGCAGCATGTTAGCTGAACGGTGATTGAACGATGCACTGAACACGCACCTTGCTGCGAACAACAGCAGAGCCAATCCAATGGCGATGATGAAGTAGACATGCTGGAAGACGTTCTGTGAGGCGTATTCATCAGCTCATGTGCCTCCACCGCATCCCACGAGGTGCCCCAAGGTGGGAGTAGTGACGGAAGGGTACCCACCTTGTCGTTTCCGTCATCGCCCGTGTCATCCCCAACTGAAAACAGATCGCTTCGACGAACATACGCGGGGCCCATCTTCTGCGAAGGAGATGTTGATCGTGGTCGTCTGCAGGCCGCAAAGCCTGGCTATTTCACAGAGCGGACGAAAGAGCGTCGTCGTCCCATGGCAGGGGAAATTATCTAAATGTAGCGCGTGCGTGTGTGCCTTGCAAGCCATCCGAGGTGGCTCGATGACGCCGAGTGCGGTCGTTGCCACATTGGACAAATAGATGCAAGCCGAAATTCCACTCCGCCCGTCTTCCGACGGACGGCATGGCGGACGGCAGCACGCTGGGACCAATCACAAAATGACCTCTCGAGGATCCACCATTGATCCACCACCGTGTCGTCACAGTGATTGTCGGGGAACATTCCGACGGGAATTCGCTCTCAACATACAGTAGAATGTAAACTATAGTCGCAACCATCGGCCGAGGTAGCTTGTTCTGATACAATCAGCCTAAAACTTCTCGATTCAGTGTTCGTGGTGCTCTCCTCAGTGAAGCGAGCTTGACAACTATCAAACCGACAAAGCACTTTTGGTATCTGCAACGTCCCCGTGATGCCCACTCTGCAAATTGTATAATCAGCAATGTTCAGAATGACTCCCGCCATCGTCACGAGTTGAACGTACCTCCGTGTCGTAGTGTTGTTGGGTAACACGATGAACGACAACCATAGACTACACCAGAGGTCAGGTTATAGACACTTTCAGTATCATCATGTTATCTCTCACCCTTTGCGTAGTTGGCCTATCGACCTGCTCGAGCTCATATGATCTACCCTGATATGAATCAGAGCGGAACAATAGGCGACTATTGAGTCTGTAGAGTACGTCAGATCGAGGTACTGGTACAAATGCGGAGAGAAAATTACGCTGCCAGAAGCGAGTTTGCATATACTGCAAAAGGGTGAGTCATACCACTCTTTCTGGGCGAAGTAATAACATACTGTTCCCCAAGACAATATATATGCCGACCCATATGACTACCCAAGAACGATCAACGATTACGGGCGCAACAATGTGGCATGAGCTTACAGGTGTCGCCTTTAACCAAGAACTTCGGCGGCGTAAGTAATCATGCCTTTGTTAGAGGCATCAAAACTCACGAAGACGACGACAAGCGCATCGCAAACCCTACACAAGCCGCGGTCAACAGAAAGTTTGCATGGCAAACGAAAAGAGACATACGTCGTGATCAACCCGGTCTCCACCGTCCACAGCACGATCAGATCCAGTGTATTCACCGTCCTATGAAACTCGGGTCGGACACTGTCGAACCTCTCACCCGGGAACCGCGTAGACCGTCCCCACGACTGCCTCCGCATCTGCCACAGATAGAACACCAGCCCAGCGGTGACGGCGACGTCGCGGACGCCGTCGAGGATGAGCGACAGGAGGATTGCGACCTTCTGCGTGGAGCGGAACTCGGCGAGGGAGGTCATCGCAACGGCGCGCGCGGAGACGTAGAACCCGACGCCATGACCGCCGATGCACAGGGCGACGCAGAGCACCGGGAGGTACCAAGTTTTGCAGAGCTTGGCAAGGCGGTAGATGAAGAAGCCCTGCGAGCAGAAATGGGCCGATGAGTCAGCGTCATAAGCGGATGACTGGACCAGATGAATGGTGAGACGTACCTGCACAAGGAGCTGCACGAGAATGGTGATAATGATCGTCACGTCCGCCGAATACGGGAAGACGGCGAGTGACTGTGGATGGCCATACGTAGAGATAGTCGCTGTCCACAGGAGGCTCGACACGCAGGCGCCATGGCCAAGTTCGAGAGCCCTAGTTCCTCTCGCGTAAGATATAAGCATGACACGACTGGGATGGCATGAAACTTACAACGTCCCAAAAACCTATCATACCCATTTATCCGTCGAATCCAACAACGCATCACCGGAGGCGTCCTATCAATGAGCTTGAAGTCGAAGGGAAGCAGCCGACTCACCACAAGTTTGAAGAACAGTGGATCTGACTTGAACTTTGAGAAATAGACGTACGCCTGAATCAGTGCACACCCGTACAGCAGCATCGACACTATCACTCCGATTTCTATGGGACCAATGATCTCCGCAGCGTTGAACAGCATCACGGATACGGGCGAGTCCGGGGGAACTTGAGGCGGTACCGAACCCTGAGAGGGGCTGGGGCTGAGAGAAGAGCTAGACATGGTAACGAGCGTGTTCCGGTAGGATGGTGTTAACGATCAGGACGTGATCCGCAGAAGGGCACAACGAAGCACTACGGAACCCGGAATCAGGTCGGGTGGCAGAGACAGGGATTCTTGCACCCAATATTGTAGTCGATAGATGAACAGCGGGAAAAGGTCGCTCTCGCAGACAGCAATGAATGGGAACGGGGAAACCAGCGTTGGGACCGGTGTTAAGTACTGAAATTTTTGTCCGACGTTTAGACGCCGTAGCTGGATCCTGATTCTCAACGTCCAGATGAGGGACGTCCAGACGCACTTCAAATATATCTCATCTAACGAGGCTATAAACAGCGAGAATGACTGAGATGATGATTGAACGACAGGCCGGGATGGGCGGCCAGCCTCAGCCAATCACTTCCAGAGGAGATTGAAGACATTGAGACCGTGTTGAAGCGTGAGCAGGCCTTTAGCTCGAACCACGTGGTGTCGAGGTCCGGATCGCTTTGGTTGACATTAAACGTCCGGATAATGCATCGGAGCGCATGCTAGTGCGGAGTGATCAGAATGCTCGGCCTCGTCACGGGAGAACGGTTCAAGCTGAAATCGGAACCTGGCTAGAACCGCGACCTGCGCATACGTGCGGAGGTAACAGATCAGGGTGTTCTTTGATGCAGGTATTGAGTCACAGTTCTACAGAAAGCGCAATTCTTGGAGGAGGACCAGAGAGAACCAGGTGGTGCTAGTGTCACGCGAGCCTTGCTACCTCGGCAATTATGTGCAAAGTTTCACGTTGGCCTCGCAACGGGCAACGCCCAGAGAATTACCCTTGGTTTGGATGTCGCAGAAGGTCGCGGGGCGTCGGGGTCGCCGAGAAAGAGGAGGAAAGAGGCAACTTGCGAAGGAGACAGGTGGATCTGTCCGGCTGAGAAGATACCCAGCGCGAATCACGAGCAAGTTGGCGCGCGCGCCGGGTCGCCGGGTCTAACGATCTCGAAGCATCTATTGCGGACGAAGGCCAACGTCGACTTATCGACGCATCAGCGTGGGTTGTCTATCTGAGTCTGGCTAATTTCACCATATGATGATGACCGAGGCGTTGACAATAATCGGAACGAGAATTCGATAAAGACTTGCTGTCTGGTGGTTGCTTCGGTACTCACCCGAGGGTCGTGAGGATCGAGTCGCAATGGACGTGAGACGCGCCTGGCAGCTCAAGCTTGTTCTAGTCGTGTGACACACGAAAGCAAAAGTTCGGTGTCAGAGACCGAGACTCGATGTGGTGCAGCAGTGTGCGGTGTTGGGAAGAACTTCAAGAAGCATCCAATAGCGAAGTGTTATCGGAGTCTGAAAGGATTCTCACGGGCAGACGATGTTGCTGTCCCTTCCTCCCCCAATTCCCTGACTCCCTTGACCAGCCTCCGTCCCAAAGCAACAGGCAATGACAACTCTTATATAGGCATGCACCCAAACATCGCTAAGTTGACACCAGACCAGAGATGCAACCCACGTCTCCCATGGAGGTTAGGCGCGCTTTACAGTAGGACTGATCGACAAAAATCCACGTTGGAAAGCAGTGCGGAAAGCTTCAAGCAATCACAATATTGAAAGCATGGGCTAGCTCAAGCCGGAAGCAAACTCTGGTCGTGGTTCTTTATCGAGCGAGCGAGCTCTCCGTCACTAGCGCAATCCGCAGCTCAAGATTAGTCACAGTGCTCGGAGCGACTCGGAGCGACTCGGACGACCTCTCTTTCCGCTCATATCCGCGCTTGTAGGGACCCGTTTCATGACTAAACTCATTGTATGCTGATCAAGAAATACCACAGCTACCATAGTCTGTGTTTCAGAGAAGAAACTATCACAAAGAGAAAGTTCATCCCTGTGCTGCATATCACGACTTTGCACCATGCGGAATAGTACCATTCTACCGCAGTACTAGTCGCTCAGCTCGTGAACGCAGCTTAAGGCTACGGCATTTTACAGGTACGCCCGTCGCAGTGTACCTTTAGGATGGCTTAGTCCCCGTGTCCCCGTATCGGCGTTCTGCCTGCGATTTACCTAATTCTCGGCTGTCCGTACGCGGTACAGGTTTCATTGAGTCACCATTGTATATAAACTCATGGATTCCTTCGCAAGTTCACCCATCCTATACTTCACGTCATGAAGCCTCTATTTCGTTTATACGAGCAACCATGGGCAGGACTGTATGTGCTCAGCGAACTCCTGCTCGCGATTTCCCTTGGCTTCCCTACGTTGATCTTGTCGTCACTTCCTCGCTCACATCGTCCACGCTCGTCATGGTCCATCAAGCGAACTATCATGGTAGCGACCATTCGTCAGCTTCTCAGAGTGTTTGCAAAGTAAGCTGTTTTCGCTAGTATCCCCTTGATGATGTCTGATCGCGCTGTGTCATAGAACCCGCCTTTTCCCAGGTCGTCATGAATTCGCGGTGTTACTCGAAGGTCCTGGTTTTAAGTCTCTCTGGGTTGAGCCCGCTCATCACCTCGTCCGCGGCCAACTCAAGACATGGACATCTTTCACGGGAGTCAAGCCCGCCCGCATCCCAGGATACTGGCTGGATAAACCTGGCCTGAATATCCCCGTTGGCCAGCCCATCCAACCAGGGGAGAAGATCCTGTATCGCATCCACGGCGGCGGATATGTCGCGTCATCCGCCCGGCCAAATAGCCCAGTCGCCTCGGACATCACGAAGGAGCTCCTCCGCACGTGTCCCCAGTTCTGTCGAGCATTCAGCATCGAGTACAGGCTCTCGCAGCTGGAGCCCGGAAAGCCGCCTGTGAACCCATTCCCGGCAGCGCTGCTCGATATTCTAGCCGGATATACATACTTGACGGACACACTCGGTATCCCAGCTGAGGACATTTGCGTCTGTGGCGACTCTTCCGGTGGCAACGCTGCGCTTGCGCTCGTGCGGTACCTCGTCGAAGCCCGACTGCACCCGCAAGAAGGACAGGAAAGAGTTCCTGCTATGCCTGGCTCGCTCATCCTGATGTCTCCGTTGGCCGACCTCGGCACATCTCACGAGACGCCTGGGTCATCTATTTATACCAACAGCTCGTCGGATATTGTCCCGCTCGAGATTGCACTGGCGTCCACATACCGGCAACAGGCATTTCTAGGCTCTCTAGATCCCGAAGAAGCACTAGTAAACCCCTATCTCTCGCCGGCGTCAAAGCACAGCACAGTCAGCTTCAAAGGTTTCCCGAGCACGTTCATTAGCGCGGGTGGCGCAGAAGTTCTCCTCGATCAGATGCGGACGCTGAAGGAACGAATGGAAGCCGACCTAGGAGATGGGTTAGTATACGACGAGAGACCTGATGCGGTGCATATATTTATGGGGTTGGCGTTTTGTGAGCCGGAGAAGAGCCAGGCATTGAAAAGATTGGCGGACTGGATTGCGGGGTAGATGACTGTAGCATTGGATCTTACCATTTCTTGTTCGCTTTTTAAAAGCGCTACGTATACTCTTCTTTCTCACCTCTTCGTCACGTCTGTCGGACCAAACAAATTCATGGGTTGGCTGATGCGCGGTTGCCGAGGCCCGAAGTCGATTGAACACCCATTGGTTTAGGGCCGGCTGCTTCGGAAAATCGGATAACGATCCGATGACTTCGTTTGCCCCGGCGCACACCTTCAAGCTAAGCTACTCACAAGCAGTCTTTGTGACTCCTTTGCATACCACTTCTTTTCGCGTTTACAGCTCACAACATATACCTCAAAAAGCACTGGTCACATCCACGCGGCTTTGAGACTCAACCTGCCAGAGGGCTGTTGCCATACTGGCAAGTTCTAACGGTCCGCATGATACACGAACTTCCACTGGTCGTCCCCGTTTTGCAGACGCTGCCGAGCACAGACTATACGTGGTCTAATTGAAGATGGTAACTCAAGTGGAGGATTCACGAAAGGCGATAGGGCTCCTGTCTCTCATTTTGACGATGATTATAGTAAGGTCGTCAGCCTCAGTTTCTCTCAGGCTGATAGCCCTGATACCATAGCAGCTAATTATCAGGCACATCATCCTTGATTCCTTATCTTCCTCCATCTTTTAACTGCAAATGTTAATCGCTTGAAGTGAGCCAAAAGCGTCTTCGAGTTATTCAAGACGCGGACTTTAGACTGCGCCGAGCAGCACGGAGTAACTATGGAGATCTTGCCACCATCAGTACTGGTACTAGTTTGACGCGTTATTCTAAGAATGTTTACAGTATGTGTGGACTTGAAGGCAAGTTCGCAGACTATTTTTGGTGGTTGTACCAGGCAAAGAGGCAAGCGTTCGAAGAGCACGACCAATGTGCCTCCTCCCCCCTTGATAAAACTTCGCTGGACATTGTGAGACGGATGGTCTTTAAGTGACGTTCTCTCTTCTCTTCTCTGTATTCCATCCAAGTTTACTTTGTCCCATGGCCTCGTAACAGATACCTTTACGTCAATGATGCGCCGAAGTAGGGCCGTCTAGGCAATTATTGCTCCCTCCTTGCCATTGCACGGGTTTCGCTCCCTTCGACAATACTTGAGTCTATTCATAGACTTGGGGTAAGTGCATACCATGAATCGTAGGCAGGTAAACTGGGTGACTACTTGTACAGATCTTATCTTTAGCTCCGTGCGTCACCCTATCATCGCTCGCTGCCGATCAAAGAGTTGTGTGATGCACACTCTAACAGGTACCAGTGCCTAGCATTGTGGCTATGGTTGCAGGCGACTTTCCTTGCAAACTGTGCTTATCCTCATAGCGAATACCCTAGTTTTATCTCATGTCCTTTTCGTGACTGAACTCGCTCAAAATATCTTCATGTACAACAAGCGTGCACGCTTTGGGCGCCAATCAACCGCTTCATGCTCGAGGCTCCGCGCATCAAGTACCATTCATTGAACGTGAGAGATCCTTCGGCTTAGCGTTGTTCCTTTGCCTAAGCGCCAGAGTTTGGAACAGCCTCAAGGGCGATCATAACGTTGGCTGTGTCTTTAAAACCATGGGCGCGTTTCAGAGCGCTGAGTTGGGACCACGGACAATCCTTCACGACCACCACGAGCCAACGACTAGCAAAACTCGGTATGGCCAGCAGCAACTCTGCGTGCCAATTTGTGCCTAGCGCGGAGAGCGTCGCAGGCATCGTTGGTCCTATTGAGGTTGGGGTGCAGATCTCGAACGTTCTCTACGGGCTCTCGGTGATCCAGACGTTCGTATACTTTGCGCATTTTGGGAAGGACCCATGGCCTACGAGAGCTGTGGTATGTTTCTCTTTGTGATTGTCGCTTTAAGACTCTGCCTGACGGTCCACTTACTGTAATACGTAGATTGTCACGATGATGTAGGTCAAACTCTGAAACTCATTATTGCGCCGATTGCGCCGTGGCTTATGTCGTTTCAATTGACAGGGGCTTGGAGACGCTGCACCAGGGGTTCATAGGCGTGAACTTGTGGGACATGACCGTCCTGGCATTCCAGAACCAGTTCGCTCTTGACACCATCTCTCAGGCGTCTGCGGCGGTAGTTATCATTTCCGTGCTGATAATCGTGATAGTCGAAGTAAGTTTTCTTCCCCTTCATTGAGGTTCTCGCTAACAGCTTACTCGCATCAGGGCTTCTTTTGTTATAGGCTCTGGCGCCTATCCAAGAACCCCGTCATCCCTTTGCTGTGCATCCTGCTCAGCTTGATCGGCAGTATATCGGCAATCATACTTGCGCACCAAGGTCTTACCGATCCTTGCAATGCATCATACCACTACAAACTCCAGACAACACTCATTATTTTGATGCTAGCAGCACATGCTATCTGTGACGTTACGATTACGCTAGGCTTGGTTTACTATCTGGTCAGATTCAGTAGCTTTGGGATGAGAAAGTGTGTTCTTTCTGCTATCCGGCTCAGGCAACCGTCTAATACCAGTGGTCCCAGGACAAATACACGATTGCACAGGCTGATTGTATGGTCCGTTGGTCAGTTAATGGTGCCCTCGAAAACTAGTGCCGTGCTAATTCGGCTATCAGAAACTGGAATGCTGACAAGGTATGTCTGGGATTAATCTTTGTATGTTTTACACGCTGATGTTACTTCAGCATCATGGCAACACTGTCAATCATCTTCGTAAGTCGATGATCGTTGATAAGCTTTTGATCGTCCAGCTAAACCGGTTTTGCAGTTCCTCATTTGGCAGAAGAACTGTGCGTACCAGGGAACAGATTTCTCACTAGCATAGTTACTAATTCAGTGCTAATGCTTCAGATGCGTGGCGTGGCATTTTTGGTATTCTCGCGAACGGTAAGCCACGCCCAATTAGTCATGTTAATTTCATCGTTCACCGGGATACGCCTTCTCAGTCGAATGCAACAGTCTCCTCGCTGCGTCAGGAACCATTTTGTTTGGCAACCACGAGTTACTGATATTGATTACCCATAGACTGAACAACCGCCTTCTCCTGATGAAATCGACGTCCATGCAAGAGCTATCGCACGAGCTCCCGGTTTACTCGCAAAGTGGTTCAAGACCACCGATACCCGCACAGGACGTACGTTGCTCTAAGTCGCTAATTGGCATATCCAATTCTGGGCTAAATACGGTTGCATCATAGCCGATTGTGATTTCGGTAAATCAAATAACCCAGAGAGACCTGTCGGATGAAATGCACACCGACCGCGCGGCCTACTTGGACTACAAGTAGGCATATTCCGTGTACCCACGATAACTTATCAGGCATGTTTCCTTCATTCAAGACTGTCGAGAGTGCACCAGGTGAATTGACAATATGGCTGTATAAGCCACCCTCCGCTCGTTTCAGCGTTTCAGCTCTTCGTTTTCTGTTTATCATACTTACCTTGACTTCGCATATGGCTGAATCATGGAACAATGTACATGGTATACAATATACTTAATTGATAATGCACCTTGCATCAGACTTGCAAGGCATCTCTTGGTCCCATGTCGGAAATCCGCGTGTTGCAAGCTGACGAGCCTAATGGCTACCCTTCCTCATTAGTAGGTGGACATTGGCTGTTAGATGCGAACATAGCCGAAATCTATGCCATCGTAAGCCTGCGTTTCGTATAGGAAGTAAATACCTACATCTGTGTGGTTGTTCGTTACGATTCCAGGTGCATTGGCGTGATGCATCCCATCTCTGAAGCGTTCTCGCGACAACAGTGTGGCCATAAGGGTCTATATAGAATAAGTAATATGGATGAGGCTGCGGAAATGTATCCAGTAACTTGGGAGATGGACTGACGTTGGTGTATATGCGCCCGAGTGGTATGGAAAAGACACCATACAGCCCGCTCGAGGAGTCCACCATAAAGCTTACCAAGCTAGCAATGGCAAAGACTCCGGCGAAGAGACCTGTCTTCACCGCATGGCCAATTAGTTTATTGACAGTTTTGTCTGTTTTCTTGAAGCCAGTCCGGGTGCGCGCCAGCAGCATTGTCAGTGAAACTAAAACAGTTCAGAAGATGTATCAAGGTGAGGTAAAAGACCGACTCGTGATCATCGAATCCGAGATAACCTGGACAACGAACCACGACAGGCATAACCATTCGGCTGTGTTCATCGTAGGCTCACTGAAGGTCTGTGAGGCTATGACTCTGCGGAGACAAAGCACTTTCACCTTGAATATACCCAAGCAGTGATCCCGGTCCACAAGCCAAGTGCTAGCGTCACCATCGTAGGGAGGGCGCATGCTCCTGCCAGTACGACGTTTTGACTGAGTCTCCAGACGCTGATATACTGCCAGTTTATCAACTCACAATATGAACGCCTCAAAAAACGTACCGATAAATTAAGAATGCCTGCGTCAAGAATGTTTCTACTGCAGACGCCAGCATGGTAAACGGATAGGTCCACGGCGGCCCTGTGTTGTATGAGCCTACAACACGACAGATATGCCAAATCAGACTCACCACCAATGGAGCTCGGATTTGCATAATCAACGACACTTCAAAGCGTCATTCTAAAGGTAATTTCAATTGTAGGGAAATGACTGACCAGATGTCATAGACAATGTAAACGCCTCTGCGTCAAGGCTTGGTTAACCATTGCATGCTGGACGTGCTACATGCGGCGTACGAAATGCTATGAGCGGTGTCGAGCACAAAGAGCATGGCCACTGTGAGTCTGATCATAAGACTGTCAGAGAAACTATGACACGGTCAGTTGCGACGCTTTACCTCAAAGAGAAGGGGTCTCTGAACTCTACACGGAGATTCGCATGAGTAACAGGACAAGCAGTCAGGTTGGTTTACTCACTCGCCCGGGTGTACTTGAGAAACTGGAATGTCACCAAACCATAGAGATAAGTGTTGACTAACGTTGTGGCGCGTATATCATGGGGGGTAAACAGAAGTTGTTCACAGACAAGTCCTTGACTCACCAAAAGTGCCGATGAGTGGACCACCTAAGGCCTGAGCAATAACGTTGGAATCACTAGGTCCACCAGCGTTCACATCGCGCTCGGACATGTCGTCAGGGAGTTTGGGACAGAGATGGCGAAGAGGGGAGTCCACCTGTGATAGTTATACAATCCCAGTTGATAGGCGAACGGCGAAAAGATCGGGTCTAGCGCTGACAGCTTAGAAATGTCATGTAAACAGCCTCCGACTGCGAGGCCTACTAGTGCGAGCGCGGTGGGGGTGTAACGACGCAACGGCGCATTAGAGAGGCGTTGCGTGTTAAAGAATAGCGTCGTTCTTTCCCAGGAGAAGGAAGTTGGTGATCATCAAGTTCTCGCTGGCGCGAAGGTGCGGGTTAGTTCAGGTTTGGTCAACTTGAGAGACGTGGCTTAATGCATGGCGCACGGCATCTGTGGTGACGGGTGATGACCCTGATATCAATATTGGCCATCGACTGAATGGAGTTGTATCGACGGAAAGTTGAAGTCTGTGAGGTATTTTACACACGTCGAGGTCATTACGTTTGCATGGCCGAGCAACACCACTTTCATATAACCTACTGCACTGTACTAAGGACAGGGATCGGAGTGAACCATGGTGTTGCAACGAGACGGCCATATCTTACAGGAAGATGTCAGACGCAGACCCACTGACAGCTGTGTGAACCCAACTCCGGTCCGTGGTCATCGCTAAAGAAACCACGCATTTCCTAATGAAGTGCAGATAGGGGGTGAGCCGAAGTAATGTGGAGGCTTGAAGCTTGAAGCTTCGAAAGTAGTAAATGTTCTCCTTCGTCCGCTGAGTGTCTCTTCCGCAAATGTTCTAACGAAGAGTCTTATAACGTCAAATGCCGTATACAGACGCTATGACCTATATATCAAGTACCTTGGAACCCTCAGCTGCGGCCACACTTGAATCAAGGGTAAACGACAGGGTTATAGCTAGCAGGGATACTGATCTGTCGTAAACGAGCCGTGTAAAAGTTGACCCGTAACGGCCCTTTCTCAAAAGGTCGCCAGTCGATCCATGATCTTGAACAACGGAAGTAGTAGATAGCAAACGCACAATGGTAAATCAGTAACGATGGGGCTGCGATCCTATTAGATGAGCAGCATAATTTCAGTGCATCACTGTTAAAACGATGGAACTGGGCAGTCAGGACATAATGCATTCTGACAAACCAGGCAGTCCGTTTGGCTAGCACGCGGCGTTGCCGTAGGAGAGCACTATTATACACCGGAAGCGTCGGCCGTTGACCTTAACTTATACACATGTTAGCCATGATGTTAGACACATGACTCGACGTTAGAGACAGAAATGACAGTGGTAAACTCGGGCGCCAATGTCTGCGTGTTCCTCTCCTGGTCATTTCGCATGAATCAAAGACGTGTCGGGCGCTATTCCAGCAGAAGAAAGCTGAGACTCACCTTCCGCCCATCCCAGTCTGACCGTAGTTTTGCTCGCGAAAGGAGAGTATTCATGAATGTCTGCAAGTTCCGCGGTGTTGAGGCGAGCGTGAAGTCTATGTAGCTTCCAGAGGGGTACTCACCAGCGAGTAGACGCGGCCGAGAGAGTATGCAAACACCCCGTATATGTTCTTGTCAGGCCATACGAAAAAAGTGAACGTGCATGGTATGGCGCATATCTCTGCGATGAGACCACTCTGGACGGCATTGCGGACCAATCTGTTGAGGAGGCTGCTGCGTCTATACGTGTTGCTTCGCTTACGAACCAAAATGGTTATAAGGGTGCCTTTGTGGGGGGAGGGTTAGGATGTAGTGATGAGCACGCGCTCTGACCTCACCTGTGATCAGTGTATCCGCAATGACTTGCAGCGCATACCAGGCTGCGGCAACCTTCAGATCACTCTCGGTCAACCTTGAGCAGCGTAAGCTTTTCGAATGACGGTGTTAATGGATAGGCGCATACTGGGATTCAATCGTGAAGGCTTGAGTAACACAAACAACGCCTATCGCATTGTATGCAATAGTCCACACGATTATGATACCGAATAGGATTCTGCTTCGACTCAGCTGCCATATCCTAGCAGCCACAAATGAGTGTTCTTAGTTATTATAAGGAGTGGGCAAAAATGCAAACCTCCAAGAGAGATACGCCTGAGTAACGGTAGCAGAGATCGTCGTCGTGAGCGATACCAGTCTCGTGGGCCATAGTACCTCTGAGGAGTCATGTTTATATTGGGCTAGCAATGGCTCAATACTATTCGTGCTCACCTGGGTAGAAATCGTTATAGTGGGTCACCCTGATAGCGCGAATCAGTTCCAAACAACGAGCGAAGGCATAGATCACACACATGTAGGCCCACACCATGTACACCAAGCTGGAGCACGGAGACTTAGAGCGGGGTTAAGTGGAGAGTTAGGGAATACCTACGATGCGCTGAACAATGTGTCGATGCAATGAAGGATGATTACTAGGCATCTGTTGGTCATGAGCGCTCATTTCATTGGAACGATCGATGCTTCTCACTTTAGCGCCCAACCATCTTTACATTCTGTTGCGTTATACAATATGTCAGGTTTCTGCTAGAACCAGAGCGCAAATGTCGCACGTGTTTGATAGTACTGGAAGTATTGGCAGGATACAAGGCCATAAAGGAACGTGTTCACTGATGGAGCGGTTAAGCGTAACGAACGCAGGCAAAACGCAGGTGTCGTTAGGGGAAGCGAGAGCACTCACAGAGTGCGCCGATGAGAACAGGTCCTGTGTGAGCACAGGCGGGGTCAACTGGCCCGTTGGGGAATACTAGGAACAAGAAGGGCGCGTACCGTTTATGTCATCCCACTCGCCCATGACTGCCGCCTGCAAACCCCGTGGGTAAAGAAGCGGGGCAGGTCGTCCGGCGTCGTCCTCGAGGGTGTTGGCCTAAAAAGGTGTCCTATAACGTGGGCGGGGCTTGCGTCGGAACGATTTCCAATTGCTCGATAGAACGTCCGCTGTCGTCGGGGGATGTATGTAGGGTCGAATCGTGCTCGACTGAGACTTCGAGGCAACTTCGAGACCTTTGGCACGCGCTCAGCCCAGAAGCTATGTGGCGCTTGCTTGGGTAGTATGCCCCACCGTACGAAGGTGTTTGAACCAGCCCCGAGGAGAGCAGCATCCCCAAAGTGTGTACATACCGCAACGACATCCAGGAGCGGCATGTCATCGGCTGATCGTCGGCTGTCACGCGTCACGGTTGACGCGTTGACGTTTGATGCCCCTGTCACTTCCTCGGCCCGAATGCAGTCCGCGCCTGTCTCTGCGCGCCAAAACACCGACGAATCTTTCCGAGGACCAGATGTCCGTCTTCCTGGCTTGTGCCAGAGCAAGCATCGTATTGCCATCGCAATAGTGCTTGTTCTAAGACTTTTTGACCATGGATACGGATTTTGATAGTCAATCTTTGCCCTAGAAACGCAGGTCTGGCCCCAGGCCAACGCGACTAATGCGCCACAGTTGGTAAGAAAGGATGACATTATTATGCAGGGTTATCTCTGGTGTCTTGTGAAATCGCCGGCAGAGAGCTGAGACTTATAACCGAGGTTAGATGGCCTCCATGCTCGACTCCATCAGACTAGATCAAACAGCTTATTTAGAAACCTTTGGCAACTGACGGAGCTGTGTACCGTACCTTGGAGTCATCACCGCCAGGAGTCAGCCTTCTCTGTGCATCCAAACGCGCCAGGAGCGCGCTCAGGAGCGTCTGAATGAACTAGTCAGTAACCACCCGCTTATGAAAACGCAGGCATGGGCCAAAACATAATCAACACAGTACGCACGCTTGTGTACACCCGCCCGGCAGGAAACACACACATCTCTTCTAGTCGAAACGCCGGACGTTGAACGCAAAGCGCGATGAGCCATACCAGAGCAAGCAGTGTGGCAAAGGCGCCAGACATCGCCGCCTGGCGTACCAGTCGGTTCACGATGGTATCCGTGTTTCTAAGGCCAGATCGTGAACGGTTTAGGATCACAATGAGCGATACTGCAAATGCCAATTTCAGCACTTTGAGAGGCGCCACGGTTGAAGTACGCACTGGTGATGAAAGAGTCAGTGAGAAGCTGGGTGCAAACCCAAGCTACACCCATGTAGACCATTTCTCTAAAATAGCGCGAGTTACTGGCAATCAAGCTGAACGAATGTGCGCTTGCTTACTGCCTCCGAGTGTCTATCATGATACTGCAGGTCAGTCCAACAGCAAGGGAGGTGAGCGTTAGCACAATCGATACGCAGAACCAGGGTTTGCTCCGGCTTAGCCTTCGTATGCTGCCAGGATACATCGGGGTGAGCAGGATTGGATGTATGCGCGTGATTTACACAGAAAGACCTTACCGTAGGGACAAGTATGCCTGGGTCATAGACGCTAAGCAGATTGACGTGGCTGGCGTTATCAACGTTGGCCACAGAAATACTGCGCCGACGGTATAAGCGAGACGTCGAAAGAAGGGGTTGTGCAGCGTGTACTTACCGTTCTCTGCAGAGGGGTTGTCGTAGTTCTGTACCCTAGTTGACCATCGTTCCCGAATTAACGGCAAACTAGCTGAGAACGGAACACAGAGGACACACAGATTGATCCAGCACATGTAAATCAGGCTGCCAACAAAGATGTCCAGTCTTAGTCACGTATTCGGTAAAACGAAGAAGGGAAGTGAAGACATACGAAGCGCTGTAAGCGGTGTCAACAAGGAAAAGAAAGGCGACGAGTCCTCTATACATCACCGATGTTATCTCGTCAGTCTCCTTCCGCCATATAACAAACAAACTTACTTCAAGGCCAGCGGGTCCGAGAAACCTAGGCGCGTGACATTGACCACTTCAGCATACATGCAGAGATTTTCGGACAGACGCTGTGGCATTGCGGAGATGCAACGAAAACTATACCTGCGCGGAAGTAGTTCCCATACTGTTGAGTTACGAGGCCGTATAGATACGTATTAACTGTTCAGAGTATCCTCGTGAGCACCAAGTCATCGAGCCCTCGTTGGCTCCAAAAGGTAGATGGAAGCGCGAGGGTTACGTTTGAACGCGCGCGCTTACCAAATACACCAATAGTCACCGGCCCTAAATCGTGTGCACGTGTCAGCGCAGCAGCGTTGCAGGCTCAGTTGAAGGTCACAGCTTACCCATCCAGCGATTCAGCTCGTCCATAACCATGATTCTCAGCAAGTCGATGAGAGAAACAGGTCGAGGCGGAGGGAGAGAACAAGCGCGAGACACATCTGGGGAATGGGCCCATCAAGCATCACAGGTCATATCGAGGCCTGTCAAGGCACGTCATCCTCGGGTGTCAGTGTCAAATATTGCACCGCCACGCCCCTAGGTTATACCGCTAAATGGAGCTACAAAGAGCTATTGGACCAACGAGCTGGCTCGAGTGCGGTCTCCGTAAGGAATATGTATTTTTTCGTCGCTGCTTGGCGCTACCAAGGTTGATTCGGGCATCGCTGTCCGAACAGATGACGAAGAGCATGAAGCGTTCACGACGGGCCCCACACTGAAAAAGGTTAGCGCAGTATTGCAGCGAGAACCTGGTGACTCCTGACTAGGACTTGCGATGGAATGGAACCTTGACCTCCCCGACCACCGAAAGCCGAAACGTCGGTGACACTGCAGAACATACATTTAACAGGGGGCACTAGTAGAACTATCGACAGCAGCTAACACTGTGGCGCTATGATAACATACGAAACTAAGATACCGGAAAGAAAGAAGGGCCTGCACGTACATCCGGTCGTCACAGGCTCTGATTATTATCGCCCACAATCCCATCGACGTCCGCCTCCACGTCTGCATCCGCTCTCGCATCCGTTCGTGTATCAGATCGAGCGCCCACATCCAGAAGGTGCATCTCAAAGGCGTCTGGTGCGGTGTGGACCTCGCTCGCTGCCTGTCCGGACATCTGGGAGTCCTCGAATGCTGGGACGGTGATCACCGTCGTAAAATGCAGCGGCTCGGTGCTGTCCCCGGAGTCGCCGCCCTGCGAGTAGAGCAGAAGATCATCCGCCAGTATCAGCAGAGCCCTATGGTAGCCAGAGAGATGTTTACCTGTGCCGGCATGACGGTATGGTGCACGCGCCGCTGCGGTGTCTGGAGGTCAGCACGACTGATGAGCGTGTTGAGGAGCGTCTACTCGAAGCAAGTTATAATGGACATATCATTTGTCATCAGCGAAAGACTCAGAGAGCACAGTGCGAGCGCCCTGGCTTACAACCGAGTAGATCCTCCCGACGGGCAGCGTAAAGAGCCCGTAGAGCGTGCTGCCCGGCCAGAGAATGAACGAGATGAGTGCGCTGACGGCGAACGCGCTCGCGAAGAGGCCGGTCTGGATCGCGCCCCGGATGAGCTGGTTGAACATCCCCGCATTGTGCCTCGTCTTCTCAAACTCGCTCTTGGAGCGTACAAGGGTGATGATGAGCGTTGCTGTGGGTGGATGCGTCGGCGGTTGCGATCGCGGGTAGGTAAGAGGTGAGGTGAGGGGATGTGTTTAGCGGACAGGATAAACTATAGGAAGGAGACTTACTGGTGATGAAGAAGTCGGTGACGACCTGCATGACCATCCACGACGCTATGATGCCGCCCATGGAGGTCATCTTAGAGTGTCTGGCCAAGTCAGCACCGTCGTAAACGTAAGAAAGGATGGTATGGACGCGACTCACAGCTTGAGGATGGCGGACTTGATGCCCGAGGTCATGCCGAGAACGAACGCAGAAAACGCCAGTGTACACGCTATTCCTACCAGGATGCGGTTGCTGCTAAGTCGCCATATGCTAAAACGTGTCGAGCGTAAAAAGGCGAAAACTAGGAAAAACAAAACATTAGCTTACCGCCATGCGAGGAAAAGCTGGGTCACCAGTGCCGTGCACTCTGTAAGCACGGGGGTGAGAGCATACGGCCACTCATCGACTGTTCGGAGGCACGCATGAGACGTGGCATCAGTGGAAACACGTTGATCGCCAGAGAGCACGACGTACTGGCCAGCTCAGTAGGGTCGCCAAAATACGTTATGCTGTGGATCAGCGGGGCATCGCGATCATCAGTAACGAGGACGCATCAGAATCAGCGACGGAGGTAACGGAAACAAAGTTTGAGTGACTTACGTATACGACCACGACATGTAAATGAGTCTGGTGATCCGGGAAGCCCGAGTGGGTCAAGATATTGGGCGTCAATCACGAACAGAGTGAAGAGAGTGAAGAGAGAAAGGATGCGTACGCAGCGGAATGGGCCGTGTCGAGGAGAAACATGAAGGAAACCATGGCCCTATAGTGACGGGTTATGGTCGAATCGTGTAGGAAGGACGAGGGGAGCGTCTTCTCACTTCATTATGCGCCGGTCATTGAAGTCTGGGAGGCATGTTGGTGAACTGATGGGATCAAAGAGGTAGCGCGCTCACTGTTAAAATATAAACAGTATTGGTTCGTAACTACACCATATAGAAAAGTGTTGACTGCGGAGATCAAGCAAAGTTAGTTGGGCGGCAGCCAGTGGTCAAAGGCGCACTCACAAAACGCTGCGATCAGGAGCAGCCCTATAGACATCATATAGAGTGAGCAGGGTGTCAATAAGCGACGCGAGGATGATATGGATGATGTGGGGGGAAAGAGCAACTCACCGAGGGTATCGTCGTATCGCCCCATAAGAACCAACTCTTCATACTCGCGCTCGAGTCCTCCCGCCCTGCGAAGACGCCGTTGTAGAGATGTTGAAGCCGTGGGTCGGGTCTTCTTGTAGGCGCTCGCTCGCTCGTCGACACCCAGATGCACGGGTTGAGCCGGGTCGAGTCGAGTTGTGAAGCAGGGCAGCAGGACCAGACACTGGTCAGTAACCTAGTGTGGCTGGTGGGAAGAAAGGAGAGGGTGCTGGCCCAGTCGCGCGAGCGTGCGTTGCTTTTAATCAGGGGGACAAGAAAAGGACATGGAAGGGTATAGCCGCCAAGTTATGACAAGTATAGGGTTTGTGTGACAACGTGGGCTTCTGGGGTGAGGCGGAGATCGGCGCACTGCCGGGTATTCAGATTGTCCCTGGGCCCTGGGGAGTGGGATGGCTGGTTGAGTAAGGAAACGCAGGGGGATGAGGTTGCCGGCGAGTCGGATGCACAAAAAGAAACCTTAGAGGCACCGGTCGCGTGGTACAAAGATGCAAAGACGGACACGCAACTCTTCTGCTCTCCCCAGATCCATGATCGACGACGCTTAATTATACTCTCACAGAACTCATTTGACGCTGGAGAAGCTTGTCATGGAGGAGGGGAGAGAACGGGAAGACTTTGCAATGCATCCGAAGAGTACGGAGACGACAAGAAGCTGGCGGTGGCAGCAGGCCCGGTGCATCGTAACGCTTCCAAATCCCAAGCCTCTTGGAGTCTGAGAAGGTCTGAGCTGGCTTCGCCTCCTATGTCCTTGTAAGATGTTGCTATGCCACTATGCATATATGGGCCCTTTTTATACCGAGTCTCCTTATAAACCACTACAGTACCTCCGGGTCATCCAAGGATTAGAGCATGTTATGCAATATTTGAACCATCCGCCGGCCATCTATCCATGTGTCGTTCGCTGGTGATTTCCTTCGACAAGGCGGCAAAGTTGTTTGAGTCTGAGGCGCCGCTGCGTGTTTATCGAATGTTTTCACCGAGTGTTATTAGTTGATTGACAGTTTGGTGATGCCGACAATACGGTGCCAGTAGCGCCGCCGCATTTTCCGTCGTCGTGATTCCCCACGCCGCCCGCCTGCTCACTTCCGCCCCATTCATTCGCACTCTGTTGCCCCACCTGGTCCCACGCACCGACGGAGAGAGAAGGACGAACGCGTTCCAAAAGGCCGACGGTCCGTTGTCTCGACACTCACGACATTGGCTGCGCCACTAACGCCAGGCTTATCGTAAAGGGACGCTCCTCATTGGCGTGTGTTGTAAGCACCTCCCTCGGATCGAATCCACTTGATCCTTCCGTAACGTTCTTGCCTGCGCATACCAGTGAACATTTACATCTTCGGCCTTGTCACTGTCCAGTATGTGCGGTACTGGAGAGCATGTACGTCCTCGTCACCCAGAAACTGGCATTCAAATCCACTGACCTTGGCGGTCGTGTGAGCAGCGTTCAACGACAAGTTATGGCTACGGTAGGCTTGGTTAATCAATCAAGGCAGACAATCGAGCTGAGCGGTGGGCGAGTAGACTTCTCGTGGCGTTCCTGTTCTCGATGGATGCGTCGTTTAGCGCCTGGTGAGTCTCTTGACCTCTCGCTTTCGCGACTTCTGCTGATAAACGCGCCCAGTGCCATTTACTTGGTCTGGGTCTGCTTGTACGTTTTCATCTCTCGTGTCTTTCACTTGCATCTCATCAAGGTTTTACGTTTAGCATACGAGACGGGGGTATCTTGATCGAGGACCAGTGTACGTCATGCCAATGAAGGTTTCGCCGCCTCGCCAAGCTTATTTAACCGGACTAGCGGTGTTGTGGATGACTTGCTTCATACCAGGTGTGATATGTATATCAGCTTTCGTCACTCAGACCTACTTGTCCTTGCGGTATGTCTCGTTTCTGCTTCCAAAGCGTATGACTGCCAATTTACCCTATTCACCCCCTTCCCCCTCGCAAGTGTTCGGAGTCTACGTCGCTACAAAATGGTCTTTGGTACTGCTTTGCTCTTGACGTCGTTCAACGGAGCGGTCGGCATCGCGTGCTCGGTAGCTTGGTCCTTAAACCATAGGTGTCTCGCGCGTTTATAAATTTTGTACACTGTATGACTGACTATCGTCGTCGCTCGGATGATTAGCGCCATTGCGACGAAGACCATCGACATCCTCATGGGGCTGTGGCTCATCTTGCAGGTCATCACTGACACCTTCATCACTGGTAAGTGAACCACCATATACGTTACCCACCGATGCTAACGCGAGTCCGACTTTGCTTCTCACCTCCAACCGCGCACGGGACAGCGCCGGACAGATGGCCTGCTCAACACACTCATCTTCCGCGCGGTGCAGACGGGCCTCGTCGCGGACGTCTTCGCGATATCATGCCTGCTCACGGCCGTGTTCTTTGCTGATTCGAACGTCAACTCCGTGTTTGTGTACCCTGTCGGACGAGTGTACACAAGCGTGAGTGATTCCTACTCGTCCTCCTAGTTTTCTGTGTGGTGTCTAATGCCTGCTTAGACGTTCATGGGCTCGTTGTTGTCGCGCCTGGACATCCAGAAGCATCTGCAGAACGGGCCGCTTGCCATGGTACGTCTTCTCGGTCGATGCTACCGCCGTAATGTTCCTCGATACGGACTCGGAGTTATGCTGACTGAGGGTATGTTTCCTATGCAGGGAGCCACATCATCTTCGTCAGGCCGCGTGCCCCAGTTCACTACTCTCCTTACTGCGCCAAGTTTTGACACGGAATCGTGTGCCGAGTAATGAAACGTTCTTTTGGGTTAGGAGCTAAGGCTTCCATATTCTCTCGTCTTATCTCTTTCTGTAGCATATATATCGTATCATATCTCCATATTCATGGACATCCATTGGCCCACTATACACCACATGAGAAAGATAATTTAATTGTTTTTCGAGGAACAACTCTTTGAGTTTTGGATGGCATGAATGACACCACGATGAGATGAGAAGAGGTGATATTCCCCGTGAGAATGTGTTTCTGCTTCGGGCCGAACGGCGCCTGTGTACGAGACGCGCAGAGGTGAACACGTCCAACCCAGAGGACACAAATCCGTTTACTTTCTGTACACTCTCCAGCAAGGTCTCTCTTACGACCAAAAGCGCATACTCCACGCGCTCAATCACGACCTCGAAGATACGAGCACGAGGAAGAGCTGCTCGTTGAAGATGCGGCTGCTCGGATGCAAGGCGCTCTTCGCCGCCCTCTGGCTGGGCACGCGCACCGTGTCCGTGTGGGCCCTGCACGAATCTGACGTCGGCCTCGTCGACTGGACGCAGAAGCTCGTCGGGGTGCCTATTTACAGCTCACCGCTAACTGCACCTGTCTTTCATGGAGACTTGATTCTGATGGCGACGAGCGCGAATGTGTTGGCGGGGGTGAATGCGACGGATGGGTCTGTTGGTGCGTCCACTTGTTGATATCGTTTGCGGAGTGGAGAGGCTGATGTGTTTGTGAAGTTTGGAGGAGCATATATGATGCGGAGGATCCTATCATGAGTTATACTGACCACGGAGATAGTGAGTGAGATTGTAATACGTTCATGTGCGCCGGGGCTGACGTTCTTTGTAGCCGTCTCAACCCTTTCAGGGCCCGGAGGCGCGACACTACGGGCATACGACGCGAACGATGGTGCCCTTCTTCTTGAAAAACGGCTGCATGACCCACTCCTTGGCAAGCTGCACGACCCAGGCAACCTCGGCACGCGCCTCCTCCACCTCGACGAATCAGGCGAAGCGCCCTCGGAAACCATACTGGCTCTCACGAATGGCTACACCGTACACAGTCTCGATGCTACCACCGGAGAAACGAGATGGACATGGGTGGCGTCTGACCAAGGGTGCGTAACCCACCCTCTCTTCGTATGTATGCGTCTGAACGGAAGAACCGACCAGGTCCCTCATCATACACACCCACCTCCTCGCCGACCCCAAATCCTCAACCCTCTTCGTCGCCGGCCTCGCCAAGTCCACCGCCTCGTTCACGCTGCACGTCACCGCGCTCTCCCTCTCCACAGGCGAAGAACTCACGTCGCACAACATCCCCGCGAACCTCGCCGACGCGCGCACCGACTACGTTGCGCTCACTGGGCCCGCTGGCACCGGTGGCGCGTGTCTGTCGTGGCTGGAGAAGGGCGTGATCAAGGTGGCGGTGCTCAAGCCTGATTTGAAGGGGAGTGTGCTCTCGATCCCGGGCGCGAAGTATAAGCGGGTGGAGGATATCGGGCTTGCGATGAACGGGCAGTATCTTGCATATAAAGAGGACGGAGCGGGCCAGGTTATGCATTTTGATGCGGAGAAGGGGGTGTTGAAGGCTATTTGGGAGTTTCCGGAGTCGGTGCGTCGTTTTATTGTGCTCCATTGGGTTTGCAAGCTTATTGGGACACGGTGCTGGGTCAGGCCTCGTCCTCTGAGTACTCGGAGTCCACATATGCGGGTGCACATGATGCTGCTACGAAGGATCCTAGGGTTGTCCGTGCATTCTGGTCAAACAAGCATAACGTGAGTCACTGAACTCGTTTAGATGCTTTGGACATGATCTCTCAATATGCATTAGCGAATCGTCCACCAAGTCTTCGCCGCCGACGTTGCAGCGGACAAGGCAACAAATGCCGGCTACGTGGTACCCTTTGATACGTCCGAGCACGGCGTCATTCGCTATGTAGGTTTTACTTTGCCCATTCGCCGTTGGCATTTAGGCTAAGATTGCACTAGGCACTCCTCGATGGCTCATCCACCTCTGAGATGGAGACCACCCGTGTCCTTCTCATAACAAGCACTGGTGCAGTCCAGCTGTGGAAACATAACAAGCTACAATGGACACGCGAGGAGGCACTCTCGACGATCCAGGTCGCTGAGTTTGTTGAGCTACCAGAGCGCAAGGTCGCTGGGACACATGTAGACGACGACGAGGGGTACGTTTCCATGCTGCGCAGACAGCTTGGCGATGCCAAAGTGCGCTTCTTCCTTCCTTTGCCTTCAGGTCTACCACTGACGTTCGGGTTGCCAGAACCTCCCGCACTTCATCATCTCCTTCATCCGGCGCTTCGCCACGGGCTCATACGCCTCTGTCTCGAGCTCCGCCTCACCTTCCCTCTCGGAAGGCGAAGCCGCCTCGCACGGCGGGCTCTCGCGCGACACGTTCGGCTTCCGCCAGGTGATCGTTGCCGCGACCTCGTACGGCAAGCTGTACGGCATCGACTCGAGCAGCGGGCGCATCCTGTGGAGCCGTGTGCTTGGCCTCGGGTGGGCGGCGAAAGTGGGAGGAAGGATTATTCCCGTGAAGATCTATACCACTAGGACGGTCGCAGACGCAGAGGGACCGAGGGTCGTGGTTGTAACCCAGCGCCGGGCGGATAATGTGAGTTTTTCCTTTTGGGTGTCCGCAAACGAAAGGAAGGAGATGCTGATGCGGGATAGACGCTCGTGGACACTGTTGTGTTCCATATTGACCCGCTCACGGGCGAGGATGCGAAAGAGGACGGGGTACCCAAGGCGCAGAGAAATGCATTAGAGGGCAAAGATTCGATCGCGGGTCCGTTGATGGAGACGTTTTTGGTGCCTGATGGGAACAAGACTGTGTTGCTGCTGGATGAGTTCCTTCAGGTACGTTATGACATGACCCTTATCATCTCCTACTGACTTTGTATTACGCAGGCCCGTTTGTATCCCGAAACCCCCGCGACTCAAAAAGCACTAGAAGAGATCACCCCTTCGCTCTACTTCATGCTCCGGGCCGGAGAAGCCGGCGCCCGCCAGCTCGTGGGCCACCAGCTCACCGCCGCCCCTGACCTCTCCGAACACCTTGTCGGCTACCCAACATGGACGTTGCCCCTCCAGCCGCACGAAGAGATTCTGAGCGTGCTCCCGCCTACGCAGGGACCCATTGCCTCAGTCGGCAAGGTGCTCGGCAACCGCGCGACCCTGTACAAGTACCTCAATCCGCATATGCGCGTCGTGCTCACCGCTCTGCCCATCGGCGACAAGCCGAGCTGCGGTGTGTACGTCGTCGACGGCGTCAAAGGAAGTATCGTGTATAATGCGCGGGTGCCCGCAGCGGGCGGGAGGTGCGATGTGCACGCGAGCTTGACGGAGAATTGGCTGGTATATCACTATTATGATGATGAGAGCGCGGGGGTTCCAACGACGACGGATTCGCCTGCGGGAGAGGATACTGCGGGCGGCGCGGTGAAGGGGTGGAGGGTGGTTAGTGTAGAGATTTATGAGGGGCAGAATCCGGATGATAAGACGAGCAGGTGCGTTTTCTTGCTTGCTTTTCACTCCTCTCAATGCTCATCATGGCTGACTATACATCTGTAGCTCGGACTTGAGCGCGTTCTCGAGCGCGAGCCTGCATGGCACTGCGATAGAGACGTCTTTCATCACCACGCAAGGTATCACTGCTATCGCATCGACATCGACAAAGTTCGGAGTCACGACCAAAGACATCATCAGTGCGTCTCTCTCTCTTAGCACCTTGGTTTATGATTGACGTCTGGCGTGTCAGTCGCGACGAAGAAGCACAGTATACAGGCGATTCCCCGCCGACTGCTGGATCCACGCCGGCCCCACCATAAGCCAACGGCGGAGGAGATCGAGGAGATGCTCGTGCAGTACGATCCCGTCCTCCCTGACGACCCGAGACTGGTCTTGTCACATAATTACGAGGTGCGTGCGACACTTTCCGCGTCTTCCCGTGGCTAGCGCTCACGCGTACCAAACAGGTCGCGAACGTCCGACAAATAGTCACCGCTCCGTCCTTGCTCGAGTCGACCACGCTCGTGTTTGCGTTTGGTCTCGACCTGTTCTGCACGCGTATTGCGCCGTCGAACACGTTCGATGTGCTCAGTGAAGGGTTTAACAAGGTACAGCTCGTGCTCACGATCCTAGGGCTGACTGTCGCTATCGCGATTACGAAACCGATGGTGAGAAGGAAGAGACTGAGAGAGCGGTGGTATCAATAGAACGGGCATGTCCTTTTGGATCGTGCTTTGCGTAGAAATTTCAACGGTGTGCTGTAATTTAATGGGATGAGTTGACTCTAAGACGTGTTGCACCACCAGAGGAACAAACGGCTATTCGGCTTGCTTACTTTATGGCGGGATATAAGTCAGCTGGTACTGTAAGGTTATCAGGGAAAAGTTTCTTCTGCGGCGCGATGCTGAGCGGCGGCTGAGCGGTCCGGTGATCGGGTGGCCTCTTTGGCACAGAACGCCACGTTTACTCGGTTCACCGATTTCCCTACACGCCAAGATGAAACTTTGCAGGAGGCAGCGCTATTCCAGCACGGCGGGCTGCGACTCTTACATCTCTGCGGGCTACAGAGGATGTTTGCTCGCAGCAATGAAGCAATGGACATGACCACGAACAACAAACCAAGCACGATAAGCCTTCCTCCGAAGTTTGAGTTGATTGACCCTGGCTCTATCCTCGATCAATACAAAGGATCGTACCCAGAGGCAAACGGCTAACTCAATAGGGCCCGTTCGATAAATTGCAACGGGTCGGGGATATCGTTGGCCAGCGTGTTCCCTTCTTTCCCTCCGCCTTCACCCACGCTCTCCAGCTTGGTCCGACTCTGTCTCTCAGGTATTCGAGAATCTTGAAGCCTTGCGTGAAACTGGGGCGAACATGGGAGAGTATGACCAGACGCTCGGTATGTTGCGATCTGCTTTTCGGGTGAGTAAAGCTCTGACTGCTGTGGCGCTCGTACTAGGGCTGTTTCTCATTGCAGTAGTTTGTGAGATTTACTTCCTGTCTCGATAGTTCCTAAGCTGAAGGGGCGAACCACAAAGTTAACACATATCTCTACGGGGTAGTGACTCGCCAATACTGCTCGTATGTTACGGCAAGTACGTAAACAAACCCAATCACTCTCGCTCATGCTGAACTTGCATTTCATAGAATTCGAGGACCGGTGGCTGCTGAAGTATGAACTTCCAGGATCGCGTCTCATCGGGGTATCTCATTAGCTGTTTATAGGGCGACGATAGCCTTCATGTTCTTGATTGACTCTGTTCAGTCTATCGGGTGAGCCGCACTGAAATTACTTATGACGACAACTCAGCTGACATCCATGTGTCTCGAGGTAGGCTCATCTACAACGCTTGGGATTGGACGTTCGTCTCGCTCCTGCTGTTCTCATAGCCCATCTACCTCTGACCTCAGCTTGACGACAGAGTAACCAACTACAACAATCCCGATATACTCTTAGGTGAGCTTGGGGCGCCGAATTCAAAGTATTCCCTGACATATTTAGCGGGGAACGAATGGCCTTATACGATGACACCCTTCCTTGCCGGAACCTCCGCCGTGTTGACCCAGTTCTTTCTGACCTGGCGGTGAGTCTTCTCTCACTGCGTCCCTATATATGAACTAACCACGTCACCCCAGAATCTGGAGGCTCAGTGGCAGCCGTCTCCTTCCCGTGATTGCAGGCGTCTTGGCTGTGCTTTCTTGGGCCTTCAGCTTAGTGTCGGGAATACAGGCGACCGTCATCAAAAAGTGAGTTCTTCTGGTCTGATCGCTTTGATGCGTGCTTACGCATAAATAGGACTACAAACATGGCTTCCATCGTCGGTTTTGTGGCCACGTGGATGGTCGTTCAGACCATCACTGACTTGTTCATTGCGAGTAAGTGGCATGTGCACTGAAGCCCACGATCATACAGTCTAAATGTTTCGTAATAGCTACCCTCATCGTTATTCTGATACGGTCAAAGGCTGAGTTTGCGAGCTCGCACCACAATACGAGCATGTTCAACAGGCTAATCCGTGCTACCATTCAAACGGGTCTGCTGGCTGGGGTGTTTTCCATCATCGGGCTGGCGTTGTTTGTCATCCGACCGACAAATAACCTTCAGGCGATATTCGTATTACCCATAAGCAGGATCTACTCGCTTGTGAGTCTTCGTCCGTCTAGTCTTACTTTGAGCCTCATCTGATATTTAGTTCAGACTTTAGTCGACACGTTGCTTACACGCGTTGAGGTCCAACACCCCCGACGCATGAAACCAGGAAGCATCTCGGTGCAGGTAAGGCGTATCTAACGAGCGCTAAATCTTCAGGACTAACGTACTGTACCCTGAAGGGTCCCGAATCGTCGATGGCACCGTACGAGATGACAACTGTGATCACCGTCAACGGTTTCACGACACAGGCGCTGGAGACAGATTACGTAGACTCGCAATCTTCCGGCATCAGGGAGCTGGCGTAGACATGATATGTTACCCTTTTTGCATGACTGCTATAATTTAATGTCTCTCGATAGCATGAAGTTCGCCACGAATGCCTGTGCCTTGTTCACGGCGTCCTTTTATTGCTGCGTGGGTGCGACCGTAAGCGCGAACGTGCAGCGAGAATAATAAGCAAGGTTCTGAACGGAGATTACCGACGTGAGGTATCTTCCCTCCAGCTATATTCTTGCTAACTTCACCGAACACGACGGAGACTTCTTCAGACAGGGGTAATAAGCGCCGCCTTTTTGCCTCGCAAACCTATTCACAGCTTGTTCCACACAACAAAGCATTCTTCGGCAGCACGTTGAGTGGCTTACCCTTTGGTATATTGTTAACTGCTTGGCCTTGTACTCTGGGCGCAATCCTCCTATATCTCCGCCAGACTGTCGGCTCAAGCACCATATTCGCCGAACTTCAAGTTTCTCTCCCCGCTCACTCAGGGGAGAACGTGCCCATCAGTTATCAGGTGAGTGCTTTATGTTGAAGTCCGCCCACACTTCACGTTCTAAAAGTCACGGACCTTCCATTGACGATGCCAGTCCGGCCTTTCCGACAGCGGCATAATTATCTGACGAAGCCCCTAAAAGTTTTGGCCTACGTTCGTGTCATGAGCCAACCTCTTGGTTCTATGTATCCCAAGGCTGCGACGTTCTCTGTACCACGGCAGGCCCCAGGCCGGACTGGAAGTCAGTAACATTCCAGCTGTCTGAGGCAAGTTATCACCTGGTATCTGTTTTATGACTGTACCTGGGATCTTGTTCGGCTCTCGTTTTCTTCGTCTTGTCGCTGCTGGGCTAAAGTTCGACGGGCCTTTGGCGTCGACCAATTTCCGCCTTACATCGATGCTTCAGGTTTGCTGATTCGGACTCGGGGCCTCGCAGGCATATAAGGAGCGCGGTGCGGGCCAGCTTCATACGTCTCTCAGACCTACCTAAATACTTGCCTCCACATTATGTCCGACTCCAACTTGCCCCCTCACGCCAACATATGTCTTATTATATGCGATCCCACTAAAGAAGAATTCATCGACTCCTATGGTAACATCACTAACCTCTTCACCAATCTATACACAAAACTTCTCCTTCGCCTCACGCGCGAGCCTTCGTCTCTTTTACCTATGGTTTTGAAGTCGTTCCGCATTCACCCTTATAACGTCGTCCAAGACAATTTCCCCGACATCAAGACCATTGATCAGTTTGATTCCATCCTTGTTTCGGGATCTGGTAAGGCTCATTCTCCGTTGTAATCCCTTTACTTCTATCGTGATTCCATAGCAAACGGTGTCAACGATCCCGACCAGTGGATCGAGAAACTTGGGAAGCTGCTCCACACAGTTGCGACCGATCACCCAAAGGTCAAACTCATGGGTACGTTGTTCGAAGTCTATCAATTTCTCTGCCGTCAGTCTCATACGGCCACAACCAGGTGTGTGCTTCGGCCACCAGATTATTTCTAAGGCCGTTCTCGGGTTACCAGTCGGGGAAAACCCCAAGGGTTGGGAGATTGGGCCATACGAGGTTAACCTCAACGAAACTGGCAAACAACTGTTCGAGAATCACGAACATTTGGTGAGCTACTTCGTATTTTCACTATCGGCAGCATTAACAATGTGCTTTACAGAATGTTTCAATGTTCCACCACGACGCCGTGTTCACGCGTAGCCAGCTGGCCTTTTTCGACGAACTTGTTGAAACTACGCCGTACAGCTCCAATGTCCCGCAGAACGAGTACAAAATATGGGCCAGTACCCCTGCGACGGCTAACCAGGGTGTCATCTCTATGAACAAGCAGGCCGCCAAGTCTGGCAGGCTGAACGTCGACGACATCCACATCTTCACCACTCAAGGGCATCCCGAGCTGAACCAGGGTATGACGTCCTACTTGGTCGACCTGTTTGAGCACGAGCTCGGCGCCGATGTCGCTGCAGAGGCCCGGAAGCGTATCGCTGACTTCAAGGGGATTCTCGACTGGTTCCAGCTCTCTATCGTGATGTGGGCGTTGACGACCAAGCATTCTCTTTCGTTGCCCCAGCTTAGTGAGAAAATCAACGGTTACGAGTCGGCGGTGAAGGGGGTGGAAAAGTCGGGTGGCTTCAAGGCGGAAGCTGCCTTGATGGAAGAAGAGAAGGTGTTTGTCCTAATCACGTAGTATTCCACTTCAATATTGCAACCTTGTGATTGTTGGCGTTGTACTTGTATGGAGTGCGATGACGGTGTTGTAGTATATTTTGTATGATATGCTGATTTTCAGCGCTGTTCTGCTCAGGGGTTGCTCATATCTGAGGTTGCACATTCGTATACCGAATATGCAGGCTTGGCCCAAAAATTTCCTACGATTTATCGAAGATGAAAAATTACTATGTAAATTGACAATCGTGAATAAGTTTCTGATTGATTCCTGCGTAGCTATTCAAAGCAAAGAACCATCAGATAAAAGCGTCGACTTTTGGATTGCATGCAGTCAGTATTTTCAGGACAGACTGTAAGCGCTGACCAAAGCGGAAGACGCTTCTGGCGATACTACTCTATATGCCGATTGGCAAAGCCACTCATCAAATATCCCATGACACGAGAGATTTGAGTCCCCGGCCACTGCGTGACTGTACCCGGGTTAGCTGTTCATCTTTTGCTGCATATAGGATAAATGATGAGATTTCAAGCAGCCTCGCTGCGCTACGGCACTTAAGGATCTTGTCCTACGATGCTGCTCGTTGAGAGTCGCCATCCCATTGTACTGGAAAGGGAAACTCGAACACGAGGAGACACAGTGCCCGTGGACATCTGTCATGCAGTCCAGAGCCCTACATCGTATACAAATACCGCGCACTAACGCGAGATATGCCACAGCCACAAAGCCAAAGATGTACAATGCCAAGCCGGGCATAATTTTGAATATACGAGTAATCTGTCCTCCTTCGGCACCCTGGACTGTACCGTCCCTATTGATTCCACGCCTTCAACCATGCTTCAGTTAATCGTACAGGTGGTTACCTGTTCGTAGTAGAAGTGCCCTATAAGTTACTGGTTGTAGGGGCATCCAAGCTGTATCTTGTATGATGGTAACTCAACGGTTCGCATCTACTCGCACATATCTGAAGTCACACTCATGGAATAGCCGTGGTGCTTGCATTGATATCAGCCGACAAGTACGTGGGATATAAACCATGCTTTTTTGACTGGAAAACAAAAACAGGATGCATAGAATTACTGTGAGACGTATTCTCATTCATGAACTCATTACGGGCTTTCGACGTATCTGAAAAGCTCTGGCCAAGAAAAAAAAGAAACTAGAACTTGGCAACAAAAATGGGTGACGCATCGAAACGATTGGAGGCTTTACACCCTCTGGAAGCCGCTGTCAACTGGACGCGCCATGCTAAGGTGTTCAGCTTGTGAATATGTATACGCTATATCGCTTTGAGGGTCTATGATGTAACCCTCTTCAAAGATCAATGGCTCATCGCTTTGCACTGTGTTATTGAATAAGCTGTCAGAGAGAGGTGGAGCAAACGATCATCAAAACCTGTGCCTATCCATGCGACCAACTTTGGACAAAGATGATGGGCGCTTCGGTCCCAAATTAGTGAGCACTTACTTACTGATCGCAGATAGGTACAGCAACTACTATTGCGTTACACTTGGGATCCTACCAAACTCAGAAGGCTCGAAGTCTAAAGATCTTAAGTTTCGAACGTGAAGATTGATATTGTTTCCGAGCCGGCCTCTTCTCAATATGTCAGCGCTGTCGTCTCCACCTCTCACCTACTATATGCCAGGAATATCATCATCAGCTGGCTAAATACATGAGACCGAACCTGTGGCTTGTTGTATGAATGTGTCGGTAACCTGATCAAAAGCTGCATGTGTCAATATCTTGTGAGGCCCCATAGCATCAATCATATACTTGGCAACTCATCAATTGCACAGGTCTCAGTATCGGGGCGGTCTTTGGTCTCAGAAGTACTATGACTTCGCATGAACTCCTTTACCTTGCTCGTGCGGAGTCTTACTCTTGAGTAAACCCAGAGTGTTTTTTTTTCCGGAGTGCGAGCACGTCAAGCCGACTTTTGAGAACTTCGCCTGAATTCCACGTTGGAGTAGGAGTTCCGGACTGGAGCCTCGAAGAGACATATTCCATAGTTTAGGGCCGGTTTGGCCAACGTGTTCGCGTGCGTTCGTAGCCTATACTCATCCTAGCTACACGATGCAGTCTCGTTGTCTTCGTCTCTCAGAACACCCAATCCGCCGTCAAATAAGAATCCCGGGCGTCTCTTCCTTGCCATCAGGTTCGAGCATCAGAAGATGCAGAGAAGATGTACTCGTGAGATCCTATTACACAGCTCTGAACTCTGGGATACTACTAATAGGGCTATTCAAACATTCATCAGCAGTCTTTTGTTGCTTCCTTTTTGCCCTAATGATATCCTTCGCGGATTTTCTCTTCACTCAATTCTGGCTCATCCTTCCGGAAATTATCCTCTATGGTAAATTGGATTGTGTTTTCATTAAAAAAAATTCGCGCTAAAAGCCACGGCGTTTGCTATGTAGGAGCCTTCGCAGTGCTTCTGTCTATGGACATTTACATTGTTGTGACCCGACAAGGACATTCTGACGGAGCCGCCATGAAGGGTAACGTAATCCTCCTTGCCGTTGGGGCCCTGATGTTTGTGATGGCGACGCTGGTAAGCCATATACCTAGTAGCAACTAGTATCCGCCTATTTGAGAGATGCCATGCTTCTAGCACATTTGCGCATCTCTTTACAATGCCTACTTTACCAACATTCGCGTTGCGGTGGAATCTATTTTTGGAGGTTCCAAGCCCAGCTGTCAGAGAGTTCGCTACAATGGTTGGCTCAGAATCAACACCCATGGCCCGAAGCACATTTCGATTATGACAGTAATCAAGTCAAACTGTTGGTTTCCCAAGAAATTCAGATGGTTGCATTTGTTATACAGCTCTGGTTAGGCGACGGCTTCATGGTATATTCACTACTCACTTTTATGAACTACCTCGCTGACCTTCGCATCATATACACTTAAAGTTGTATAGACTTTGGAAGGTCTGGAATAACGATAAACGAGTGGTCATACCTGTATCCGTTGGGTTTCTCGCAAACATTGGTAACCGCTTTTCGTGAAACTCAGCCAGAGGCTAATTTAAAGTCACTTAGCTTTGGGCATTGTCTTTCTAGACAATTACAGCCTTGAAATTCGTGAACTCAAGGGTATGACCGAAAAGGAGTACCAATTCCTGGATAACATGATGGTGCCTGCAAACTTGTCTGTCTATGCCGTGAGCTTCGTAGTCCACCTTAGCTGCACAGGTGATCCAAAAACATACCACTACTACTTGGATGAGATGATCTGATAAAACCTTTCCCAACAGTACTAATTGCCGCCAGGATCTTTTATCTTTATCGTCACATACGTCAACATGTCCACGGTAGCCGGCGCACCAACCCTATGGCTGTCGCAATTACTCTACTTGAGTCTGGCGCAATATACTCAATCTCAATGCTTATTCTTCTTGCAACTTATGGAGCGGGTCTGTACAATTACAACGACTGGACCTACTACCCTATCGTCATGAATGCGGTGAGCACGTTGGCATCGTTTTTGGCATTATTGAGAGCTGAGATGGCACGTTCAAATGAGCAGATCGTGCCCATAATTGTGAGTACACTGCTACGCTCGCAATCAATCCCACTAAGTATGCTCGTAGGGAATCGCATTCTCACTCATCGTCGTCCGAATGGGCCTTGGCATAACAACGGAGATGCACCTTCGAATGCAGGAGACCAGGCATCCTATCGCGAGGAGCGCAGGGCCCAACTCGATCGCAAACTCAATTATGCTGTTTGCACAGGGCTCGTCGACAAACACTGAAGAAGCCGAATCGAAGACAAACTTTTGAGCCAAAGCCGGTAGGAGGACGAGCACGTGGATCTAAGTCGATGCGACGGAACGGGTTATTTATGTTCAGTTTTATTCTTGATTGTTTGGATAGATTAAACAGCGTGTACGTGAAAGTGATACCCTGATGGTGCTACATACCACGTCGAGCCGTAGGACAGTATTTCTGGTTTTCGATCAGTTAAGTTATGAACTTGGATGACGGAATAAAACAACTTTTGGGGAAGAGGGACTCACGCAGTCGAAGGGTGCTTCGTAGCACTGTACTGTGGTAATGTACCCAGAATGACGACACAGCATATGATAAATCTCAGCCGAGCCGGTTTGCGCTCGCGAGGATGAGCGACACCTGAAAGAGGCGCATATGCAGTTGTAGACGTACGTCGACCAAGTGCACCAACAAGTGACAGGTCTGGCAACCCGTATTTCCGTGCGCGACAAGGCGGGGGAGAACTAAGAAAAACTGGTTAAATTCGGAGTCCAGGAGAGACGTACGAGCACCCTGGGGTTGTGGAAATGCTGAAGATCGGTCTAGGCACTAGGACTGAATGAAGGCAGTATACGCGTCGCGTCAGCCTCGAGCACATACATGCATTGCAGAACAATCGTGCGATCCGTGATCGACTTGTGACACAGCGCCCTAGAAACTGGCGTTGGGCGAGGCACCAACGAGAGAGGGATTATTAGTTGAATGGTCAATGTCACAGCGGACTCAAGACCCATCGTTACTAGAAACCAAGGTGTAAGCTCGCTCAGCCAACCGTCCGACCACGAAGGGCGCAAGGGCGCGTTGGCACCTGTTACGTCATAGCCACCTGTCAGCGGGGGGAAATGCTCGGCACGCATCGGCAGGCTCGGGTGCCGCACACCGGAAGCTTTGGATTCGACGGCTTCGGCGCTGCCCGCCGGCGCAGGTCGGCTGTAGTGCGGCCGAGAGAGGGCAACGTCGAGCACTCGGATCATGGATGGATCGAGCGTGGGTCGCGCGCGTCGGTGGCCGCTGCAGGCAGTGCGAGGTGCAATGCTCATCGATGCGTTCATCCTGGTGGAACCTATGAACCTACCGTGCTGTGGGATTTTCCTGGGCTCAAGATCTCAGGCTCGAAGGGGCGTTTGGGGCCCTTTCATGTTCCGTGGAGACATTGTTCATGACCGTCGCGCTGTCATGCTCACCCCACGTGTTGGAAGAGGTATTAGGAAGCCTTGGATCCTTCGTGCGAATGGCATCACTGAGGTTTGCATATCCTCTCTGCAAGTGCCTGTGGTCCTAGGTACAATGAGTCGATGCAGAAGCTGGGCAAGCGCGTGTGCTTGGCGAGAACCTTGGAAGGCCATACTGGGAGCACAAGGTTGAAGCACCGCGACTTCTTACGGCCTGAAGTGACCGCCGCTGCTGTGTTTGCCGTCCCGCTAGTGGCCAGTGGAAGGTGCATTTCATGTCATTGTCAGGCATTCTGCTCGGTATCATATCAGGTGAATATGAGGATTCCACGGGAAGTACGTGCATCGTATGATGGTGATGACTGAGCTGACGAGGCCGAAGATGGGAGGGCGGTCGTGGGAGGGCGAGCTGTCCGAGTTGTGTCCGAGCCCGCGAGCTGTGATATAAAAGCAAATGCGGTGGCAGTACTGGAAAGAGTTTCCTTTCCTCGACCCCCCTCTGACATCTGCAACGTCAACGCGCGTTTTGGTTGACTGGAGGATCACACGAACGAACGTGCGGAAAAGAACAGACGAAACATGTCTGGTGAGTGCGTTTCGTCCACCCCCCATCGAACCCCTTCGGCTAGTCTCTTTTTATTACGATACATTGGGGATAGTTAATTGCCGGCTGCCGAGGTGGAGGGCGGAGTCCTCGTGTGGTGACTGTTATTATGTTATATGATGCTATCCTCCTACCCGAGCGCGCGAGCTTCCCCCTCCGTTTCTCCGCTCTCGGCTGTGCGCTAGTTTCTTTCCAACGAACCACCCTTATCCTGCCAGCAAAGTGTTCCACATCACAACTAGCAGCCGCTAGCGAGTGACACTAGAGTCACCGCCATCGTATCACACTTGCTTATCTCATTCTTCGATCGCTTGCCTCCGTTTTTTTGCTCTCGCTTGTTTCACATTTGCACTGTTGTTCTTGGAACGATACCACCGCGCTAGTCACCCAGAATGTCGTCGACCAGCGGGTCTAGCGGCGGCGGGAGCGCCAGCTCGAGCAATCCGCCAGCTGCCTCCTCATCTGGTACTTCTTCACCCTCTGCCTCGTCCTCTCCCTCTGAATCCTCTTCTTCTCCTGCTCCTTCCTCTCCCTCTCCTTCAGCATCTGCTGCACCGTCTTCGACCGATACTCAATCCCCTTCTTCTTCTACAGACTCTGCATCTAGCTCGGGAGCTTCCTCGACGCCCCCGCCGACATCTTCCTCTCCTTCTCCAACGTCGACGCCCCCGCCCGATACCTCAACCTCAACACCCAATCCGACGTCGACGGGAAATGGTGGCGGTGGGACCTCTAGCTCAAGCACGAGCGGTGGCGGCTCTAGCACTAGTAACTCATCAGGCGGTGGAGGAGGCGCAACCCAATCCAGTCAATCCGTGCAGAGCACGCTATCCTCGCATTCGGTTGTGAGCTCGCAAAGCGTGCATTCGTCGTTCACAACGAGTATACAGACGACTTTTGTGTAAGTCCCCATCATGACGTTTCCTGACTTTCTGTTCTTCTGGTTTGGCGCCTGTTTCTTGTTTCGGGCCTCTGTCCGTATATGTCATGCTCTTCTGCATTCTCCGCAGTCAACTGGCCCCATCCGAACGTTCGGGGGTTCTTTTGGCCTCCGTCTTATCGCTTTATCGCGCTGCGATTATCAGAATGCGATGACTGCGCTGCGCATTCTTTTATTATCCTGGATGCCCGTCATGCATTCATGTCTGACCCTGCTCCACCCGCGCACCCCCCTTTCCCTCTTCACATATTCACACCTTCTCTCCTCGTTCCTGTCCCACGGCGTCTACTGACCTCATCCATTAGCTCAACAGAACCCGGAGGCTCGACCGTTTTCATAACCAGTTTCGTCCCCCAAGTGACCACAGCTCCTCAACAGGATAACACCTCTTCAAGCCACACTGGCGCCATTGTTGGTGGCGTCGTCGGTGGTGTTGCCGGTCTGGCGCTCCTGCTTGTCCTGGGCTGTTTCATCCGCAAACGCGCACGCAAGAACGAGTTCGATGGCGACTTCGATCCCGACCACGTCGTAGGCCACTCCACGGGTGCTACGCTCCCACGCATCGACCTCGACGATGAGGCACACGGAGGCCGCGGTGGTGGCCCCTCCGAAATGAGTCAACCCTCCCCGTTCCAGAGTTCTATGGGTACATTTGGGGACGGCTCCATGCGCGGCGCCGGCGCCGGACCCGGACCGGGCTCGGCGAACGGACACTTTGGGTACGGCGAGACACCGTACGGCCCGGGCGCGATGGCTGCTGGCGCGGGAGGTGCAGCCGCCGCGGGCTACGCTGCGAACGCGTACCGTGGCACATCACCGATGAGTAGCAGCCACTACTCGGACGGCCAATCGCAATACCCGCAGACTTCTTCGGAGGGTGGGTACGTCCGCCCTGGCCCTGGCGCCCCGATGGGCTTCGGCGCAGCTGGCCACGGGATGATGGGTCCTTACGATCCCGCCGGCGGTCAGCGTGGCTACGGCCCGGGACCGCATATGCAGCAGCCGTACGGTGCCGCTGCTGTTGGCGGCTCTGGGCCATGGTCGCAGGGCCACTCGCCTGCGCATAGTGTCAGCGGACAGACGAGCACTAGTGGGGGCGCAGCAAGCGCTCGCCTGGCCAAGGAACGCGAGGCGATGGGGCGGTACGGTGCGCGTGGCGCGCTGGGCGTCGCCAATGGGGCGGAGGGCGATGGGGACGGCGTGATTGTCCATCAGGACGGTGGGCGTGCGCCCGACGAAGGCAGTGGTGAGAATGCTCCGAGAGAGATTCCGCCGACGTATGATTCTATCGGGCGATGAGCGGAGGAGGAATCGGTCGATCCGGAAGGACGGTTGGAGGGTCGAGGGAGGCGGCGTCGGTAGTTTGACGATGACCGAGGAGGTGGATGAAGGACGGACGGAGACGATGAAGACCCGCGTGGACGTACTCGACACTCGGTTGATACCTCAGGATACCTCGGACCACCGATGCACATATCAACCATACCCAAACCTGATATCTCCGGGGCCGCCGCAACGACGTTTGATATCCTGTTACCCAACGCTATACTCCTCGGATCGGATTACAATCGAGTCTCGGCGGTTTGGTGCAGCGGCGATGTGCATGATGGATACTGGTTTTGTATAAACTTCCAAGCCCCCCAAGTCTTCTTTCTTATCTCCTTGATTCGTGCATTGCTTCTGACTACGTTATCTCTCGTCGTTCTCGCTATTTACTAATACGCGTACCCGATGAGGGACGCGACACTCGTTTTAATCATTTATGCTTGTTTTCACTTCTCGCCCTGACTGTATATTTTCCGACACCAAAAACCACCATGGCGGACATCCATCGACACTTCGTTCGTTCTACTCCGCTTCTTCCCCGTCGCCTGCATTCGCTTCCGCTCTGGCTCCGTCTTCGTCGCTGCCACATCACCCATCATGCTCGTACCCTCGGCCGGTCTCTTTGCCTGCACCCGGTCCGCTGTGATCGCTCATTGCTTCTCTGATTGGACTGCTTGGACGCGGAATCGGACGCACACATGGATTCGGGTACCACGATTTCGGCTTTACGCTGCTTCTTCTGCTGTACCATCATCGTTCATCGCTCTTTGTTCATCGCGACATGCATCATTCCCATTATTCTACTCTACTCGCGCGTCTCGGACCGGACTACAGTAGATCGTCTAGAAGCGGTTTGCTGTCTACATGATCAGGTAGATAGCTTCCCCGCACTCCCCTCACCTATCTCTTCACTTGCCCATGCTACGTTCTGTGACTTTCAATCCCGTCTTCAGCGTCTCTATTCCTATCTCCTACTCAAACCTCTCTTTTCTCGTCTCACCCCGTTCCGTCTCGTCTCGGCCCAGACATTCTACATGTACATATAACGCACTTCGCAATCCCCTCTCTTCACGATACGATACTTGACTTCTTTCTCGGCGCCGTGTGATGGTGCCAGATGGAGGTCGGTGTCTTCATGTTTATAGACAGTTCTTATGAGCTATGAGGGTTAGCTCAGTTCTCTAGCGTTGTTGGTTGGTGGTCATACCAAGGCCTGGGAGGGGCTAAAAGCACAAGTCTCCTTCATCACGTTTTCCACTGTTGCTGCTCGTCCGTCATACAAAAGGCAGAAAGCGTCGGGGGTAGAAACGCAAGTCAATTATGTGGAGTTCATATTTGCAAGTGGTCTCTCTAAGCTATGGCTTTAGACTGACTGAGTAATGCCTACCCTCTGAGATGATGGTCGCGAGCTTGGAAACCGATACGATGGGCGAAGAAGAATTATAAAGAGCCCTGTGCATGCACCATAAGTACGCCAAACTTTCTTATCATTACAGCAACTACATGACTAGCTTGGCTGCTCTGTAGATAATAGAACCATGACACTGTCCTTTCGTTTCATACACCGGTAACAGTATTTCTCGCGTACATGTGATCTATGCAATCAAGAAATCAACAACACCTGAGGCCATTGCATACCATCGACCCAGGACTACGTATTTATCCTCCTACCACCCTATTCAATAGGCAGGTTTTGACTCTGGAGCTTCGGTGTTGGTTGATGAGCCCTGTGCAAGTAGCATAATGGCGTTTGTAGCAGCAGGATCGTGCCTGCTACCTCTTGTGATAGTCCCTTTGTTGTCCTGTTCCCGCAAGTGCATCTCCGTGGTGATTCCCAGGCCCATCCGGATGACGATGAGCGAGAATGCAATGCCCTTTGACCAATTTCAGCGAGCTTCAACCCAAGACAGTTGTATACTTACTACAATGGGAACAATCTGCTCGGTGATAAACGCTAGGTCAGAGAAACAGTGTCAGTTACTTGATTCTAACTCACCGAGTTCATCACAATGGTATAATATCCATTGCCAAATACATACATCATCAAGAGACAAAGTATAGATACTGAGTAAATTGTGCCAGACTCAAGCAGCGTGATTGCAACAGTCATGGGATTGTTGAGGCGGCTACTATGCACGTGGTGACGGACGCGACGGTAGAGGTAGAAGATTCTCCCAGAAATCATGACTGATTCGATTTTCTAGTCAGCTCGGTATATCACTCAGTATATAGCAAGTAATCGCCACTTACGCGTACAACTGAGGTGAACGATAAAGCTCATAATAAAAAGTGACAAGCTTGCGGATTCCACTATCATTCCAGAAAAGTAACTTTCAGCGACGACAAAGACCCTGGATTCCGACGCGTTTCCGCTTAACAAAATGATTCCCAGTACTATCCAGTATCATGTTAACATTCAATGTAAACTTGTCCATCAAACTCACCAATATTAATAAAGAATCCAAGAGAAATTGGTATGACCACCCGCTTGTCATTATTCCAGACCTTCCAGAGCCTATAAAGCTTGAATTGATAGTCCATATTTATAAATGCACCAAGTATCTGGTAATGCAGTGAACGTACCATGAACCCATCACCCAACCATAGCTGTATGACAAACACAACCACTTGGACTTCCGAGGAAGCCGTGACTTTGGAGATGAGCCTTGGGTAGTCGAACAGAGAATATATTGTGGAAAAAGGGGAGCTATTGTTTTGATACATGCACTCTTGTGAACTGAGAGATAGCTCGTCCATGAAACTACTAGTCACAATCCCCACTGCGTATAATGCATTGGTAAAGTATGCATTATACATGGATGCGCAAATATTCTGGGGAAATGTTTGCTATGACATGAGCTCTCGAAAGACTGCTGGCACATGTGACACCTACCAGCGTAGCCATGATAAACATTAAAACGCCAACAACCATCATAATGACATTGCACTTTGCCGAAGGGCCATCAACATGTTGCCGTCGAGTCACTGCAATGTATATATCTAGGGCCAAAAGCACGACAAAGGCTCCTGTGAATCGTGCAGGGCTTGATGGTGAAGACTTGTCATCCAGTAAGGAAATAAAACTTACCATAGAGAAGAATTTCCGGGAAGATTAGTCAAAACGGAGCGAATAGATCATCTGCGAGCGACATCACAGAGGCAAAGAATGGAACCGCACAAAATCTGTCATGACTAGCTAGCTATTAGTAGTATCTCATGCATCACGGGCTGTACCACGAGCTCTCACGGACACTTTCGCATCATCCATTCCTGCATCTTTGATCAACACACCATTACCTGATGCTGTGAACTTGATTATGGGTAGAAGCCTGAGCACATGCTCCGTCGGGCACTTTGACTTGCTTGGTCCTCATTCATAGCTAGGTTATATCAGTGAAGCTTGACTCTGGGTCCTCACGCACTAAAGTTATGAATGCTTGATCGCAACACATCAATCGGTTGGATGATAATCGATGGGAGTGGGAAGCCGAGAAGCTGACACGCTGACGCTCCTCCAGCATGGGAAGCTAAATGTAGACTGAAACGCAACCGCAACGAGCTTCCTGTGCTCGATGAATAGCATTGTTGATGCACGATGATCATACGACCTTCTGACATTTTGAAGCATACATTCTATATCTTAGGTTGCCGACCCAATCATTCAGCGGGTCACAGATTCAGCGAAGATTATCCGCCACTATACTTATACGTGTATTGTGCAAGTAATGAGGGCTGAGCGCTGAAATCTGGGGTAACCATGTTTCTCAGCATTCTGTATTCTAACCTAATTCCCATGCACTCGCAATGTACCCAGCAACTGATCTGCTGGAACTAAATGTTTTTGCTCTGATTTTTAGTTGATTTTCAGTTCATGTGCACATTAATATGTGCACACCATGCTCACGTACTTAGTTCGTAAAGCCACGCATTCGACCTGAAGTATAGAATCATTCTTCTTTTCCGAGCTACAGGGCGCTTATGAATGTAGGTCATCCTCGTCCAGTAAAACCTACCGCTTTGTTTTATGAGTTTCACATGGTTTTGAGCACAGTAGCGTGAGAACCTTTGCCTTTCACGGGCGCAAAACGTCGTGCAAGCAGCCATGTGCACCTCACCGCCACGATCTCCTCCCGCTGACTGCCGCTGACGGTAGCTGCGGCCTCAGCACCGCTCCCCTTCACGCTACAACTGCGCTGTGTAACGAGCGCAGGCTTGTAACACATCAGCCGGCTCTACAATCAACGACACCTTCGCGAACTCGACCTACCGGTGCCCTCTCCATGCGGCTGCCCGTCGTCTGCTACCTCAACCCCTACCATGCGAGTGCGCCGCGTTCACGCCCGCGCTCTCTGACCCAGAGCCTGGTTACCTTTTGACCACCGCAACTACACGGACAGCTACGAGATTGGTGCTCATGATAATCAGGTATATCCGGGTTCACAGTGCATACTCGGAACAAATCAAACCGTCAACTAATCATGCCAGAAACGAAGACATACAGATATTCAAGGCCTATCAACACACTGACGCAAACACAACGCAGCGCAACGCAACGCAAGAGGTTAGCTTCTTATTATCCTAATTCATTTCCACTGATACCCGTACCCGGCGCGGGACGTGACACTTATACTTTTCTTCTCTTCTCGTCCTGGCTGCATGTTTTTTGACACCAAAAACCACCATGGCGGATCTCCATCGACACCGTTCGTTCTACTCCGCTTCTTCCCTGTCGCTTGCATTCACCTCCGCTCTGAGTCCGTACTCGTCGCTGCCACATCACCCGGTCCACTGTGATCGCTCATTACTTCTCTGATTGGACTGCCTGGACGCGGAATCGGATGCAGACATGATTCGGACATCATAATTTCGACTTTACGCTGCTCTTCGACTGTGCCATCATTCATCGCTCGTTTTTTTGTCACAACATGCATCATCCCCATTATCCCACTCTTCTCGCGCGTCTCGAGCCGGACTAAGTATTGACTAGAAGCGGTTTGTGTTATCTGCACGTCCGGGAAGCTAGATTCCCCGTAATTGCCTCACTCCTCTTCGATTGCCCATGATACGTTCCGTGATTTCCTTCTCGTCTTCAGCCATTGTCATTATCTCTCTCTCCTTCTCAGACTTCTTTCGTCTTGTCTTGTCTCCTCCTGTCCTGGATCAGTCATTCTACATGTACGTATCAAGCAATTTACAGTCCCCTTTCTTCACGATATGACACTTGAGTTATTTCTCGGCGCCGTGTGATGGTGCAAGTGGGAGGTCGATGTCTTCATGTTTATAGATAGCTCTGGTACAGCTGTAAGGCGAGCCGTGTCCCACTAGTTTCATTACGAGGTCATCGGTTGAGTACGCTTCTCTTGTGCCACGACAGACCCCGAGTGTGGGACACGAGTTTGTCTCGTACAGACTCCCTCGATTTCCAACATCATGTACCTCGCCGACATGGGTTCCTACAACCCTATGCTCACCTGTGTAGTCAAACAGCCAACAGTTTTATGGAGATGCATAGCATGAATGTGGCGCAGAGGGCGCATGGATGCTGTAGAGAATTCGTACACAGTTGTCACGGGCTCTTTTAAAGCCGCCCGGGCGCCCACACACCGCTACCTGGTCATATATATAGCGACGCAGCACCCTTAATGTCCTCGAGTGGTGGACAACAGACTTTGCCGCCGTAACTACGATGGACGCTCTGACAGAGGCCTTATACAACATAGTTAACGCATGGTGGGCGGCGTTTCTGGAGACGATACTTTATAGTAAGTCATTCGTACTTGTTATCCTCAGGGTACATTTCGTTGACTGAGAACAGGCATTTTTGGAGTGTTACTATTGCTAAACATCTGCATCGTGAAGACCCGCGGCAGGACGAGCGCCATGAAACCGGCATTGATCGTCCAGGCTGCTATGTTTCTGGTAGCGACCATCGTGCGTGCCACTGATTGAGCCCACAGCGCTTACTAGGGCTGACTACCCATTAACTCTTAGCATCTCGGATCAAACCTTTTCGAGATCTATGTTGGCGCAGCAAAAAATGCGCTACTTGTCATGAGGATTACTGGGACAGATATGATTTTTGACGGTCTGAGTAATGGGAAAGCCATGCAAAGGAGCGTGCTGGCTTCGATCCTTGTTCAGATCGCATTCGTAGCTCAGATCTGGCTAGGGGATGGATTTATGGTATGTTCATTTATGTGACTTAGAGGGACGTGCCTGATCTTATACCCTCATTGTCAAGCTGTTCAGACTGTGGAAAGTGTGGAACAGTGACAAGCGCGTTGTTATACCTCACACTGTCGGATTCATCGCTGACGTGGGTAAGTAGCATACCAAGGAGGAGTTTCATGTTTAAAATAACTGACTGGCTGATAAAGCGTTTGGTATTCTGGCATTGTACCAGAATGCTGCCGCGTTGGTCGATCCTGAAAAGGAAACGATGGGCCCCAATCAAATAGCTCGTGCATTCGCCTTAGGTGACATTTTATACATGCCGCTGATCGCGGTGAGCCTTGCGGTCCACATAAGCTGCTCTGGTATGTTAACTCAAGTTTTCAACGGAGTCCCAACATGCCCAAACCCCATTGACATCAGTAATGATTGCCTCCAGAATTTTCTATCTCCGGCGTCAAGTCGGCGTGTCAGTGCATGGCGAGGCTGGCACCAGTCCAACGACAATAGCAGTCATTTTACTCGAGTCCGCCACGGTGTACTCGATGTCGATGCTGGTGTTCCTGATTGCCTACAATGAGCCACCAGATTTAACCGGATCTCAGTTTTACTACTTAGGTGTTATATCGAGCTCCGTGAGTAGCCCACATACTCGGTCAAGTTGATAGATCTTTGACACGCATTAAATCGGGTTTTGGTGTATTCATATCATAGATTACACCTCTTATCGTAAGCCTCTCGCTTCTCGCGATACTAACAATGTTTGATGGCATTTTATCAGGGAATCACATTCTCTATCATTATAACGCGAATGGGCCTAGGCATATCGGTCGAAATGTATGTGAAAGCACGGCGAAAGGAATCCAGACACGTCTCGGAAGCAGCAGGAACCACGGGTATCACGAACGACTCTTCGATAGTCTTCGCCCAAGTTTTAGCGCCGCACTCCATCGAATTGAGCTTAACGGCGACTGCCTGACGGGTTTTTATCGGGGTTGTATGCTCCTTTTCTTCTCCTTCGTAGTTGTGTCTTGAATGTCCAGTTGCACCGTATCCCAATATGAATTAGGAGATCTTAACTACGCCTTTCTCACGTGTATACAAACAACATTCATAACGCGTGATGCAGACCCGCTTCATTGGTACAGTGATTTAGTAACAACGGGCACATTACCTCACTAGCTAGAGAAATCAGGCTGAGTTTGATGTTGCTCCAGAACTGCTTCTAGCAGTAGATGGTCCTCTCGTAAACACTATAATCGACGGTGCGTACATTGCTCCACTTGCGTCGCCCTTCTTTACTCCGAGATACATGTCTGCTGATATGCAAGACCGACCCTTATGTTTCCCGTATAGTTAACCTTCTTACCGTTATTCGTTTGGTCGTGTTTGGATGCACTGCTGGACGCTGAGAGGGGACAGATCCGGCCGAATTTTGCTAGAAGCCCCCTGTTGAATGTAGTGATGCGTAAGCCATGAATGTACGTGGGTTGATAATCCATCTTGGCGGTTCATGTTCACAGACATTCTCCTCGAGAGGCCTTGGCGATATGTGCCCCTCGCCAATCGACGGTTTAAAACAGGCGATTGCGACCCCACTTGCATAGTCATTCCAGCGGTTCACCTCTATGATTCATGTCTCCTACTGCAACATGTCCGCCGCTTTCGTAGTAGGCATGGTCGGGCTTGCCAACGAAATGCGCCGCTCGGAGGGCAACGGCAGCGCCCAGACGTTCCGAGTCTGTCTTTGAGCAGGCAATAGCAAAGTGATGATTGCTTTGCTCAAGATGGCCAATTATGGCCTCGGAAATACCTGGTACGAGCCGGTCTTCCGAGTGTTCTTCAAGTTTGTGTCTTCCTTTCGTTCTATCACCCTCATGCTGTCCAGCCCTTTTGGGGGTTTCAACAATAGCTAGAAGGCTCAACACATGCCAGGAAACAAACCTTCCAGATACACACATCCCGAGTACATTTTATTATGTTCACTCATTCGCGCCAGAAACAATGATACGCGTTGACTTAATGCGTCAGGTTTCACTAACTCCAACCCAGCGCAGCGCCATGATGTGGGGGTCCGGATTCTCATTCTCAGTCCTGGATATATTCCATCAGAGGCCCTACAGCGGATGCGAGGAACGCCCGCAGATAGTCTGCAGATCTCGTATCATACTTGAAAAACTCCTCATCTGCTTTAGAACCCACGTAAAACCCGTGGCAGATGGTGTGAGCCCACCAGTGTTCTTCCCAAGTCCGACAGATGGCGCCACACCCGGTCGCAGTATCAAACCGCTGTGGTCTCATAGCCTCCCTCTAGATTGCTTCCATGGATCTTTGCTTCTGTTCCACAACACTCCTACTCAATTGATTATGTCCTTGTACTATATTCATCCAGGGGCAAAGTTCAGGCCTCAGGGCATGTCTATGTTTGTGCGCATCGCTCCCTGACCCGAGCAACACCTTATCTCCTCTGGCGTTCCTATTGCTACAATCCTGTGTATTCTCTCTTCTATTTTAGAATCTGTGGGCTTGAACCCTCTTTGCTGTGTCCGAAGATTAGGGACGTTTTTGGACAACGGGTAAGAGCGCTGGCAACGGTTTGACTGCTATGAATCTCGGAACATGATCGTGAGGCGCCACAATCAGCAATCAACTTTGAATAATATTCCACTCATCCGAATTGAGTACTTGAGTCTGGAGATTGCAAGGGTCGGGCGCTTTCCCTGATACAGTTGGAACAACGATATGCCTGTCGTCACAGCAATTTCCCAGGAATTTCTCGCCAATATCGATGTGTAGCACTGAGTGTGTTTTACTGAAGAAACAATTAGCCTTGATGTTGTATGAAGCGGTGGGTATATTTGTCGACACGAAGGACAGGACCGATACAACTGTCTACCAAATAAATAACAATAAGGCAGCCACAATGGCCATCACCATCTATGTTCCCGTGGTTGTAGTGAGCCTCGTGGTTCATGTGAGCTGTACAAGTGCGCTGTTTCCAACATTGAAGTTTGGACCAATGTAAGCCAATATTGATTTCACTGCAGCCTTGATTGCAGCCAGGGTGTTATATCTCCAATGCCAGGCTGATAGGTTCTTACAACGTGATGGTAGCATAAGTCCGACAGCGGTAGCAATCCTTCTGCTCGAGTCCGCCGTGATATACTCGTTATCAACGCTAGTTCTCCTAGTTGCTTTTTCCGAGTCATATATCAGGACATTGCTCTCCAAACTTGATTACACCAATGCTTCCATAAATACGCGTTTGACATTAGCTTCAATATGCACATACTAGTAGATCGTACCTCATCACTAAATGGGTGGGAAAAGTTTGGCCGTTATACCGAGTGATCACTGTTATAATATCGTCGTCGAGATAGTTTTGTATGATCACGAATGGTGACGCATTCCCATTGAGTGAACATATCCTTATGGTATGGCAGTGAATTTCGGCCGAACACCATGTCGCGGACACTTTACCATTGATCAAAATTGATGATCTTGCTCGTACATTTGTTAGTCGAATATAAAATACGGAGACCATTTCAGAAACAAAATTATCATTGAGCGATAACTTCAACTGCATATGGCAGCCACCGCTTGAGGTAGACACGAACACTAACGAACAATAAAAACGGTAGAGATTCGAATACCCGCTGACCTTTACAATGATGCGAACCCGGTTGCGTTGGTGAGAGCCTCGTCTTCACCCAAAAAAAGCTCTTGATCTGTACGTGCTGCAGTCTCTGCTTCAGCAAGCTATGCTGGGTCTCCTTCTTCATCGCTGGTATCACCGCTCTCTGTCGGAGTGAGGTTGTACACCGCTCCGGCGTTGGTCTGGTGGATGGCTCGGGATGCTCGGGAGAAGCGGAGAAGCGGACAGAGGACGGTTCGGGATGCTCAGGAGAAGCAGAGAAGCGGATAGAGGACAGCTCGGGATGCTCAGGAGAGGTAGAGAAGCAGAGAAGCGGGACAACGTGAAGGGATAAAGGTTGGAATGCATGGGGTCGCCGACATGTATATATGGGCGACCTCTCGCCTCGCTTTCCCCCATCCGCATGTACTACTGCGTATGGGGTCTAATATACCATAACTTCTAACACCCACGTCCTCCGGTAGCAAGGCACCAGCGAGCGCTATCGAGTCCGACCTCTCCTCAATTGAAGAAGATCCAGCGCCGGTGCCAAAGCCTGCCATTCAAACCAGGGCAAAGAGTGCCAGGATTAGTACAGGGGGAAAACAACCGGCGAAGAAGACTGGCAACTAGGTATGTTATATCAGTGTATCACTGCTTCATTTCGCTCACGTCCCCTCCCTTCCCAGAGATTGTTTGTCCCGGGCCTGTGTTCGCCCTAACGTATGTTTTTATTTTCTTGCTCCCTTCCAACTGTCGCTTCACGGTCTATACGCTTTATTCTTTCTTTGTACTTCCTGCGCCTGCGCTCGTCTACTGCTGCTGCTCTCGTGTATTATCCTCGTTCATCGGTTTAACCTCGCATAATGCTACATCATGTACTATATAATATTCACAATGAATGTCTTGTCATTGGAATCATGGGCGAGATTGCGAGTCCTCATCATATGGTGTGAGCTTTTATCATACGGCATAAAACACCAGCCGATCTTATCATGTAATTATCATGCAGGCACCGTCAACGGTAAGATAGCCATCAATATTATAATATCATCCCTGATCTGACCATTTCACCGTCTGATTTTGGTCTGATTTCCTGTATGTTAAAAACGGACTTTACGCTCCACTCGTGCTGGAGATTCAAAATATCACTAAGGTACGGTGTCAGTTATAACGGATTCTACTACTGCTCATGTACTTATATTCGGACCGCCCATTTAGTGATGGACGGCCCTATTAAGTCACGCGCGAACGTGACTTGCTGGCTTGACGCATCTCAGAGAAATGCCAGTTACACGTTTGTTGACGACTCCCAAGTCCAGTGAGGATCCATGTCAAGAGCGGAGTTAGGTACAATGTTCCTTACACGATGTGTCCTCAAATCCACGTCCTTCAGATATGTAATGTGCCTCTGAGTCGTCAGGAGTGGGGAGGGGTGTAGTATGGGGAAACACATATAAACAAGTTGTAGCAACGGTGCGGGCGGGCGCAGCTCGGACAGCCTGAGGGTGAAATGTTTAACCATATCCTTGAGGCTTACACGGACCGCATTTCAGGTTAAGGTAGCCCCGCTTGACTACTGGCGAAGCTTGAGGACTGGGACAAGGGTGAGCTATGTCAATCATGCTATGCAGTCAATCTCCTCTAAAGCTCCCTGTACTTGAAGTAGCGTGAATGCGACGAGTACGCCTCAAGGAAGAAAGAAGCTTCGGTAGAGAGATACTTTCCCCGCGGAGTTCTCGTGTGCCAATGTGATTTTATTCTAGTACTCACGAACATGCCTATTAGAGGGTACTTAGTGTTGTACTGCGCGACAAAGGCGCCGGAGATGCCAGGCATCGAATAGCCTGTGATAGCTAGTAAAACTCGTCAGACTCTCCGCTCATATTCGTCAACCCGACGATCGTCGTGAGCTGCCCTCCCTGCATCTCTAGATCAATCTGCTAGATCCAGTACGCTGGTCAGTGAAGTTGTCACAGAACACAAAGAGTGGGCTCTTCCTACCTGCTCCGAGGTCCTCTGCGTAAGCGTAGACTCGGTCTCTTCTGTCTTAGCACTCCCCGACCGATCAATGGCAGGGCGATTTAGGAACGTATCTAGGAGCGTCTGCTCCCCGTCTCGTTAGCCATCTTTTGTGCCTCCTCCAACCACTCAAAACCACAAAAGTGAATGCACACGCGACGTACTATCGAATACAACCGCCCAATCGGAATTCCCCACATCCCATACATATTGCTTTCAGGCCACAGCACGTACGAGATGAGCGCGAGGATCGCGAAGATGTCGGCGGGGACGCCCGTCTGGATGGTCCACCGGATCAAGCGATTAATGGCAATGCGGTAACGGGGCGGGCTCTTGAGCAGCTTGTTGCGCGATTTGATGAGGATGGTGATGAGTGTCGCTGGTAAGCGAACACGATAGGCAGGTCAGCAAGTGTCAATTCGGGGCTCGGAGGTAGGATGGGAGGCGGAGCACCGAACTGGGTGAGGGAGCGGATGTACATACCGGTGATATACGAGTCAGCGACAACATTTGAAATGCACCATGCGACGACGAGCCACTCAAAATTGATGAAATCGGGAATACTGGACACATAATTAGTACTCTCCTCGTACAAATGCCTTGTTGAAACAGATGCAGGCGCTACTTACTACCCGATGATCAGTTTCTTAAGCGAGATTCCGGTGCCCAAAGCGAGCGCGACAATGGACAGAAGGATTCCGACGAGGGCAAGAACCCGGCTTTGGCTCAGGCGGTATATCCTACATGTTGACACTTCAGCCACCTGGTCTTGCAGTGCAGTCTGGACAACAGGATGCGCGTAGGTGCAAGGACTTACCGCCATGTGAGAAAGCCCTGGGTTATGATGGCGCACCCCTCGGTTGCAAGCGACGTAATGCCGTACGCCCATGTCGACTCTGTCGGTTGCCAGGTCGTTGGATTTTAACTTATATCACGACGTCAATGCGACGCTCACCTAACAGGGCGCTTGGGTTTGTGTAGTTTGCCACTCTGGTTATGAAGGCTAAGTCGACGTATAGCTATAGATATGAAGAAAGCTTACGCGTAGAACCAGGCTGAGTAGATGAGCCTGCATGAGTCACCGAGTCAGCGCATGTAATGCTGATAGCGAGACGTCATACCCTACGCTATAGGCCGAGTCAAGAAGAAAGACGAAGCAGGTCATGAGTCTAACGGGATGTAAGACATGGTGTTTGGTGTTCGGCCCACATCACCCACCTGAGCGCATAGTGGTCGCCAAAGTCTGAACATAGGCGTTTGCTGCATTGAGCACTATGCTTGACTCAGACTCGTTGTTCACTCACTTGTATTGAAGTAAACGATGTACTGATAAGTGACAATACCGTAGAGAAAAGTGTTAACTAGCGTGAAATCATATTCAGCCGCGTAAGATTGTGTTGAGAGTGACAAATTGCGTACAAAATATGCCAACGATCAAGTATCCTAGAGTTTCACCTACGGACAGGAGTTCCATAGCGCCATGCTGTTCCATCCCGAGCTCATTCAGCACCTTAGCGGCCAGAGACCAGTCAACAGTGGGGGGTGGGATGGAAACGAAAAGCGCTCGAAGAGCTTCATGTAAGCTTAACGTCAGCATGACACCCGGGCCGCGAGAGTGGAGCGGCCGTCGATGCTCTCGGTGATCGGTTTTGTACAAAGATTTTTGTATCCGTGGGGACCGGGGTCCATATGGCGCGAGCCTCTTCGACAAACGGAGATGTGTATGAGATAGTATATGGGCGCATAGTAAGTGGTATGCTTAGACCAGGATCAGGACTCGTGCAGTTTTGTTAGCGCATAAGTAAGTATCACCGCGAGTATTCGAACAGCCTACACTGTGGTCCTGTTCTACAACTTGGAGGACCTTATCACGTACATACATAGAGCGAAGCTCCTTCCCGGGGTGCGTAGCGAGCCGAGCACATGGCAAGATCTGCACGGAGACGAAAAATTCTTGATGGGCCGAATCTCGCACGAACCGCAGAAGTGGACCTTAAGCTTAAGTCCGCATGGGGCAACGCAAAGAAAATTGCAAAGAAATCTCGTTTCGCTAATAGAGTCGACGAAAGCTTTTGAGCAAAGTCATGAGTTGATGCTGAGTTGGAGGGTGACCTTTTAGTGGTTTAATTTTGAGAGTGGACGATGGAAGAAGCGGGTTAGACTCACGAAGACCATGACTTGGTTCAGGGTCGAGGTCCAGGGCATAGTGGCGTTCGGCAGTTGCCGAATAAAGGGCCGTGAAACGCGTCTTGACCCGCCCTAAACAGAGCGCGCTTGCTGAAGGGACAGTTGTTCGAACATTACGTTTGCACCATCATACTATAGAACTCAGTTTCTCATCCCAAGTTCCCCCTCATAGACATAATCTTGTGCTCATATGAATCCAAAGTACCCGAAACAGGATTTACTGTGGCATAGCAACCTAGCATGGGCGTGCATTGCCTCGTGGAGCTTTGCGCAGGCATGTACACTCCGTCTGATACAACAGTAGCCGGGCAGCACATCTGCGATAGAGAATACAGCACCTCAGCAATGTCTCTCTGCCTTCTCCTCGCACCGCTCTGTTTCAGACCAGTGGTTTGTGAAAGGCCAAGGGCCGCTACCAACGTTGTTTTGTTGAAATGATCAAGGAACTTGTCGACAGAACGAGGCCTAGGCTGAGTGCTGGGGCTCAGGAAGATGGGCTATGTGTACAAGGAGCAGCTCATGCCCAGGTGCGTTGCACTAGCCATCGGATATCGCCAGTGGAAGTGATGTCGATGAGGTATCACTATCTCAGACGGAGACAGAGAAGACTTCGCTTTTCCGGCCAAGATTCTTCACTTGATACCGTGGTTCAGGCATATCAACAAATCGAGGAGAGTACACACGTTGAGAAGAAGCGTTCTCGCACATTTTCCCGTTTAGCGTTGGTCCGGTGGTTGTCGCAACCTCGGACCCCAGAAAATCTCGTGAGACAACGCAACACCATTTGAGTACGTACGAACATGCATAGTAAAAGGTACTCAGTGCTTTGCGACAAAGGCGCCAGAGATGTTGTATTGAATCGCCTGTATTCACTAGTAGAACTCATCAGACTCTCCACTCATGTTCGTAAACCTGACAACCGTCGTAAGCTGTTCTCTCTGTATCTCCAGATCGCTCTGCTAAAGTCAGAAGGTCATTCAACAAAGTTAACAGAGACGGAAACAACTAGGTCATTCTCACCTGCGCCGATGCTCTCTGCGTGAGCGTGAGTTCGGTCCCTTCTGTACTGGCGGCCCCCGGTCTACTAAACACGGGTCGGTTCAACAGCGTATCTAGAAGCGTCTTCATGTGTTTTGTCGTCAGCTAGCACTTCATGTTTCCAATTCGCAGCTCGAAAGGTTGGATAAAGAAGGTGAAAAGAGAAGAGAAGACGAAGAAACGGGGAAGGGGCGGAGGTCGGAAGAGAAGAGCAAAAGAGAGAACAACACGCACCATCGAATACAGCCGCCCAATCGGAATCGCCAGCATCCCATACAGATTGCTGTCCGGCCACCGCAGGTACGAGGCGACCGCGAGAATCGCGAAGAGGTCGGCGGGGACGCCTGTCTGGATCGTGCACCGGATGAAGCGGTTGATGAGCATGTGGTAGCACGGCGGGCTCTTGAGCAGCCTGTTGCGCGATTTAATGAGGATGATGATGAGTGTGATTGTGATGTACGAGTCGGCGATGACGGCCGATACGGCCCAGGCCACGACGAGCCATTCAAAGGCGACGAAATCGGGAATGCTAGGAATACAGTTGTTCACCCTGTCGTCGCCTACTGAACTCGTGACTCACTAGCCAATGATAAGGCCCTTGAGCGCAACTCCAGCCCCAAAAGCGAATGCGATAGTGGATAGAACGAGTCCAACGATGGGGAGGATGCGGCTGTGGCTCAAGCGGTATATCCTATACATTGATACTTCAGCTATCCACTTATGGGTAAATTTCGACAAGGGGACGATTCAAGGGTGGAGAGATGCAACGACTTACCGCCACGCGAGAAAGCCTTGCGTTATGATGGCACACCCCTCGGTTGCGAACGACGTGATGCCGTACGCCCATGTCGACTCTGTCGGTTATCGGGGTGTTGGAGGAGACAGCTATCTGACGAAGTTAATTCAAGGCTCACCTTGCAGAGCGCTCGGATTCGTGTAGTTTGCCACTCTGATCGTAGAGGCTTAGTCGGTTGCGCAGATATATAGTCGATGGCTACTTACACGTAGAACCAAGCGGTATAGACAAGACTAGCCCATATATATGAGTAAAGCTTACAGCAAGGGCGTTGGATATTGGCTTACCCGACGCTATAGGTTGAGTCGAGGAGGAAGAGGAAAGATGTCATGAGTCTAGGAGTGTTCTCATAAGAGGCACTGTGTTTGATCTGAGTTGCGGATCACGCACTTGAGTGCATAGTGGTCGCCGAAGTCTGTTGACATTGACGTGGTTGAGCCCTGCGTTTAACAACAAAGAGATCAACGTTCACTCACTTGTCTTGAAGTAGGCAATGTATTGATAAGTGACAACACCGTAGAGAAAGGTGTTGACTGGGATGGATACACAATGAGCCTGCTTGACCGCGCTGTGAACGTCAAGAACGCTCACAGAATATACCAATGATCAGGCATCCTAGCGTTTCATCCATGAACAGGAGAGTCGTATCTTAGAAGCAATGGGATTGCGCACCGAGTGTAGCGCTGTGGTGGTCCATCTTGAGCTCATCCGGCGGCTTGCCAGCGGCCAGTGATCAGTCAACACTGGGGAAAGACAGAAGCAAAAGGCGAACAAGGACTACAGGTACTGCAACAAGCACACCGTGAGTACGACACTGCCCGGGCCGCGAGAAAGAAGCGTTGCTCGGTGATCGGCTTTATATAAGATTTCGTATCTGCGATGGACGGGTCGCGAGCTTCTCCGAGAAACGGAGATATGTGTGGGATGGTGTCTAGAAGCACGCAAAAGTGGTCAAGATACGTTCAGCGCCAGCTTGGTTGGCATACTGTACAGGTGAGGTTATCCCCGCGAGTATTTGAACTCATACCGTCGAACATGCGCCAACGCTTCGCTTTACCAGTCGGAGACCCCTTGTCATAAAGAGCAAGGTCCCTTCCAAGTTCTTGGTTGCGTACAGAGCTGGCCGAGCACATGGCAAGATCTGCATGAACTCTTTGTCGCAACAACGTGGGAGCGGGTCTTTAACTCCGCATGGAGTTATCGCAAAGAAAACGTTGTGCACAGAGTTTATGAGTTCAGCAGAAGCTTAAGTGGGCGTAGAGCTGGAGTGGTGCCTCATCTGTCCTCTAGTTTCGCGATGTCGATGGTCTGGTAGCCCAATTTGAGCCCAAGGATCATGGTCTGACTTGAGTTGGCCACAAGACGGCGGGGCGCGGTGGCGTTCGGTAGTTGCCGAGTAAGGAACAAAGGCGATGAAGCGCGTCTTGACCTGCCCTAAACACGGCGCGCCTGTTCTACGCGCTCTTTGGGTGGTCGCCTTCCCCTGGCACAGCAACAGCAAATTTGTCCTTCCTCATATCTTACAACATATCCGACCTCCAAGATGGTCTACCAAGTCTTCCAGGACAGCGTCCAAGTCCTTCCACTAGCAGATGTCACCCAAAGCGCAATGTCGGCGCCTACCTTGGACGCAGACGTCGACGAGCTCGATGTCATCACGCCCGCCAACTCCCTCGCTGTATCTGCCGTTCCCTCAATGCGCTCCAGTGTCGTCACACTTGTAGAAGATGACAATTCACCCCCTCCCAAGCTGCTGTCTCGCCGACAGAGCGCCCGTCAGCAGGGCTCGCGTAAGGTGTACATCGACGGCCTGCGCCCACAAAAGAGCCCTGAGCCGTCACCTGCACCTCAGAAGAAAAGGCCGAGGTTGAGCGAGCCGGCGGATGCATTCAGCCAGAAGAAGCAGAAGAGGGAGGATAAGAAAGCTGTGAGTCTCATACTCGTCCGTGCCCTATCACCCTCTGAACCGATTCATTTGTCCGAAAGACCACTGTAGTTATCAACGCGCGCAAAGCGAAAGTCGAGGCTTCTCGCAAACGCTGGCTACTTCGGCACCGGGACATCTTCGAACCTCTGCTCCCATCTTCCACGTTCTTTGACCATGTCGAGAATGACATCAACGAGACGGACGGCAACACATCGTACGTTCCGTTCCGCAAGATCGAGTGTCAGCCAGCACCTATTCAGGGCGGCGAGATGAAGGAGTATCAGGTGAATATCTCGCAAATTCCATTCTCGCGCCTGCTTGTCTCATGCCACTTCGTGACTAGCTTCAAGGCCTCGCGTTTCTCGTGTACATGTACAAGAATGGTGTGTATCATGCTCTTGCCTCCTAGATTGTCGATTGACTCGTGAGCAAAGGCATAAACTCGATTCTTGGAGACGGCATGTTTTCGCTTCCTTCCCGTCTCGACGCGACTAACCCGTGTCTAATCAGAAATGGGCCTCGGAAAGACGCTCCAAACACTATCCCTCTTCGCGTACATCAAGGAGACGGAGCCCAAGGGTAGGCCGCTCGACCGCGCTCCTGCCTGCCGGATACTTACCTGCGCCTTTTCAGACAACCATGACCCGCACCTGATCATCTGCCCCCTCTCCGTGCTTTCATCATGGCAAACCGTGGGCATTATCATCCCAGCATCTTCTATAGTCCCTCTAACGGCCACTACAGGAAGCTGCTCGCTGGCTTCCCTCCTTCCGCACCATCCGCATGCACGGCGCTGCCTCCGAGCGCGAACACATCAAGAACGACCTCAAGTTCTCGTTGGATACGAAAGGCGAGAAGGTCGACCTCGTGCTGACGACGTACGAGACGTTCGTCGCCGAGTCCTCGTGGTTCAAGACGCGTCGCTGGTTCTACTGTGTGCTTGACGAGGGCCACAGAGTCAAGAACGCGGAAACGAACCTTGCGGGGCAGGTGCAGGGTATCGGGGCACTGCATCGATTGAGTAAGTATTTTGTTTGCTTTCTTCCCCTAGTACGCCGGCTGACGCGGGAGAACAGTCCTGACCGGCACTCCCCTGCAAAATAACCTCACCGAGCTCTGGTCCCTTCTGCACTTCCTTCTCCCTGTGGTGTTCACCTCCGCCTCGCAACGCCTCTTCCACTCCGCTTTCGACCTCACCAAGGGCACATACTCCCTCCCGTTCCTACGCGCCGCGCAGACGCTGCTCGCGACGCTCATGTTGCGCCGCACGAAGGCGAGCATCGAGGCGGAGCAGGGTGGGCTGGGTGTGCCGCCGCGAGAGGAGCGGACGGTGTGGGTGCCGATGACGGAGGCGCAACGCTTCTGGACGTATAGGATTTTGACGCGGATGGATACGTTGGATCTTGGGGAGATTTTTACGAGTGCGAGTTCGGGCGGCGGTGTGAAGGGCGAGGTGAAGGGCGAGGAAGTGGGGAGGGAAGAGGATGAGGGAAGGAGGGAGATGATGGGTGTTATTAGGGAGAAGATGAAGGTGGCTACGAAGGCGGAGGAGGCTAACAGTGCGTTTCTGCCTTCGTTCCGGCTTTTTATTGGCTTCATGGCTGACACTCGGTGGGACGGTTAGGGTGGCGACGACTCATGAACCTCCTCATGCAGCTCCGCAAGATCTGCGACCAGTACGTGTTCTCCTCTACCTCTGCGAATATACTCTGCACGTACTAACTGACCCGGACGCGTGCAGCCCGTACCTTCTCGACGACGCTGCGCCCGAGCCCTACGTCAACGGCGAACACCTCGTCGCGTCCTCGTCGAAGATCATCGCCATCGACAAGCTCCTCAAGGATATCCTGCCCAAGGGCGAGCGAGTTCTCATTTTCTCTGTACGTCCTTCCAATCCCTCCTTTTCCAGTATCTGAGCTGAATTGGTGACAAAGCAATGGGTAACGATGTTGGACCTGCTCGAGGACTTCATGCACCTCCGCGGGATCCCGTATGGCCGTCTGGACGGGAGCACGGTGCGTGCGAGGAGGACGCTCGATATCAAGCTATTTCAGCAGGAAAAGTCGCGTATGTGCTCTCTTTGCTATCCCTCCATTACGGCATATACTCATTCTCGCGACAGCATACCAGGTGTTCCTCATCTCGACCAAAGCCGGAGGCCTCGGTGCGTCCTCCTTCGCTATGAGATCCTCTTGACGCCTGTTGCTGACGCAGGCCGTGATCTGCTGCACAGGCATCAACCTGACCAAAGCCTCGACCGTGATCATGTGCGACTCGGACTGGAACCCGCAGAACGACCTGCAGGCAATCGCGCGCGCACACCGCATCGGCCAGACCAAAGTCGTCAAGGTCTACCGCCTGATTTGCGCGGGCAGCGTCGAGGACCAGATGCTCGACCGCATTCGGCGCAAGCTGTTTTTGTCGGTCAAGGTCATGGGCTCCACGGCTGACCCGTCGTCGTCTCCTGCGGGCGGGGATAAGGACGGGGAGAAGATGGGCACGTCGGATGTGTTGGATATTCTCAGGAAAGGCAGCAGCGCGTTGGGGGAAGCGGGGATGGAGCTGAGTCGGTTTTTGGGTGCTTCGTTCGGCGAGGTGTTGCAGTATTCGAAGGAGAGGGAGGATGCGAGGGATGCGAAGATCCGCAGGGATGTCTCTTCGTCTTCAGTAGGTCCAGGTTTGGAGGGCGTGAAGATGGAAGATGGCGTCCAGTCCGAGCCGAACAATGGCGCGGACGACAAGACCCTTGTAGAGGACGCAGAGGCAGAGGAGCGCCGTTTGCTCAGCGGGATCGCCCAGGTGCAGAGCAGGCTGTTCGAGGGTCGGGTCGTAGGTGGCGCCAGCACCAAAAACGGGCGGCAGGACAACAAGCAGCTCGCGAAGGAGTGGAACGAACTGCAAAAACGTGCGAGGGTGGATAGGCTCGTCACCGTGAATGGGATCCAGGTCGTCGCGGAGAATCTGGGGCAGAGTGCGGTACGTCTCCAATGTCTGCACACGGAGCTGTTATGACTATGATGCTGATAAACTGGTGTGTTGCGTAGCCCGCGGTTGTGATATCCCAGCAGAAGAAGAAACGTGCCAAGTGGGAGACCGAGGATTGGTGTCTCCACTGCCGAGACGGTGGCGAGCTCGTCGTGTGCGGCCTGTGTCCTCGAGGTACGCTTCTCCTTCTACACCTTCGTTGACTTGTTGCTCATTTGTCTCTCCCTCGCCAGTCTTTCACGGTCGCTGTGCAGGCTACACGGCCGCTGAAGTGCGCCGTCTTCCACAGCTTCATTGCAGCCAGCACGAGTGCTGCCAGTGCAAACGCAAGACACAAGAAACGGGCGGCATGCTCTTCCGCTGCCAGACATGCCCGCAGGCGTTCTGCGAGGACTGTCTTCCCGAAGGCGAGCTCGACGCTGTTGGCGATACTCTTCCCGAGTTGTGCGTGCTACCCCTGCTGCTCCTTGATTTTGTGGTGTGCTGATGTTGTTTGGTCATATAGCTTGGCCCTGGGTTTCGGCACGCGGATGGGCGCATACTACATCCGGTGCGCGGATTGTCATGCACACTGGGAGAAGAACCCCAAGGCGCGGAAGAGCTGGGAGGAGGAGATGCGTGAGACGGAGGCGAAGCTTGCGAGCATGGATCCTGCAGATATCCCTTATTGAACTTTGCTTTCCTTGGTTTCTTTGTTGATTCGTTGACATGTAGATTGACTTTTGGTGACGGTCCAGACTTTGCTTAATACCTCTTGCTGTAGCTTACTATACCTTTTGTATTCTCCATGCGCTCATAATTACCTGTTAATCATGCTGTAGATCATACTGGCTCGTCTCGTCTATAGATTGCCTTTCGCTCGATGCTTAAACTTGTCTCGCGCGCTTTCCTCAGGAGCTTGACGGCATTCTTCCTTTTGGGTTCCTTGCAGTTGCTGTTGACCAGGACCACTTCACCAAGATCATATCAAAATTTAAGCTGGTGTACAATAGCGCAATGCATAAACTATCTACGTATATATGGAATACTGTTATATATGTATGTACCTTCGCGCTGTCCATTCACGCCCCCTCGGGCCTGCCCTCGGGCGCATACTACAGCTCATACGGCCCATCCTTGAGGCAGATCCTTTCGTCTCTCCATACACGCAAGTCTTTGCCGGTCGACCCTACTATCTGCACCTCGCCTGCGCCTGTGTCGCTCATCACGTTCGCGACCGACTGCTCATTGACGGTGAACTGTCTAGATGTAAGCACATCAACCCACGCATCTCCGAAGGCGTCTCCAAACGAACGTCCAGTTTGGAAATATGCGGCTATGACAGCCAGCAGACAGAAGCAGCCAAGGAACCCCACGAAAAAGCTGGAGACCATTCCGGCGGCCAAGCGACGGCGGGTGACGAAACCTTCGAAGCTGAAGTACTTCCATTCAGCTTGCGGCGCGTCGGTTGGGCCGTGTCCAAACGCCGGCGGTGGACCCGGAAAGCGGCCCTTTGCGAGCGCATATGCAGATGGAGTGACGGTACCAGGTACCTGGAGGACGCCAAATAGCTGAGCAGGCGTAGATGGCGACGCCAGCATGCCCCGGCGGGCTCGAAAGTACGTCGAGTGGAGAGACTCGATCGTCATGCGGGACGCGAAGGTCGGGGTTGGGGTAACGGGGCATGCTCGCTCGAGCGACTTGGACCTTTCCCGCTTCTGGGGATCGGGTGTCCCCTGGAAACGTCGCTTGATGGGCGCAAGGGCAGCGCCAAAGCTGGATACACGGCGATTGGGCATGATGAACACCTTGTGCTGGTCAAGGTGGCTTAGTTGCAAGGTGCATTGGAAGAATTGGGCGAAACTCACATCCCAGGGTTTCTCAACGTTGCTCGACAAGAACCCAAAGCGCTTTCGAGGCCCATGCTGATTAGCCGGTTTGTCCACCTTTATTGTAAGATAGAACGGATCAGTGTCAGTCATCGAGCTGAACGACAGCCCAACAAGACGAACCTTCTTCTGTGGCGACCTCGTGCCGATACTGATAGCCCTCCGCATCGCCCCACCGAGGCTCAACCGCTTGCGTCCTCGACCCCCGACAAGTCCCTCTCGCCCTTCTTCGAAGCTCCTCTCGGTAGTCCCGGACCGACCCGCTTGCTCATACTCATTGCCGCTCTCGTAGCCCTCCTCATCGTCTACGAACACGGGAGCGAAGCTGCGTGCATCCGGCGAGCTCGCTTCCGAAGTGTTTACACGTTGTCCCGCAGCGTGGAAGCGAAAAGGGTCACATTCACCGCCGGGCAGGTCGCTGTCCTCGTCGACGGCCGTCTTGGCTGAGGACACTTCGGAGTCTGCGTCGCAGCTGGTACCGTCGCCACCATATGAGTAGGCGGTGGAAGAGGCGGTATGGGAGATCTCGGAAGCCGTCAGTTTCGGGGACTCAAAGAGAGAGTTCACGAATGGGGGTTTCATCTATAGGAGGGTAAAATGGGAAGGGTGACATGCGGGATGGCAAAGAAGACTTACGTCTTAAGCTGCGCTGCGGATATCGACAACCTGCGCTCGTAGAGTCTAAGGAGGGCGAGGGTGATCCGGCTGGAATATAAGCGGTGCTGTTCACTGGACTGAATCGCGATACAGGAGGTCGTGTTAGTCACTGGAATGGTGGTGTTGGAGTGCAGTCTGTACGGTCTGGATCCTAACCATCGCAATGTGAGCCACCCTACCCGTTTTCGTCTGCCGGTGATGCGCAATATGAGGCTACACACCGTATCATGCCTGCGTATGTGCGCGCATGCCTGGCAGGCTGCGAATATGGACCTTGTGGTGGTCATGCTAACACCAACCTCTAGCCAAATCGGCTCTCTGTACCTGTACTGCAACCGCCTCTGCTCATTCGCCTGTAGTAAGACGTAGTGCTGCTGCATCAGTACGTAAAACACACTGTTCGCCCATCCCACTATCAACGTGACACAAGTCAGACCTTCGTAGTGAGCGGGTAAACGCGGGCTACTCACGACTAGAGTGAGCCTAAATAACTCACGCCCGTGTGATTCAAGCGACACATCCTCCGGCAGTAGTTTTCGGTCGCGAGCTTGAAGGAGATGGACGCGTCAGCCTTGCGTAAGTAGTCGGCTGGCGGATGATAAGCTCATGCGCATCTACCGTAGCCCAGATGAAGACAGATGGAGTTAGAGTGATTACGATGATGAACGGGATGTTAGACACGAACCAACGAACCTCATACTTGTCGACGTTGCCCACTTCCATCGGTACACTACAGCAAGCAGTATGACCTGAAGCACCACGGCTTCCGGCTACCCTTCAACTGATGTCTCGATACCTTTTCGTGGTTACAATGTCCGAGCGCGTCAAGCAAAGCCTTAGCAGTTCCATGAGATAACCTATAAGTCAGGCAAGGGTAACTGCATAGGATGGATGTCGTTGGTCATGAGGAGGTGGAAGAATAAAAATTCCCACGGCATTCGAACGCGTTCTGCCACTGCTCGTGGTCTTTGACACCGATGTACGCATACGGGCATCTCACAGAGACTCCATCTGGGTATCGTCCCTTGATCTACACGCTGTTGTCAAACATTCTAGTTAAGGTACTCTTTGTCAATGGGTCGGGAAACGTCGCAGAGAGCAACATCGTCCTCAGCTCACCAGCACCCTCGGGCCTCGGGTTCGTGCCACTACCCTTTCTACAGCGCTTAGCAGCCCTAACTGACTCAAGCATCTGATTTCTCCGCAGCGATCAGTCACGTCGGAAGCACCTCATAAACGCGAGATTTGACACTTTGACATGACATTGCCGTCTCGCGGCTTATCTGACAGCAACAGACAGCAACCAAGTTATTTACAAGGCCAAAATGAACGGTCCCGTCAGGACGACTGTATTGAAAAGATGCAACTGAATTTCTTTACTCCAAACACCCCCTATTCAAACCGCCACTGCCCGACGTCACGGCGCCGATAAACGGAAACACGCGTTGGGGCCAGGGAAGGTCCAAGCACGACTGCTCTCCCTCTCCTCCTTCAAAAGAGCGCACCGACAGGTGTAAAACGGCTACACAAAAGAGACTAGTCTGCTGGTCGCCCTCGGGAAACGCACAGAGCTCACAGGTACTCACTCGCTCACCGGCTCTGGTTGCAAGCACGTCTGCATGGAACATGCCCCAGTAGTCGGTGTGTGAACTCCCAAGATGTCTAATATACTGTTAAGCTGAGATGGTATGGACGACAGGATGTCTTCTTTTGGGTGTACTTTGTGAGTCTTATATCTTCCCCTCTACAATAATCGCCATTGATACTCCTGTCCCAGTCAACACATTTCTATTCGGTATAGTATCGCAAAGATATGTCGTTTACTTTGCTTCGGGTCATGGTGAGTCATCATGTTGAGCTTATCCAGCACTCAGTACGCTCAGAGATAAACCTTCAGCACGTCCCGAAGAGCGAAATACCATAAAGTACGCATGTCTTTCGTCTCTCAGTCCCTTATCGTTCTCTTACTTGGTCCTAGGATGATGGTCTCCCTACTGTGTCTCCTCGACACCGTCTTCACTATTTTGTCAGTCGTGAGGGTCAGGATCTTGCAGCGTCCAGTATTGAGTTAATTGACAGACAAGCTTATGGGGCATGGCATCTCATGTACGTCCACTACCCCCATTCCTTCATCAGATCTGAGACACCTTGTAGCATCGCTAACTACGGCAATGCATCGATGGGTTCAGGTGAGTACTTCTTGAAATATCTCTACATTCACTTGAATTGACGGTCCGTGAAGCAACAATACCTTGGCCCGTTTGCTTGAACCCGATTGCGACGGAATGTACCGCCATGGCGACGCAGATGTTTCTGACTTCGCGGTGAGATCCTATTCAGTCTTGACCCGCGTCTCCGATCACCATCGACTGACACCTCCCTGTAGCATTTGGCGATTGCACCGCAGCCATCTGCTAGTTGGAATATCCATTTTCTTAGCATCAATGTCTTTTGTGGTTGGTTTCGCGGGGGCCGCGGAGTTGCTGATATTCAGACTGTAAGCTTCCGCACTGTGTGGTGATTCAAGATAAGCAGACTGAATAACCGAAACAGGCACGCAGACTCGTATACTCAAAGGGGCGCTCGTGGCATTCTAGGCTCGTTGGTCATTTCATGGTCAGCCCTCCAGGTCGCTACAGACGTGTTCATTACAGGTAAATGTCCCGTCCCCGTCGACCTCTCACGTTCCCCAGCGACTTAACGCCGTCTGTTATAGCCAGTCTTATCGTCATCCTATGCAGGGCCCGCAAAGGCCTAGCTACTGCAAGCGCGCGACGAAACTACGGACGAATCATTGACACGCTCATTCACGGCTCCATTCAGACAGGCGTTCTTGCCGGGGGGTGGGCAATCGGTACTTTCGTCGCGGTGATTGCTTGGCCCCAAAGTGATCTCTCCGGTGCCATATCGATCTGTCTAGGCCGTATATACACGATTGTGAGTGTACATCTCATCTTCCAAATCGCGCGCTGATTTACACTTGGGACGTCCCACTTAGACTTTGCTTGACATACTCATGGGTAGCACTCGCGCTGGAACTGATACGGATGACACAACCTCAAGCATAGCTGGTTTACCGCAGGTGGGTTTGTTTTCATACACGCCCTTGTAATTGTGCGCTCATGGTCCTGCATCTCGTCTACTTGAACATAGCTCACCTCTGCCATCGGCGACCCGACTTTTGACGACACGGCATCCCAGTTCCCATAACACCATGACCATGCCGATCAGCACTCCGTCCACTTAACGTCACGCCCTCTTATCCATCTAGAATTAATGTATATTCAAGCTGACTGTCTATTGCTACCTGGCACACGCTCTGCTCCGTCTGTCATTGGAAGACGCCCTCTGAAGACAAATTCAGGCAACGAGGTTCATCGTGTGGCGTGCCGCTGAGACAGAGACGCTGAGGCAGCCTTTGTATGCTGTAGTTCCCGTCGATTGGGATACACAGATGTCAGACCTGTGAGTGAAGCGATGATCTCGAGTTTGGGCTAGACTCTCGAGGAATCTGCAGAAGATGAAGGTTGTCGAAGAGGTAGATGTATACAGTCAACTCCCTCTTAACCCATAGCCCTCCGTGGACACCCACAGGTATGGGTTAGCAGGGAGTATGGGTTTCGAGAATGTCCCAAAAATAGATGCATGAAATTCTAAAAATAAACGCACGAAATACGGGAAACAAGTCTATTTGGAAAAATCGAGAGTAGCCAATTGATCACGTCTAGATGAGCTGGCCTTGCCAGGAGCAACTAAACTAGTAATCTTCGACGATGCCATCCCCTCTGACACCTCTGCCCGAAGCTGACGAGTGAACGATCCCAGGACAACGTCGAGTTTTCGAGCGTTCAGATCATTCATATTGTCGAGACACTGTCCAATCACTGATGTAGCTTCCAGCACCTCTTGCCGCGTTGGGGGGAAGTTGCGCTGGTTCATCATCAATGCATCAACACCAACCTCAGACTCATCTGCATCTTTAACCCCCCGCCCTTTCCCTTAGTGACTATTTTCTTGAGCTTTTGAAGGCCTTTCTCGAGGACTTTTAAGTCGATTTCATCCATAAGCACTATGAAAATAAGACGTGTAGTTGATTAAGGACTGGCAGGATGGTACCGTGTCGCTACAGCTTGGAATGTATATCTATTGGGGATAACTATTGCTACTATAAGTTCCGAATGTATGGGTTTTTTCGCCCTCAAGCCCATGGGGTATGTGATATCAGGGAGTTATGGGTTTCGGGACTCATTTGGGTGGGACAAAACACGATGGGTAGCAAAACCCATGGGTTAGCAGGGAGTATGGGATTGGAGGGCTATGGGTTAAGAGGGAGTTGACTGTAACCCATAGTGCTGTAGCTTCTCCCACGAACCATCGGGTACGATTGTCCTCTGCTTCGCACATTGAGTTACCGCAGCTATCGGCCCTGGTCGGAAATGACATCCTTCCGCATCTGAACATTGGTAATTCCTATTCAAGTTCAGATACTATGGGCGGCAAAGGTCCTCCAAGCTTTCAACGGCGGAAGATGCCGGGACGTGACTATGTACATTGAAAGGACGGAGCCTGGATTTCCTTACCGTAAACAACCCCCTATTGAAACTGTTACGGTTTGACGTGCCAAGCCGATCCCGTGCGCAGGGAGAACATCGATGCGCACATTGACGGTGCTAAATACCCTGACTGTTACACTGCATGCGCTGGCACCCCCTCCGCCTGTCGGTCATTCCTAAGAAGTTCTCTGTGACAGAGGCTTGAACCACATCTGCATGGAGCATGTCCAGATCATCGGTGTGTGGGTTTGCATTATGCGTTAATTTTGTCGAGCTGAAGTAGTCTGGATGACAGGGTGCCATCTCACGGGCGTGCTTTGTGAGTCATGCATCGTTAGTTCTAAGCTCATCATCACTCATACTCCTGCGTCAGTCAACACATTTTTGTTCGGCATAGTCTCGCAGAGATATGTCACCTACTTCTTATCCGGTCATGGTGAGTGGTGGTATTAGCGTGTATCATACTCTGCCAGCTGAATTTCAACCTTCAGCACGTTCAGAGGAACAATATACCGTGAAGTACAGTCATCCTTCGGTATTTTGTCCCGAAATATCATTTTACAATACCCTAGGATGATGGTTTCCTTACTTTGTCTTCTAGATACCACCTCTACAGCTTCGTAAGTTATCAAGTCGTCCGTTTGCTCGCAATGGCAGGTCTAAGCGTCTTCACAGTCTGATTTACGCGGCATGGCGACTCGCGTACGTCCGTTGTTCCCATCTCTCCGCCAGGTCCATGACACGATACACCTCTACAGCATCGTAGACTACAACAATCCATCTGCGCTAATGGGCGAGTCTCATAGATTCCCTCCGGTCACCTGAGCTGACAATCTGAGAAGCAATAACACCTTGGCCCATCTGCTTTAACCCTATTGTTGTTGAGTGTACTGCCATGACAACCCAAATGTTTCTAACATCACGGTGAGGGGTCAATAATTAGCGGCGTCTTCGACATCACTAGCTAACAATTTCTGCTAGCTTATGGCGATTACGCCGTAGTCGTCTGCTTGTTGGAATCGCTATCGCTCTAGCGACAATGTCCTTTGCAACAGGCGTGGCAGCGGCGGTGGAGATGCTGGTCACAAGATTGTAAGCTTCCACTGAGCACAACAGTCCTAGAGACCCTGATCAAGTAACAAACCAGCCAATCCAACGCTCATAGAGGGCCTCAAGGATTTCTTGGCTCCTTGATCCTTTCCTGGTCAGCCCTGCAAGTCGTCACGGACGTGTTTATTACAGGTAGTTTTATCACCACTGCTGTTCTTCATCATCTCTCAGCCTCTCATGACTGCGAATGCCGTATAGTCAGCCTCATCGTCATCCTCTGCCAAGCCCGAAAGGGTCTGGCCATTCCAAGTGCACGGCGAGAATACGGAAGAATTATCGACGTGTTCATTCATGGGTCTATCCAGACGGGGGTTCTTGCCGGAGGGTGGGCTATTGGTACTCTCGTCGCGCTGATTGCTTGGCCCACAAGTGATCTTTCTGGGGCTATATCAATCTGTATGGGCCGAATATACACAATTGCAAGTACATATTTCATCTTCCCAGCAAGTCATAACGCTGATTTGAAGTGACGCATCGCCCGCTCAGACCTTGCTTGACATCCTCATATGTCGCCCTTATTTTAAAGGTGATATTAGAGAGGGGACCACAAGCACTAAATCGTCGCCGCAGGTGAGTTGGCTCTCGAAAGAATCTTACGCTGACTTTCCTTCTTACGCAATTCCAATATAGCTCACCTCAGTCGTCGAATATCCGACCTTTGAGGCCGTAATCAATCCTTAAGACAACAGCAGAAGCACTGTGCAGCTATTTCAACCATCGACCCATGAGCGCGAGGTCACTGGTTAACGGGATTCTCAGATACGCTATTGTAATTGTGTCCCCGCTCTACTGCATCTTATCATGTTGATGAACATAGCTCACCACCGCTATCGGAGACCCAACTCTTGATGCCATGGAATCCCGATACCATAGCATCGTTATCACGATGACCAGTAATTTACCCATCTAAGGTCGTCCTCTCTTTGTCGTTTAGCATCATGAATCGTCAGTCTTCATGTTTACCGCGACCTAACGCACGCTTTGATGACCATGTGTAACCGGCAGAAGTCCTCCAAAGCTAATTATATGGCAGCGCAATTTGAATTGGGTCCATAATGTTCCATCAGCTGTTTCATCGTCCCCTGCGGATGCGTACCGTGATTCGGCGCTTATCTCCTTCATGGCCTTGGCTGGTAATGGCTGGTATTCACTTCGTAGCCAATTTAACTACCACGTCTCACATCGTTCCATACAGATCGTGCCTATCATCGTGGGCTTTTAGTGTCTCGATGTGAGAATTAATCTGACCAACTCATAGGGCATTACTTTCTCTCTGATTGTCATCAGAATGGGTCTAGGTGTATCGGCGGAGATGTACCTCAAAGCACTGAAAGACAGAGGCGACGCCGGTGGTAATGTTATAGGACCCACCACCCTCACAGTAACGTCTATAGTTGCATTTTCTCAGGGATCAGTCGGTGACATTGAGGAGGAGGAGTCCAAGATCACAGTTTGAGGTTTAGATTCTAATAGTTGTGCCTTCAAGTGAGCGTAAAGTCGATCGGTCCCTTGAAGTCACATAGTTTGAGTTCGTTGCTGTCCATTCGTTAGCCGTGAAGTACGGATAGGCCGATGTAACTCAGAAACGTAGTATATACGTAATTCAGTAAACAGTTAGCCCACTACTATATTTTCCGCAGTGGCAACCGCTTACTCTCGCAATGAGCTATGGAGCTAAAGACTCGGCCCTGTACACACGAATTGTACCCAGTTCCCTCTAGCTATGCGACAGCGTCATCACTGACAGAAACTCCTTCAAACAAGTTCAGTCATACGTAATACAAATTGGAAGGCTGTTCAGAGAAACCTACTTAAGAATGGTACCCGAAGAACATGCATCAAGTAGAGGCCAGGCGCGGTCATGAGTCACGCCAATCCCAAGCGCGACCCAGAATACAGGACTCTGCGGTCCATATTATCCGCGACATGCCTCTAAGCTACACTTGGGTAATCATTGGCCCTCCTAAGATGGGTTCAAGAGACGCCAAAGACGAGGAAACTTTGATGCAAGACCAGGGCTCTGTACTGGAACACAATTATCCGAGACTTAGCCATTTCTTCACGACCTCCTTGGCGAGCGGTGCAGCACCAGTGGTGACAAGGATAAGCGAAAGGTTGTAAGCTGCCTCTCGCGCAACCCCTATATCAGCCCCGGGCTACAGCGCGAGTAATGAGTTCGTCTTTCGGAAGCAAATTGGGAGCCAAAACGCACCTCTTTGCGCTTATCTGCCAAAACGAGTACCCGTTCGTAATGCGTTACTGCCTGCGAGTGCAACCCTATAACAACGCTCAGCCACTTGTTCGTCATGCATATGAAGACAAAACGATAGAACCAACCCAGTTGCTGGAACGCCCTCCCAAAGTTGAAATCCACCTCGAGCATCGTTGCGTCGTTAGCATTGTACGTCGAGCGGCGGACGTCTCTGTATTTGCTGAGGAACCCAAACGCCTGCACGATGAGATGGTGCCTATTGTCCGCTTGCCTCTGCATCGCTCGCCCGAGAGACGCACTTGCAATCGAGAGGTGCAGCACGGGGTCGATTGGGCAATACTTTACTGCGTAGAGCAGGTAGACTACCGGAAATCGTCGGTAAGCGAAGAAAAGAGACGATGTCAGGGTGAAGCGAGACACGCACAGATTGCACTCTGATAGCTCTTCCCGGCTACGCACATCTGGCCATACAGCGCGAGAGGTATCGGATTCTGTTTCTTCGGAGGAACTGGCTGCTTGACTCTTGCCAGATTCGAGTCTTTGTCGTCCTGTTGCTCTTCTCTCTCTTCTGGTCCGTCCTCACCTTCTTCGTCGTCATCGCCGTCTACAGCAGCGGCGCTACCTCCGCTCCTATTCTTTTCAGTCATAGTCCACCGTCCTCTGTGCGACCTCCATGCAAGCCGACCGGGTTCTTTCACAACTCCATCGCTGATTTTGATCTCCCTCAATACATGCTTCTGGAGCGTACTGCTCACAAAGGCATCGGTCTTGCCACCTCCAAGGCCTGCCGAGAGCGTAGCGAGCAATAAACGAAAAGGCTCGTTGTTGAACTGATGGGTATTGATCAACTTGCGCGCATGAATGACGATGGTTGGAGGATCGTCTGCGGCCAGGGCGCATGCTTTTCTCGCATAATGTGAGGCCTAGCCAGCAAAGGAGAAGTTCGTAGCTCACTGATAAGCGCGAGACGAATGGTCGTCTGGGATTCCAGGCTGCGATACCCACTGGATAGGAGGATGTGCGCAAGCACCTCCTCTCCATGTTTGTACTCTCCTCGTTTTGTTAGTATGAAAGCGTACTGAAAACCGCCTTTTGTCAGCGTCTTGGTCACAGTTGTAGACTCTTAATACCAAAAGGAACGAACCTGCATAAATATACGCAGCCAGTCATCAAATGTCACCCCACGGAACGAGTCAACTTCTTTCTTGTGCCTACGAGACTTGTCTTGCTCTATCTCCATTCCGTCAGTGCTCAATGCCGACCATCAACTCGGAAGGACATACCAACAAGCTCCAATCTAGACGCCATCCGCTCCTCATCTTTCTCCTGGCCATGCCTCCTATGCTGCGGGAACATACCCTTGAACCCTTGATCCTGTTAGAGCCAACTCAGTGACTATTCTTTAAGTTCTATAGGATTTAGACCTACCCTTGATGCCAAGAATAGATTCCTCGTTTCCCGAAACATCTCCACGAGCTTCTCGGCCTCGAGCATCCACTCGCGTTCCGCCACCTCATCATATGCCCCCCGCTCATCTACGTCCATAGCGTCTGCGGAGCTCATGTGACTACCGCCTGTGACTTGCGGCCAGAGCTCGAGGAGACGCTTGTGGCCCTGGATGACCTCCCGCTCACGTTGCACCTCCAGCTCGCGTAGTTGTACAGTGCTCAACCGGCCTCCTTGTGATGGCCTATTGCCTTTCGTCTTCCCGGCGGCAGTTTTCTCTTCGAACAACGAAGTGCCTGGTCCTGGAGTTGTCTCAGGGGTGACAGTGCTGCTGATGCGACTGTCGGTCGCGGGGCGACGTTTACGGGAGTCAATGACTGGTGCGTGGCATACATGAGTTAGCTCAAGGTAAAGTGGCATTCGATCTGGCGACCCTTACCTTGGTATACGAGCGCGAGTGCTTTGCGGGGCTCATCCATGATTTCATATAGCTCTGCGAGCTTCATCTTCGCGTCGTTGTTCGCCGGATCTGCATCAATAACTGCCCATTTCGTTGACTTTCCAACTCGCACAGGATACAGCGAAAATACGTACCTTGTTGATAAACCTCTGCTGCTTCCCTCAATCCACCCGTCATCCGACGACACGTCGCTACTTGCAGTAACACGTACATACTGCTCGTCTAATGGCCCAATAGATGAACAAGTTAGCACCAGTTCGAGGCATGGAGAAGGATTCGGCTCACGGCTGGGTCTGAGCCCAAAAGTTCGTACACAGGCCCTGCTTGGTCGTAGGTTTCTTTTTCAAAGTACGCGTCTGCGAGTTCGCCAAATAGGGGCGCATAGTCGAGTGGGTCCTGGGTGAGGACGATGTTTGCGTGAATCTAAGCGGGTAAGACGTAAGCATCAACCGTAGTGCAAACGGTGGATAAAGGAACAAACTTTGCCCTCATCAATGTCGCCCAGTTTAATCCGCGCGACTGCTAACCGATGACGCGCGTTTATATCCAGCGGGTAGTACCCTGGTTGCGGGTCACCCTCTCGAGTGGCACCTCCCGCTGATGCCAAACTCTGCTCGAGGTTCCCTAGCGCAATGTCTCCCTCACCCTGCATGCTGACTTGAGGGTGAGAAAGAGGAGGCGTGTGCATGGGTAGGTCAAATTCTCGGTCATCCTCACAGCCATCCCAGAACTTCTGGGAAGCGCGGCCCTGTAGCCAGCGGCATCCACGACGTATCGTTTCGATGGCACGCGCGTATTCTGAGAGGGTGTTGTACAAGTCTGCGAGGACAAGGACGTCGAGGAAACCGAATAGCTCGGCTTCACTCTGTGGCTGGTTCTGTGACGAACTATCCCCAAGGTCATGAAGCATCTCTGGGGCGATATGCTCGACTGGAATATGGGCTGGAGGTTGCGCCGAGGGTGGACCAAGTGGATAAGCGGTTTGATAGTGGTCGAACGCACGCTGGTACATCGACGCGCAGAGAGCAAGCTCGCCTGCGTCGATAAGGATCGACCGTAGTTCAGCGAGAACAGCCATGTCGTGTGGGTAGTGCTTCAAAATTGCGGTGAACGAGTGTCGAGCCTAGGGTTTTGTGCGCATATACTCAGCTCTCCCTGGTCTCACGAAGAGGAACACAATGCGTACAGTACGTATCTCCAGCAGTTCCTTGGCGAGTGTCGCACGGTCCCAAAGTGCGTTGACATTCGAGGGATCGAGGCTGTACAGCTTTCCATAGCAGTACAGCGCCTGCTGTCCGTGACCCATCTCCCTATATGCACCTATTTAGCGACTCTCGGAAGGCCAAGAACGCAGCGCATACAATGACAAGAAGAGACACACCTGGACTGAACAGCCAGTCTCTCCCACTCGTCAGCGTCATGCCTCAAATGCGCGGCCATGATTCGCAGCTGAAGGGCCCTCCCGTGGTCACCGGCATCAGAATAGCACTGAGCTAGCACTCCCCATGCAGCGGTCGCTCGTGGTTCGATCCGTATCACCTCTTGCATGATACGACTAGCCTCAGCGTTGTTTCCGTCGACATATGCCTGATTTCCCTCTCCGATAAGTGCACGGACCTGGTGCGATAGTGGGGGGCCTTGGTGGCGGCGTTTCTATCAGTGACATGTTTGCGTCAATAAAAGAGCGTACAAAGCCGTGGGAGCTACGAGCTGAGATGTCCCGAACGGAGAAGAGAAAGATTCGAATATGGACTAGATGCATACCTTGCGTAACTTCTTTCTCCCGACCCCAGAGGCCTCGCGAAGGTCGTCGTGAAACTCGGCATTGCGCTCTTCAATATTGATGTCCCAGTCCCTACTCAGGAAAGAGGAGTCTTCCGTAACGTCGTTCGACATGCGGATGTTCTGTACGAGTCGACTGCGTACAGGCGGTAGAGGAATGACGTGAGGTAGGAGCCATGAGGGAAGGTATATCGAGAGTGTTACATACTCAAAGTCTCCGTTGATCTCTAGCTGAACACCCTGAGGGATATCTTCGACCTCCTCTTCCTCTCCTTCCTCGCCATCGGCCGAAGCTGCAGTTTCTGCGTCTTCAGAGTCGGTGGCGTCTTCAGGGTCTTCTGATCCCTCTGCATCGGACTGGTCGTCTGAGGGCCCACTGTTAGCATACTGCACCAGAACACAACATATTCTTACAGAGCTCTTCTTCATCCATGATCACTCAGCGGATGGTCGATACGCGTGAGGAGTCGCGTCGCGGAGCAAGGGCGAAACGCGGGAAAATGCCGGAGCATCGGCGCAGGACAACTGCAGCCGAACTTGCATCTTATCTTGCGTCTTTCGTCTTACACCGACCATAGACACCACCTCGATCGTTCGTAAATGATCCCCCGTGTCATGAGCTGGCGAGTTATCCTTGTGTATCCACAAAATGAGGCATAGTTACAAACTGCATCGCAGTTTTACGTCACATAGGGGAGCAAGTACATCAGGTCGATCGTTTATACAGGTATCGAGTCTCAGAGACCATTTGTCGTCCTCAGCCTTAACAACCCTCACAGCTTCCTCACTTGAGACAAAAGCAGAAACTTGGGTTTAGGTATGACCCATCATCTTCGACCCATATCGATTCCCAATGGCCACGTGAGCTAGCACGATTCCCGGCTTGTCGTCTTCTGAACGCTCTATCCTTTTCATGCTTAGGCTCAGATTCCTCCTCATCGGATTTAAGGTCTTCCTCACTCGCGCCAGGTGGATCCCGCGCATAAAACAGACGCTGACAGAAAGGATGACCTTTAGCTTCATCTCCTCAATAACAGTTTGAAGCACTCACCTCTGTAGCTTTACATGTTGACACATCAGCGGTCCGGCGCTTGTTGCGAGAGCGAAGTCTTTGGACAATGCTCGCTTTCGGACCATCTTTTTTAGCCGACACAATCCTCGGTACGTTCTGGCTCTCCCTGTCTGGCGTTATCTTGGAAGTAACGAAAGGGCCGAGGAATATCTTTCGTACGTGACACCAAATGCCATGAGACTTGCCACATACGTCATCGTCGCGAGCATGGTTGCCTGACACACTGGACGATGACACGGACACCCCTGTCGCTTCCACATCGATGTCAATCTGTGAACATGACGTTCAAGTTGAGAATGAGCGAATCGCCATCAAACTGGTAGTGTGCCATACGCACGTTGCGAATGGACTCAAGCATGGCCATATGCGCCGATCGGGCTTTCTTTGATAGCACTGCCGGTCGCTACGTCCATGTTAACAACAGTTCACACTGCAAAAATTTCACCATAACTTGTGCCCATTTACTTTAAATAACTGGCCCGGTTAGTTAAAATAACTTTATCATAACTTGCCGGGATTTATCCGGGTGTGGATACACATTGTATTTTAAATAACATTTGACAGGTTATGGTAAAGGTGGGACACGCAGTTTTGACAGTTATCTTAAATTGTAGTTTCTCACGGCTGTCAGCCATGTCATTGCTCATCTGTTTATTTTAAATAAAATGGAGTTAACATAAATGCGGATAAACTCCGCATTTGGATGGCAACAATCAAAGTCTGGCCCATGATGGTCAGAAACCAGACAATGACCCGGCAATGACTAATCATATGCTGGTCAATGCCAGGTCAATGGCCAATCAATGGCCAATCATTTGCCAGTCATTTGCCAGTCAATGGCGGGTTAATGGCGGGTTAATGGCCAAATAGAAAGTTATTATTTAGTTAGAGAAATATGTTTTTAATCCCT